TTTTAACTAATTTTCATCTAGACATATTATTTAATGAGTATTTAACACGCCAGGGTAATGGAGGCGCTTTGGCTACATTTGCTTTGTAAATCTTTCATATCTAACAAAACGTAAGATTTTACTATAATAAATGATTTTATAAAAAAAAATTGTATTTCAAAAAATGTTAGAGATAAGAACCAAAAATTTTATGTTAACTTGCAAGAAAGACTATTTCACATTTATGACGTTTTGAAGATATTCCAAATAAAAAAAAGAAAATTTCCAACCATATCATGGCATTGAAACTATCACAGCGACCGTGACGGTCGTCTGTCTGCCAAAATTAAAATCCATTAAAATTATTAAATTTATAATTAGTTTGCGAGCGTTCTCACTTAAACTTTTTTTTTTTTTTTTTTTTTTTTTTTTTTATAGGATCGGGTGACAAACGAGCACACAGTCCACCTGATGGTAAGTGGTTACTGTGACCCATAGACATCTACATCTATCCTCAATAAAGACTCAAGATGCAGATGCGTTGTCACCCGTGAGGACTAAGATGGAATGCCTCTTTGCCAGTAAAAAGGGTCTCCGGTTCTCTACACTCACCATACGAAACACAGCAGCGATAAGCTGCTATTTTACGCTGGTTTTCTGTGAGAGCGTGGTCCTTCCCCGGTCGAGCCGACCCATTCATGCTACAACCATAATATAACTGCAGCATGGCTCTACCACGTATAAAAAACTTAGCAGTATTTAATCGTAGATCAAAAGTACTCGAATTTAAGTCCAAATTACTTGAATTAAGAATTTCATAAGTTTATATTGAAGAATTTCACCGAACCATTTTTAAATTAAACGAAAATTTTCATATATATATTCCAAACTAAATTTGCAAAAGTTTAATCTTTTATTATTCTTAAATTTAATTTTGAAATTAATTGATAAAAATTAACGTAGTATCAATAATCTATACAAATAAATAAAATTGAAGTGTCTGTTTGTAATGTCAAAATAAACGCTTTTTACTAAATGCATATTAAAATTTATACGGTACTATAACAAAAACGCAATTTTTAAAAAAAAATTCTGTCGGTCTGTTTGTTCCGGCTAATCTCCGAAACGGCTGGACCGATTTCGACGGGACTTTCACTGGCAGATAGCTGAAGTTATAAGGAGTAACTTAGGCTTCTTAAATTTTAGAAAAAGAATTAAGGTTCCGTGCAACATAATTAAAACCCTAAATTACACGCGGGTGAAGTCGCGGGGAACAGTGTTAGTATCGAATATAGAAGGGGCGTCGTTTAGCCGATTTGCATCAGACCCTGAATCATTTTTATGTCACATACACTATAATGTAAGTGATACGCACGATTTAAAATTTAAGAACAGGATAACTAAAATCTAATTTTGCTTTCAAAATGATTTTCATTCTAGCTCTTTAAAATTCACAACCTCTTTAAAAGTCACCTATCTAATATATAAAAATTAATGTTTGTTTGTTAGTTCGTATTTTATTCGCTGCCATACCGTTAAACTGGTTGTTCTAAAATTTTGTCAACTTATTGCTTGCACTTGCATGAAGGTTATAGGCATAGTACAATTAACTAACAGTAGGTGGCGAGCGTATCCTAGCGAAAATTTTATTTGAAAGTACGAGTACTTATATAGCATTGAATTTCAATGAATGTATTATCATCCCTAATTAAACAATATGTAACTGTTCCAAATTTGAAACGATATTTCCACAATTATTTCTTCTGCGGCAGCAACGCGCTGGGTTCCAGCTACTTATAATATATTATAGTAATAAAACATACGGCAATACCGCTGTCAGTGGCACATAAGGTTTAGAAACGAAAGTAAAGTTCAGTTTCGGGGAAGCTAGAACGTAAAATACAATAGATAGATTGTATCCCGACATAGATAGTAGAAGAAACATGTTTAGACACCTACATTTAAAGAAGTATTTGCTATATAAATTAGACTTTTTATCTAATATATAAAAATTCATTTTTGTTTGTCCGTATTTTATGCGCAGCCATACCTTTCATCACATTGCGGTAAAACTTTGTCAACTTATTACTTGCACTTGCGCGAAGGTAAGAGGGTTATATCGTACCAACAAATTTATTTGAAAGTTATAAATTATAGTATATTGTTCAATTTCAATGAATGTATTACATATCATTCCTAATTAAAAAATATAGGTATCTCTTCCAAATTTAAAACGATATTTCCACATTCTTTTTCTGCGGAAGCAACGCGTCGGTTTGTCTACCTAGTCATGTATAAAAACTTATCAACTATAGTTCAATTAATATAAAAACTTACCTTATATTCTCTGGTTTGTGGTCGTCCATCGGCGGCGGCGGCGGCGGTGGTGGTGGTGGTGGAGGGGGCGGCGGCGGTGGCGGTGCGACCATAACGTTAGGCAATGAAACTTGGGGTGCGGGTGGAATCGGAGGCGGCGCGTCCGGTACATCCGAAACGGACGGTGCGGCCGGATCCTCAATGTCCGGTAGTTCTTTCAAATCCAAGTCCGGTAGTTCCGGTACGGCAACCGGGACAACAGGCGATGTAACGGCTGACGGTGCGATGGAACCGTCTGTGGTTACGGAGTATTGGACATCTCCGGCTATGCCCGGCAGGTGGGGAAGGTCGAGGGGCATATCCAACTCCGGCACCTGATGAACATCATAGTATTCTTAATGATAACAGAACTCTGTATCATGCTTAATTATTTTTAATTGGTATTCAAACGCGACCCCTTTTTTAAATTTAGTTTTGCGTCGAAAATTCCACGCTTTGGGGCAGCGCGGCGGATATTTCCTTGCCCTAAAACCCTCTCAGAAATGAGACGAGACCTGGAGGCCCAGCAGTGGGACGTAAATATGCTGCAACTTTAACTATCGAAAATTCATCCTCAAACCCGTACCGCATTTGAAGAAGTTTGGCCACATCATTTTGTAAATTAAAAAAATAAACTTTGGGGTACTGGAATATCAGATAGATATTCTATGTAATTGAGAAATGAATAGATAATAAGGGAGCGTCCATTAATTACGTGAGGTGAATTTGGCAATTTTTCTACCCTACCCCTCCCCCTGGTGAGATGTCGTGAGATATGGCTCGAACCCTTCACCCCCGACCCCAAATCTCACGTGAGATTTTTCAAAATTTGTATTGTTAGTGTAAATACGTTAATCTGTGCTTCACTGAATTGGATTTATATAAAAAAAAAATTCGCCTAATTATTTTTATATAATTTATGAAGTTCGCATAACCGCGATAAATAGTATTGTGTAGGATTTAGCCATATTTTACTTAATTTAAACCATTTTTTTTTAAATATTACACTGTTACTTGCGGAAAAAAAAATATTACGTGACATTTGCCGAGACCATTCCACGTGAGCTTGGGTGACATTCGCACGACCCCCTTCCCCTTAAACACGTAATTAATAGGCGCCCCCTAATGTCTTGCCTTGCTTATTATGGTAACTTAACCTAATACAATTTCAAGTTATTGTAACTTCCTTTTAAGCAAATGATCTTGCTTGTGCCAGGAAGCACCGCTCTTCCATAGCGTGGTTAAACAATAGACTAGATATTGCCATGTAAATAAGGACTAAAATTTAAAATAAATAATCTAGCTATTACAAACTAAGCTTACTATATATGTATGTGTAGTAAGCTTAGTGCGCGCGCGCAGCGTGTATGTATGTTGTGTGTGATTGGTTTCGTCATGTTTTCCTTCACTGTCGAGCATGTGCCTAATAAAACTGCATAAAATGTTTATCTTAAAGCTAACAATATATTGTCTACTTACCATTCCCATGCCTGGCGCGTACATGTACTCGTCGGCTTCCCGCTTCAATATGTTTCTCTTCGCAATGGAAGGCGGTGCCTCTTCCAACGATACTTTATTTTCAACGTTAGTTATAACTCGCGGCACATACACTGGTGTTTTAGTGCTGCTTCGAATGTACGGGCACTCGTCAGTGTTAAATATCAAGAGGTCACCAACGGCTGACACTTGATTTATAACAGATTCTAAATCGTTATCCAATTTAGGTTTCGGGTCCTTAGGATCGGCCACTTTGACATGATAGAAATGCAATTTTTCCTACAACCAATGAACATTTTTAAGTCAACATCAATGAAAATAATGAGCAAATAGTTGTAAACTTTTAAACAATGGGATGGCTACCTGAATCTTTTTTTCGTTTGGCTGCCTTTGAGATTGTCCACTTAGCACAATCTTTTGGGGCTCATGTTGATAGCAATTTAGATCAAAGACAGATTTATAATGTTTATGAACAAGAGATGTTGGGTATTTGGCGCTTGAAAACACTTTAATAGCTTTCTGCATGCCAGTGAGCTTTTCTACTTTTGTTTTTGATATTTCAATCCGTTTTTTGAGATTATCAGTTTTTTCCATGTTCTGTTTGATTCTGAGCGTCACGCGTGTGAACACATCGTCTACTATCCCGTTGAGGTTGTCTAGGGTGTCGGCGATCTGCAGTATTGTCTCTTCCATGCTCAGATCGTTTGGTATCAAATTGACTTTATAGATACCTTCCATTGTTGAGCGTTATGTGAGTGCAAATTGTCTGAAACAAACGACAATCTTATGCAATTACATAAAGAGGGCTGACTATCAAATATTTCTTAGCTGTCATGCAAACTACGTACATTTCTGTTTTTGTATTGGATTAACCTATCCCATGTATATAGATAAAAAGTCTTATGGCAAATTTTAACACAACTTATTCTAATTATAAATTGAAAAGTTTTAAATCTTACCCACTCGACTTCTTTAGATTTACCTAAAATAAATTAATAAGGCACAAGAATTATCACTAGACGACACATCCACTTTCTTGTGTTAAATTATGCATGTCCAATATTTTATATAGCACTCAATAAAGCTAGTTTAGTCCAATATTTACAATTCAGTCACTAAGGAGTCTATTTATATCAGTACTGGGTCACTATACTATAGCAATGATTGACTCAATTCTTATTAGAGTTTAACGTCGGCGCATCGGCGAGTAACGAGTGGAGATTGTCGTTGGCAGGGTCAGTGCTCCACGAGAAGCGACAATAGGCATCGGGCGACATCGTCGGGTCTAATATGGCGGACTCCTCGGCTAATTGTCCCGCAGACAACATGTTATTTAAATGCTTATTTATTACCACATCTCCGGGACTCACGTAACCGTTCGCAGCAGACGGCTTTAAAGGCACTGTGTTTCTTACACTTGATTTAAGACTAGGGATGGCATCCAAAGACTGTAACTGGATGTAGCTACTGTCCGCGCCGGTTTTCACGGGCGGTGGCAAGGTGGGCATCGTCGGCAAGCTCTCCGGCCCAAGCAACTTTGTAGGTGTCGCTCCCAGCTTCGGGATAGTCAACATAGATTTTGGCTGTGCATCTTCGGGTCGCACATACCCTGATGAAGGCGGTGGTTGACCTGGTGCACTCGATGGCGATACACCAGTTGTAAATATTGGTGGTGTTAGACCAGCCATGACGTAGCTGGAGCTTGCAGGTTTATCTGCGGTGTTGAGTGGTAGGTTTTTTAGAGGCGCTGGCGCCGATTGCACATAACCAGTTGCTGGGTTCACTACTGGTTGTACATAGCCACTTGCAGGATCTTTCTTGAAAGCTTTATCGCTATAATATGGAGAATTTTCTCTGAAGCTTTCAATATCATCATTTGGATCTTCTTGATGAGTGTTATTATCGTCATCTTTAATTGTTTCAACTTCCATGTGTAAAGAGGAATTTGATCCATCATCCGATGTTGAAGCTTGCCTGTCTACAGGTCCTCGGGATGAATCCGATAACGCAGTACTGTCTGTATGGTCACTTGCACCACAGTTGTCATTACTCTTCTGTTTAGTATCTGTAGACGATACTGTTGTTTTACTGCTGGGAAGAAGTAACACTTCATCAGAGGATGGTTTTTCATCTTTGTTAGATGGATTCCAACCACCAAATGTGTATTTCGATATATCTTTTTCAGGGATACCTAAGCCATTGGGCAAAACAGGTTTAATATCCTCCATTTTTTTATATTTTTTATATAATTTGATTGAGCAGTATACTATGCCAATGAGTGCAAATACAGTCATCAAAATAAGTGTCATAGCCAAACCATCTCTGCTTCGACAGGCTACAGTACTTGGTTCACTCCATTCACCATAATACACATTGCTACTTTGATCCTTTTGGTTGGTAAGATTCACATTTTCTTTGTCTGCAAGCGCCCCATGATCAGGATCCTCATCACAATTGACGGCTCTAACTTGATAGGTTTCACTAACAACTACTCCTTCACAATGCACTAAGGAAAAAGACAAATCTGTAGCATTCATAATTTCAGGTTCCAAATCATCTTTGATTCTTCTAACTTGATAGTAATCTACAGTACCTCCTGGAATTTCGGGAGGTTCCCACTTAAGAAGGTCTGGGTTATTTTTTACAGTTGGAGCTTTCAACCTACTAGGTGGACCAATTCTTGTCCTCACAAATATACCTTCATGTCTACCAATTTTAGAACATAGGCCTATTGGTACATTGCAAGCCTGAACAGTCCAAGAGTAGTTAGTAAACCCCTGAAGCCCTGTAAGAGTGACTTGCCTTCGGGATGTGTCAGTTCCCGACACCTTATCTACATAGAACTCCTTTCCATAATTATAAATGACATATTTACCAATAATCCCATTCCTATGAAGAGGAGGATCCCAAGATATTACCAAAGAATCATTTTTTACTTCTGATATTGTTATGTTTCTGGGACTTGTTGGAGTGTCCTCCGATGTTGTGATAACAGCTGTAGCATTTTCTATGGTCTTTAAGCCATATGTTGTATTCAAAGCAATAGTAAACTGATAGGTTCTGAATGGAAGCAGGTTTGTTATGTTGATTTCCATCTTAGTGGGATCAGAGATGTACACGGATTGATTCCCCACACTCGCATCACACAGGCTACTTGTTCTGATCACTGGACAGTATGTTATATTATAACCCGTAATGATTCCATCTTGCAACGCACAATCCATTAACCACCTTAGTTTAACAAATGATTTACCAGGAGCATCATATTTCAAATGTACTGGAAATCCATACATTGCAATCCCATCTTTAGAGATATCACATTTGGCCCATATCATTCCACTGGTTTTTGTACCATTATTAGCTGAAATAGCGAACTGGTATCTGTAATCTCTTGGCAGATCAATGACATGATTGCTTTTGTTAGGTTCTAACACTGTGAAATTCAAACGACCATGACATATTTTAGTGGTGTTATGATGACACCAGAACAGTGTATAGTTATCTATTTTATCAATACCAACCCACGACAGTTCATATGTGCCATTTTCATATGCAAGTTTAGTGAATGAAGTGATATCTAATGAATGGGTGTCTCTTGCAGGTGGTATATACAGATGGCTACTGTTAACAGATGGTCCATTCATATTAAGGGACCAAACTGATACTTCCATCGCATCTAAAGACGCAACTTCAAGAAAAACATAGCTTAAGCTTTTATTTTTGTCAGCCAACAAAGTCTGTGTTTTACTTCCTTGTGAAATAAGCACTTTATAAGTAAAATTTGCTCCAGCCTCCTCATATTCCTCCAACTGTTTCCAGTACACATAGATAACTCTTTTGTTATTGTATGTGGCTTGATCAAACCCCCCTGCGGTCATTTCCGGTGGCCGTCCAGGCCTTTCACTAGCTGTATAAAATACTATATAACTGAATTCTGACCAAAATTCTTCACTTACAGCTTTCCTTGATTTGATATATATACGCACTTCATACTGCATATGAGCATAAGGCAAGTTGGTTAATTGGAATCTATATGTTTTGTTGTTAGGTGGCAGAAATGAAGCATCAACACTGTGGAAGTAGGCAGTATTATCAATTTTAGCTATTTGATATTCAATTCTATGTTCCACTCCACATGGCAACAAATCCACAACATTGTTGGGGATACTCCATTGCAAAACAACACTATGTGTACCATTACTTAGTACTTTTAAGTCTGCTGGAGGGTCAGGTTTCACTACTGAAAAATGATCCACAGTGAAATTTTGTTCATTACAGCCAAATACATTACAGGACTTTAGATTGAAATAAAATTCTTCCTCTTGCTGTCTATACCGAGGCTGGCTACTGGTGTTCCAAGTACAATACCTAGTATTTTCAATTTTCTTAGCAATACAAGGCTGCACAGAGTTTCCATTTATTAAAAATGTTAAAGAATAATTAATGTTACTATATGAATCTGGTGAAGTCCATGAACAGTTTAAAACCTCAAGATTTTTAGAGAGACAACTAAAGTCAGTTATGTTTTCTGGAGGCGAATCAACTAGTACACGATTGGTACAAATTTTTTTAGTTTTCTTGTTCTTACAATAGTAAGTATTTACTTGCTTTTCAGGCTTGTCAATATACAGTCTCCTTGTTGTGCTGTTAACGATTGTAGAAGGAAAAGGTTTTCCAGCTAATGTAAATTCGATGTCTTCTGAGGAATAATTTTCAGCAACGCAAAATATTTCCAATGGTTCACCATAAAGAACACTGACGTCACCTTGAGGGTATACGGCAACTGTGATGTCCACTCCTAGGCATTTCGAAAATATACAAGGCAAACTCAGAAAACACTTCACCAAAATGCACCAAATCCATGATCGAAACAGTGGTCCCTTCCTCGAACGGCATTTCGTTTTGTTAAAACGAGTATCTAAACAATTATTTGCCATAACTAATATTGTCCTAAATGTTTCTCGTTTGCCACAACATTACGAATTAGTGTGTTTGCCGTTGCTTTAAGTTAACTGCTAAAAACGATAAACATATTCCTTGTGTTTTTATTTCACGAGCTAAATGGCGCACTGTAGTCCCGACACGATGACACAAGGCTGACTGACTAAACTCAAGTACTTCACAACACACTTATTTATCTATCGGCACTATTACCGTAGGAATGAATACATGTTTGTAAAACACTTTAAATTACGCGACTGGAGTCCAGATGAACGTATGAAAAATTAATACGCCTATAAATAGCGTAAGTACTTACATAAAATAGAAAGAAAAACTTTGGAATAGATATTTCTGAGTAGCACGAACTTCACTCCGTTGATCCGTCGAAAACAAATCAATACCTAAGTTAAAAAAAATCTCAATGTTGCCTTCATATAAAAAATCACAGACAAGGTAGAAACTTATAATACTAAGCGCGTTATGCTTTAAATTTTTAATAAAAATTCGCAATAGTTTTCAGATACACAATAATATGTTAAGTAGTAGTCATTCAAATTATTACAATTTCAATTTGTGCGACAAGAGGTAGTACTTTTCTCTCGCAAAGGCCGAATGAAGCAATTCAGCAAGGAAAGAGGAACCGCAGTTGGTTTTCCCGGTGAGTAGGACAGTATAATAATTTTAGTCTTTAATTTGTTATCTTTAAAATATAAATATTGTAGTGTTATTGAAAATATTTAAAAGTACAACAATATTTTAATCTTGTTGAACAAATTATATAAACTTTTAACAAATTATATAAAATTCAACGACTTTTTAGTAGTTTTTTTCTAAGTAGGCTTGCTTAGATTTATACAGAGAAAACTTTGTTTAATAAAACCCTTTGTAACAAAACCCTTTTTATATATGAGAGGGGGCAAACGAGCATGCGGCTCACCTGATGATAAGTGACTACTGCCACCCATGAACAAACACAACGCCAGGGGAATTGCAGATGCGTTGCCAGCCTTTTAAAAAGAAGTAGGCTCTTTTCTTGAAGGTCCCTACGTCGTGTCGGTCCGGAAAAGTCGCTGGTTGTAGTTGCTTCCACAAGGAAGTTGGTTTTCATGAATGAATTCACAAACCGGTACATTCCATCACCCTTTATGACGTATGGTACGCTCTCTTTAGCGAACCTGGCTATTTTAGACGCAAAACAACTTTAACTATAGTAAGCCTGATGTTAAAACTAATGGCATCGGGATTCTCTGATGTCATAGAAAGTTCCAGGGACTTGACTATCATGTGTACTTCTTTTGTTTATTGAGGTTATTGCCTACCATTCAATACAATGTTAGTAGAGGCCGAAACATGGTTTATCATATCGGTTAGTATGAATCTGAAATCCATTCGGTAAACAGGACTAGCTGTAACAAAAAGATTTTGTTTCTAGATCAAAAAGATGTTTTGATTTGTGCAATAAATAAAGATAAAAAGTGATATTGGACGGCAGGACTCACTCCGTGCACTGCATCCACCATTCGGGAGTGCAAGAAGAAGGTCTTGCAAGCCGTAGAGGAAGGTAGCTCTAGTAAAAGATACGATAGCCAATGTTTGAAGACCTATACTCAACCAAATCCAAAAAATACCTTTTGACAGTTGTCAGACTTATTTTAACTTTTAACTCTCTCTATCGCACGATACGGGTCGGGGGGCATGGGGCATATTGTAGTGATGTTAGGGGAGTTGGAGCCGTGGTAGCTCAGATGGTTAGCGCTCGCTATAAGTTTCACAGTAGGTACGCGAGAAACCCGGGTTCGATCCCCACCGGCACCAATGAAATTGTTAATTGCAATTTTAAGTGCTGATTTACCACGTGTTCGGCGGTGAAGAAAAACATCGTGAGGAAACCTGCATGTCTGACAAATAAGAAAAAAAATATATATTTCGAAGACATGTGAAGTTCGCCAACACGCATTGGGGCAGCGCGGCGGACCTTTCCTTGCGCTAAAACCCTCTCAGAAATGAGAGGAGGCCTGTGCCCAGCAGTGGGACGTGTATATAGGCTGTAACTTTTAGAGGTGTTATCGATATTATTATCGCCTAGGGAGAAGAAAATAATATCGATAACCTAGAAAGATAATACGTCTCATGAAAAAGTTAATGTCTGTGACTATTCAGTGTTTATCGATTATTTAGTTATTAATTTAGTCTTTATTGAATAAGGACATTAAATTAAAAATATTTCGAGTTTAGAATAAAGTAGGTAGGCAAATAAATAAAAAGTAACAACTTGAAGAAATTATTATTGTTTATTATTACATATTACTTTATATATATTACACTTTTTCTCGAACTGCCATTTCTCTAGGAACTCAAGGGTCAATCATTTCTGGTAATAAACATTAAAAATGAAATGAGTAAAGTCTTGGCTGCATTTTTGCTGCCCAAAAGTGATTATAGTATTTATTTTTTTCCTACGGCGAACCACATGGTTTATTAAATTAAGTACGAAAACATGAAAAGGTTGTGTCCATACTACGAAAACACAAAATTGCCTACCAGTGATATGAAATTACCCCTGGACCTGATAATAGTAATCATGGATTCTTTTTTTTCGTCCTTCTCGTATCAAACAAAATTTGATCTGTTTTTAGTTATGGCCTCCAAATGTAGCATATTAGAATCAGAAATAAGACATTTTCATTTAGAGAATCATGTCCAATAAGCCCATCGGGAGTTGTCCCTAAATAATAATCTTCGGAATCAATAAACAGTCCACACTCCCAAACTTTTAGATTATGTTTCATAATCTTGATTCTTTGCAAAATGTTAAATTAATGAAATTGCAATCGAAATATTTTTTTATTTGCTAAATGATTTATTTCTACAATTCTTCACCCATACAACTTATTTGACTAAATCTTGACTAACGCGAAGACGGTGATGTATTATATATATATATATATAAAATATTTACATGACTTATCATTATTGTATTCTTTTTGATTCTCTTTGTCAGATTCGATTACTTCGCCAACTGAAGTACATCGTCCTTGCACATTACTGTCTGGTAATTATTTGTCTATCTCGGAGTCACTGAAAAATAAATAGAAGCATAATAGTTTAAATTATATTTTATGGCTAACGCGGGCGAAGTCGTGGGTGAAAAGCTAGTTTACCTATATAATTCGGTTCATTGTTTAAATTTCTGTGAGAACGTAGTCGTTCCCCGGTCGAGCCGACCCACTCGTGCTACAACTATACTACTAATATAGCTGCAGCATGGCTATACCACGTATAAAAATTTTACCAATCAAATCTTTGTATCTCGAAAATTTTAGCATTTTCCTTGGAATCATCGGAATTCCACAGTAACAATGATACGAACAACTTCTTCTAACGGACTAATATTATTACTGGACAAGTGGTAAAATTAAAAATTTTGTACAACCGATTTCAATAAAACTCAATTACAACATAATATATATAATGGTTGAAATGATTTCCATAAAATTTGTATGAGACCAACTGTGAACAAGAAAAGAATAGGAATAAAATAAAACAAATATACATACAGCCGAATATTCCCCCTTTGTTTTTGAAGTCAAATCAACATGTGTGTGTAATGAATTTATAAAAGTAGGCGAAGGTTATACGAGCTTTATGATGAAAGATCATATAATAGTAGTGTTATATTTAGAGATTATGTAAAAACATATTCTAAAATATTTAAAAAAGTGTGCTCCACTGCTAAGGCTTTTATAAAAAAAAAATATTTCGTGATCTTCCCAAGGCCTTCGACTGTGTTCACTATGAGACATTAATCAGGAAGCTACAGTACTATGGTGTCAAGAACACAGCGCTTAAACTTATTATTTCATATTTAAGTAATAGAAACCAGAAGGTTATTATCAGTGGTAAAAGTTCGTCCGGGTCACCTGTACTAATGGGTGTTCCTCAGGGCTCAATTCTCGGCCCATTCCTGTTTCTGGTGTATATTAATGACTTACCTCACCTTGTAGGGGATAGTCATGATATAGTATTATTTGCTGATGATACTTCCTTGATTTTTAAACTTAAACGTCAATCATTTAAATGTGACGAAGTGAATAATGCTATATCAAAATTAGTGCATTGGTTTAACGTTAATAATCTGCATTTGAACGGAAATAAAACTAATTGTGTTAAATTTACAACAACGAATGTTCAAAATCTGAATACCAATGTGTTTTTAAATGGGGAGGAATTGAGCCCTGTTGTATCTACAGTTTTTCTTGGCATCACTCTTGACGCAAAGCTTCAGTGGGGCCCCCATATATCCAAATTAGCAAGCAGACTAAGTTCTGCAGCCTATGCTGAAAAAAAGATTAGAGGTCTCACTAGTGTCGAGACAGCTAGATTAGTTTATTTTAGTTATTTCCATAGCATGTCTTATGGAATTTTGCTATGGGGAAATGCGACTGATTCAGAAACTATTTTTGTTTTACAGAAGAGGGCCATTAGAGCTATTTACAATCTAAAACCGAGAGTCTCTTAGAGATAAATTTAAAGAAATAAATATATTAACTTTGGCCTCTCAGTATATTTACGAAAATTTAATGTATGTTCACAAAAACAAAGATAGTTTTAGTAAAAAAAAAAGATATACATTCTGTAAACACTAAGAACAAACACAAGCTAGTGCCAGTTTCTCGACTCCACAGAGTCAGTAATTCATTCTTGGGGTAATGTATACGCTATTACAACAAGGTCCCGGAAAGTGTACAGGTTCTCTCTATTACCAAGTTTAAATGTTTTATTAAACTGAAACTGTATAAAAAGGGTTATTATAGTATAAATGAATACATGGTTGATAATAACCCCTGGGAATGAGGTGGTCGCTTCCAAGCAGTTTCTAAAATAAATTTTGTAAATAGTTCGTAATCATTTATATTGTAAAATTTATTTTTAAAAAAAAGTCCCGCTGGGTTTCTTGCTGGTTCTTCCCAAGACAGAGGCGGTTTTTTTTCGAACCAGTGGTAAAGCAAAAAATGACTTTCAATGAGAATTACACATGTAATGTATATTGAATAAAAAATTATTCTATTCTATTCTATTCATCAGCTATCCCATACTTTTATATTTTGTGGAATAAATTTCGGTCTATCTCCTACCAGAAAACCAATATACATACAATAGTATGTAAGGTGGTAAGGTATGCAATAAAAGTAAATATAATTTATTTATAAGTAAGTAAGTAAGTAAGTACGCCTACTTACCTGTTGAGCACAGAGCTGTTGATTTTAGAAGTTAGTTGCCCGTCCTTTCGATTTACGAAGCAAATTGCATTTTTTTAGTTTTGTCTCTAATCTTTCTCTTCTATTCTAAAATGTTAAAATTATTTTAGTTGAACGAATGTAATACTCACATAGTATATAGGTAGATACTTACATAAAAAAATAACAGCCCACTTCTATAAGGTATATATAATAAGTCCCCACGTCTACATAGACTATACAATATAATAAAATTGCAAAGTAACACAAACAAATCCATTATGTAACTTGTCGTAAATGTACGCAAATATGGCTATGAATGGATGAACGCTCCTGCTGCTGGTATCGTAGTGTGCGTAAGAATTAGTGTAATATGTTGTATTTCTGTTGTTCACGCCCGGAGCCCGGCAGGAGGCAGAACGTGCGTTATGAAACAGATAGCATTTTTGAAAATACCTACTCGCGCCGCGTATCGGCACTTCACAATCCTCTTAATCATATTTCAATAATTACGGTAATGGTGTTTGGGATCTATATTCACTAATTAATCAATACATGTAAAATATAGTCTCCACACCACGTTTGTATGGCTGTACACTATATTTTGCCGGAACCACTAAAAGAATTTTCCATTAGTTTTAAACTACCTATAAATGTTGAATGTACCACCTACAACTTTGTTTTATAGTATTAATTATTGAACAGTGCAGTGCTTTCACTTATAATACCAGTGAAAACTACTAGACAATCGCTTTTAGTTTGTTTTTAGGTTACTGTGATTTTCATATTTTAATTTTTAATTTATCACTATTCCCGTTAGATGCGGTAAAACTAATAGAAGTATTGTAGTCTAAAGATACACAGGGATAAATCGACATGCATTTCATCAAGTATATAAATTGAAATAAACAAATAATTATTTTTTATATTTTACCGATTATTTGAATATTTTTAATGATTAGTCGCATAAAAATGAATTTTAGTAATCCAAACCACAGAACACTAATACCCTTAGGCGGGATCCAAACACTACGCTTAGGTACATAACGACATATCATTGAAATAACGTCAATCAAAAAAGCTGACTCTAGTTAAATTTTTTACATTTTGCTTTTTTGGAACGATTCTAACTTAAATCAGCAATCACTGGGTCCAAAGAGAATATAATCACTACGTTTACTGGGTCTATTTACTGAATAGCTGGGTATAACAGACTTCAAGACCTCCGAAGAATGGTTCTGAAAATGTATAAGGCGTCACGATATAAACTACGGCCATATGAGTGGAGAAGCCCGTGATGTCAATATAAACATCACAAACGGATGGCTTCAGAAGATTGCTTGGAAACTAGCATTCTTTACAAAGTGAAGCCAGTTATAAAGAAGTTTAAAACTAAAAAGTGCTTGGGTGGCAAACTCTCCAAAGAACATATTACGGCGCTGGTGGCCAACATGAGTGGCACAGAAAAATAAAAGAAAATTAATGGTGATTGATAATTCAAAAAACCCACAGCTTTTCAAGAACACTAAATGGTAGCTGGTCACTTATAGTGCAAACACGTCTGCATGGATAACATCGCATCCTTTTGAAAAAGAAGTACGAAGGTGTGATGCAGCAGATCTATAAGGTAGGAAAATTTTACTTTTTGTTCTCAAGTTGCTGTCAAAATCTTCCAAGGGCTGCACAATGTGACGCATCAACATATTGTGAAGCAGTGAAATTCTATATATTCAAAATAAAAAACACAAGGCTGTATGGCATAGTTCCTTTGCCTGCTCTCTCGAGTGAATAATAAAAACAACAACAACAACAACAATCAACTGTCAAAATATCAAGTGTCAACTTTTTATTTTCATAATCCATTGTTTACATAATTTTATGATTTTACAATGAAATAAAACCGTATAATTAATATTACCAAATATGTGAATTGAGTGTTTTATAATGGATTATGATAATAAGCAGGACATACTGGGATTTTCAACGAAGGAAGCTTTAATTAAGTTACGAAATGATATTCAATCTGTTATTGATGAACATAAAAAGAAAAATCTTAAAGGGTATAAAATAGCTCTTTTACTTTTCATAGGCCTGATTTTCCAATCGTTAGATAAAAGTTGTCCGTCGAATAAATTATAACCTGACTGAATGTAAAAGTGAAACAATTGCACTATTTTATATAAACAGTAGTAAGTTTGTTGATGTTATATCTTATCCTGTGAATAACTTTTATCTGATGATTGAAAATCGGCCATAAAACTAAAGAAATACAATGTCACTTTTGACTTATGTCACTGTTTTATGTACGTTTTCAGATATGGGTTTGTTCGAAATATTGTATCGTTTTCATCAGAAAAAGTGCTCTTGTCTGGAGTGGCATACACAATCATTCTTGTTTATATTGTGTCTTTAATTTTGACATATTTAATTGGAGAAACGTTACTTGCACAATCATATTTACTATGGGAAGCTCTATTTCTTTTTGTAGTTTTGGTTATAAACTTCCTAGTTGCATTTAATGAAGAATGCATTCATAGAAATGAAATTACACTACGGGTCAAAAAGGTTCTTAGTAAGTATTAAATTTTAATTTGTATACATCAGATTTGGTTTATATATAGATATATTTAAATTATTTTTTTAGAAACCTTAAATGAGGCTATAGATAAGGCGGTATGGAGGGAGAATCACTATCCACATTTGTGCGCCCCATTTTCACCATGTGTAATATTACAGTGGACTTATAGAGATGGTAAGAAGTCTCTCATTGTTAAATTCTAAATATATATTCATTCTCTCTACTTTTATGCAATACTGCATGCACATATTGTTGAAATTTATAATACTTATTGTTGCAATGAGAGAAAACAACTAACTTTTAGTATAGACTACATGAATAATTATTAAACTTATAACTGTATGCATCAAAATGTGGAAAAAATTTTTTTGTATGTTGCCATAAAATATACTTAATGCTTGTTATATAATATTTTACTTTAAGTAAAACCTTCTGTATTGTATAACTTTTTTATACAACTCTGACTGCCCCAGAAAGAGTGTAATGTTTTTCGAGAGTATGTATGTATTAACTGTGTCCAGCGGTTTCATCCAAATATATCACGTGTTTGAGGCATGCGACATGACATGACACCTAGTTCAAGCATTTAGATAGCAATGTATGGAAAAATTGGCAAAAATAATGGAGTACTTTTATCGGCATACACATATATAATTATAAAATTTCAAAGTAGCATAGCAACTTGAAATGAAAGAGTTTGAATATAAATTGTGGGTCTTATTAAAGGAAATATTTGATTCTTTGCTTTAGTCATACATATTATCTTAGCGATAAAGTGGGAAGTTTTTGAGAAAACTATACTTTGAGCAAAAAAAAAATCGATAAATGATTAAAAATATTCATATTTTGTGGCAGATTGCACGGAAACTAAGTGATTTCGCTTTTGTATGTATAAGAGATTGATAGCAAATTTATCAAGAATTATTTTGTAGCTTACACTTTTCATATATAGTGTACAGTTTTCTTTAAAACTGAAAAATACCACTCTTCAGGACAATTTCTAGGGTGCGGTGCGGGGGGTGACGCTCATCCGGAAGGGGGAGGGAGAGTGGATAAAATATAACTTTGCTCTATAATGTACATAATATGCCGATAGATAAAAGTACTCCATTAATTTTGCCAATTTTTATCTATAATGTTTGAACTAATCTAGTTCATAGAAGCATTCATTGCTGGTTTCTCTCGGTTCTCATCGGGCGGCTAGGATTTATGTGTCGTTTGCGAGCCAAGCCAAGTATTAAATTATTTTAATTTTACATTGTCTTTTAAAGTATGCGTCCAAATAACATGCTATAAAGAGCAAATTTTATCTTCATAAAATAGTCTTGATAATGAAGTAATGTTCGTTCGTAAGAATTAATATGCCATGCCTAATAATAACACTCATTAATCACTTTTTAATTTTTATAATTTTTTATCACAAAATACCTTATTGTGGCTTATGTATAAGAAATATGCATATAGTATCGCAAACTTTTTTCTATAGATGGAGTAAACTAACTATTATGCCAGCACACGTGGATAAATCACTTCGGGATCACTTTTTCTTCCAACTTGCTTAACAAAAACATTTAAGACTAGCTGAGAGGTGTAGCCTTATTATGGATAGCCTATACTATTCCTCATGAATCTAGCTATAATACACGAAAAGAATTTTTCAAATCGGACTACCAGTACCAGAGTGTGTTTAAACAAACAAAACTAAAAAAAACTCTTGTGCTATTAAAGTATAGATATCTATTTCTTTGGCATGCTCTATAGCCTAAATGGCTTGATGCTTTTGAACATATAACATGTTACATTAGTCTTAATTGTGGGAGGGATATAGGCTATATAATATTTACATATATATTGCATCTGCAAATACAAGAAAAGGGTGCTGAAGTTTCCTGTTTTACGCCGTCGAGTTTTTTAAATTGCTGTTTTAACTATTTGCTTGTTTTCTTGTAGGAACCATAGTCAATTTGCCATGGGCGCTTCTTGTTGAAGGGGATATTATAGTCTTGAGACCAGGACAGGAAGTACCAGGTCATTGTAAAGGACTTCAACCAGAGGATCCAGAACTTTTTTTTGGACAGATTTTTCAACCTGGCACACAGGTAATTCAATGTTGTCCCTTAGATAATTTTACCTAACTAGAACCAGTCAAAAGCAAACTATACTTGCACAATCAGTGTTCCATGCCACTAGTGCCATTAAAAAAAAACTCGTGCTTATTACCTGTTCTTTTCTGAGGTCTGGTTATGCGAAGAGGTGTAGATTTTAATATTAATAAGAGCTCTAGAAGAGCATACATTTGATCACAAGTTTTTGACTTTAACAAGTATATAAATTTGTGTTCATTGCAAGTATCTTAGGCCACATTTGATTTATAACACAAATGACAATATTGGAAGAAAGTGAATGAAAAATGCATTCTGACATATCATGTTATTTGTGATCACTGCATTCAGGATTTTTTTTATTATTTATGTGTTCTCAGTTTTTTTCTCAATAATCCTTTTTGCATAAGACCTCATTTGAAATACATGCATAAAAAGTAATGTAATTTCTATAATTTTACTTTAACCTTTATCTTAATATCAATACTCACGATGATGTGATGACACAAGAACTTCGCAATTTTGAAGTATTTATTCAAAAAACTTTTTGTCAGTGGTAGAGCCACGCGGCAGCTTTTGCTGTCGCACGGATGGGCCGGCTCGAACCGGGGTAGTACCACGACCTCACCAAAAACTAGCGTGAAATAGAGGTTTACCTCTGCGTTTCGCTTGGTGAGTGCAGGTGGCCGGAGGCCCTTTTTACTGGAAATGAGGCATTCCATCTTAGTCCTCACGGGTGACAACGCATCTACATTTTGATTTGTAACAGAGGATAGATGTAGATGTCTATGGGCCGCAGCAACCACTTACCATCAGGTGGACTGTGTGCTCGTTTGTCACCCTTATCCTATAAAAAAAAATGTTAAACATAGCAATGTTAAACACAAACAATGAATTTTACATTTAAAAAAGGGTGCTACAAAGAGCTCATGAACTTCACATAATGATTTCAAAACTTTTTCAATTGTTTATTTCAAAGGTGACTGAGTCAATAATTTCTATTTTGAACCTTACATCTGTATTTGAAGACCCCCTTAAATAGTCCAAGAAATATAAACAGACAGACGGAGACTCTGAAGTAATTCCATGTGTTTCATTTTACTTATTTTAATATATAACTAACAAATTTGGGGACAGTAAGAAATTGTGCTTTTGATATAAAATTGTTTTTATTTCAGAACAAAGAAAATTTTAGTACCCCAAGGGTACGCCCACCACATCAAAACAAAGCCCACAAAATGTTAGAAACTCCATACTTAAAGAACTTAAAATTGGCTTTGGAACAAGCCACAAACAGGCCAGTAACAGTGTTTGAAAAACAAAGATATTTGGTAAGTTTTAGGGGTACTTACTGTTATTTATATTTTAACATAAATAATGTAGAAAGTTTTAATATTTCGAAATGTTATTATAAAATTTGATAAAAATACTAACTTTGATCACTACATTATAACTGTGTCTTGCAATTGATGATGATCCTAGCTTCTTCAACTATATAAACACTTACACCGGTCACCCAGAGGGGTAGGCAGAGACTGGACTGCCATTTGGCACGATCCTGATACACCTCTCTGGTCTCACATGCTCGTCGATTAAGAGTACTTTTAATTTCGCCAATCATCAATATATTGCCAATTGATCGATAAACTTCCGTCTATGGCGTCTCTTGCCGACTCTGCCGTTCACTTCTGCAATATAAATGACCAAACCACCGAAACATTCCTTTCATAATGCTAGTCACAACATCATCTTGTAAACCACTTTTCTCTTATCACACAATTTCTCACCCTGCCATTCACATCCCACCCTATCATACTCCTTAATGACCGCCTATTTCTACAGTATTTATTCTACTCTCGTGCTTCTTTTTCACATTTCCACATTCTGCCACACCCAACTTTCACTACCATACATTAAAGTAGGAACGAACATAACATTGTGAACTATACATGCGTTTTTTGACACATTGTGACCTCCCACAAAAGAGTGAAGAGCCCCATTACTCTGCCCTGGGTTCACCCGTCGCTTTATATCCTAGTTATGTCCATCCCTACTAAACACACATCCTAAATACACAAACTCATCCACTTGCTCAACCAACTCCCCTTCTATTCTTACTTCACATATTTTTACTTTTCTCTTTCCATCACTTCCGTTCGTCTTACTTTTTTTTGATGACCTGTTTATTAAAGCCTTGGATATACTTGGGGACAAAAGGAGCGGCATGTTGCGCTACATGTCGCTCAACAACTACGTGGAATGTCCCGAGATATATGCTTATAGAAATGTCGCCCGAGGAGGTTGTGGCGATTAGTGCTGCGTACATAGTACTTATTTCGGGAGTGAAATGTAAGAGAAAGAGAAGGTGGTGGATGCGGAATTTCTTACTACGAGAAGAAAGAAGAATTGATATTTTAAGTGATTTCCGAATGTCTGACGGATCTTTTGTGAATCTTCCTTGTCGTACAATTTTTAAGTGTCGACACAACTGATCGGCAGAATAGTACTAGAAATTTGTGGTTTGATGTATACCACAACAAAATATGACTCTGGTAAAGCTCAAGAAGTAAAAGCACGGTTTCGTTTCCCCACCCTACTGACATATTGCCAGGCAAGTTGCGCACACGACTAGACCATAGATAAATAAATATGTACCAAGCTAGACTACACCCGGTAAAAAAAAGCGCGACACTGACGCGGCACAAATGCGCTCGCTCTCGGAGCGGGAACAAGCAACATGTCCCGCGTCGCGTAAAATGTTGCGGGTCACTGTGCAACGTTGCATCGTCATTGAGTGTGCCGCGTCATGTTGCGTGCGGGACAAAACGTCCCCTAGTGTATCCAGGGCTTAATGTGTAACCATCATTTGCAACTCGGCCACTGACGACGCCAATATGACTTGATCATCACTGTACAAAAGGCATTTGACGGTTCATCATCATCATCATTGCAGCCTTTCACAAGTCCACTGCTGAACATAGGCCTCCCCCAAGGAATGCCACAAAGCACGGTCCTGAGTCACCTGCATCCATCGACTTCCTGCATGTCTTACCAGGTCGTCACTCCATCTCGTGAGGGGTCGCCCTACACTTCGCCTACCGGTACGAGGCTGCCACTCGAGAACCTTTCTTCCCCATCTATTGTCGGTTCTTCGAGCTATATGGCCGGCCCATTGCCACTTCAGCTTACTAATCCGTTGGGCTATGTCGGTTACTCTGGTTCTACTGCGGATATCCTCATTTCTAAGTTTATCACACAGAGAAACCCTGAGCATAGCCCTCTCCATAGCTCGCTGAGCGACCTTGAGCTTCCTCATACGGCCAGCAGATAAGGACCACGTCTCAGATCCGTAAGTTATCACTGGCAACATGCGCTGGTTGTACATTTGACGGTTAACTCACCTTAAATCTGGAAAAATGGGTGTTAAAGATTTTTTATGTAACTATTTAAAATATATTTTAATTGCTTGCTATCTTGAACTTGTGATATTCTTAATTTCAATCAAAAGGGTAATAAAAATAACTTTATAAAAGGTAAAAACACTTCAAGAATAAAATTTTCCACATAAGCTTCTGAAGTCATACGTGATAGAGCCATGCTGCAGGTATATTAGTAGTATATTTGTAGCACGAATGGGTCGGCTCTACCGAGGAAGGACCACGCTTTCACTGAATACCAGCGTAAAATGGCAGCTTGATACTGCTGTGTTTCGTATGGTGAGTGTAGAGAACCGGAGACCCTTTTTACTGGAAAAGAGGCATTCTATCTTAGTGCTTACAGGTGACAACGCATCTGTATTTGGATTCGCAAACGAAGATAGATGTCTATGGGTCACAGCAACCACTTACCATCAGGTGGACTGTGTACTCGTTTGTCACTATCCTATATAAAAAAAAAAATTTGGGGCATTATTTCTTCGATGCACTATATCTTAGCACCGACTTAGATGAAAGCTATTATGTGGAAATTATTTTATTCTTTTTAATAGTATTGAAGTCAATTATACTGCTTTTTTTAAAGTAAAATTTTTGTAATTTTTATTCAACATGATATGTATTACATTATTATCTGTAGGATATACTATCGGTATTCCTACGGGTAAGCAAAACGCGATGCGTCACCCCCGGTCGAAATAAAGATAAGAAAATAACTGTGGAAGTGAATTCAAGGTGGTTATATAGTTTTTTTTTACTGTCTCGTTGGTCTAGTGGTTGTAGTAGTGCATAGTGCGGTTGCGACTGCTGATCATCTGATGAGGTCCCGGGTTCGAATCCTGAGTCGGGTCAAAAAAAATCAGTTATTCGAGTTTTTCTGTCAAGAAATACTCAGTAGTTGCCCGGTGTCAGAAAGTTGGCGGTGTCTCACCCCCCGTGCCCCGGAAGTAAAGCCGTTAGTCTTGCGCCTGATCTATCTCCGGTCGTGTTGGTTTACCGTCCCATCGGACTATGAGAGTGAGGGAATAGAGAGTGCACCTGTGCTTACACATACACTTGGGCACTATAATCATGTCCTGCGCCTATGACTAGTCTCCGTTCACCAAAATTCGGTCTGGAGAACATTATTATTATTATATATCATATATGAATTTGTGTGTAAGAGTGGTTCTTAAAAACTAACAATACATACAAACCTTTTTATCTTTGAATGCACATCGAAATTAATTATTTTCCTCGTCTCTAAATGATTATATCAAACAATTTTAAGTTAATATAGTTATAAAATTGCAATTAACAATTTCATTGGTACCAGCGGGGATCGAACCCGGGTTGCTCGCGTACTGTGAAGCTTACAGCGAGCGCTTACCATCTGAGCTACCACGGCTCATATATTTATTTATTTAACCTTTATTACACACCCCTATATCACATTATAATGTTAACCTGTGCGATGTTTGTTTCCTAATATTAGGAGCCCTTTTTTTTTTTTGCGGATGGAAAATCATCAAATGACGCCTTTCGCTCTGGGTGGAGCGGAAGGGAGTGTCAGACTTTTACTGACTAAAAACCATCCGTGTTCCTTCAGTGCCCTTACGTTCCGGAGCCGCGGTATCTCTTTCGAACAGCCCGCAGCCCCGGCAGGCGTCGGCCCTTGCGGGCCCCTTCACGCTGCTGACAGCTCTTTGAGGCGCGCGTGGAACAAAACGCGCCGTCGACACGGCCTGTCGTCGTTAGACGGACGGACGGCGAGCTACCCATTGCTCGCCGTCCACAGGCCCGCGCCTACGGTGGCCGGGGGCCACGACGTAGCCCCCGACGCCCGGGGCGTCTCCCGCGGCGGCCGGGAAGGAAAGCTGCTGCTCTCTCCTTCTCCCGCTCCGCCACCTCCTTCGCTAGCATCACTGCTTCGCAGAAGGTGGTGACGGCAACCCATTCCGTCTCGCTCCGGACCATGGCTTCGACCAGGGCCGGACGCGAGAGGTCGCCGCCGCCTATCGCCGCTATGAGGACACGGCGGTGCTCCGCCCAGGCAGGGCACACCTCCACGGTGTGCTCCACCGTGTCCTCCGGTCGATCCTCGCAGTGGGAGCACCCGGGCGTTTCCTCCCGCCCGATTCGGTGCAGGAACCTCCCGAACACACCGTGTCCGGTGAGGACCTGCGTCAGGCGGAAGGTGAGGACGCCGTGGCGTCTCTCAAGCCACTCCTCAAAGAGGGGTCTTATCGCCGCTATAGTGGCGTGCCCAGCACGGGGTTGCGACAGTCGCTCTCTCCATGTCGCCATGAGATCATGCCGGAAGTCTGTCCGCTGCACGACAACTTGCCGCGGCAGCGGGGTTTCCCCCCGGCATAGTGCCTCCGCGCGCCATTCGTGCAGGCGCGCGAGGACTATCGCTTCCAGATCCCATGGCGGCAATCCGGCAAGGAAATATTAGGAGCCCTGTAACAGAATTATTTAATTTTTAACCTCAAAGTTAAACTCTATTAAATTTATTTATATTTTTGTCGACAGTGTACAGTAAAAATAATGGAGGGCATTGTATTGCCCCTTGTGATATCCTTAGTGGTTGTGGCCAGTTTTGTACGCCATATGTATCATTTACCCGGCGTCACACACTGGACAGAGATTTATTTCCTACAAACAATTGCTGCGTCTCTGCCTCTACTGCAAATAATCTTCCCAATCGCATGGGTCACTCTCAATTGCTATGGACTAGCAAGGTAAATATTAATCTTTTTCTTTTATTCTAACTGTTAATATTGAAAATGATTATAAATTTTATTTTAAAGCATAAATTGTTATTAGCATAAACAATGTAAAGTTTTTCGTTTGTATGCTTGATTTTTGCAATGGGACATGTTTACGAAATATATGGTAAAGATTTTTCTTTTTCATCAGCGTCCATTGCTGGAACCAGGCCTTACTGTATTTCGGAAAGGTTTTATAGGATAGGGTGACAAACGAGCACACAGTCCACCTGATGGTAAGTGGTTGCTGTGGCCCATATACATCTACATTTATCCTCGTTTGCGAATTAAAATGCAGATGCGTTGTCACCCGTGAGGACTAACTTGGAATGCCTGCGATCTTGGTAATTTGATCGTAGCCTTTTTTTAAAGCTTTTATGCTGCAATTGAACGAATTGACACCTACGAACTACGCGAGACAATATTGGGTTAAATATATTTCTATACATGCAGTACATAAATACAAATATATTATCGAATTTTTCAGATTTAAATTACTATCGGAGACTCGTCAAAAGTACGTCCGACCGAAATCGTGTTCGATATCTGAAGACGCCACCGACCCGCTTATACAGGCTCTCAGTGAATCTAACCTAAAGCCTGATAGTCTGCGATCATTGAGCAAGACATTTCTGAATATACTTTTGGGCAGAGAGGATATGGTCACCAGAACTGCCAACATTGTTCACGTATTCGGATCTTTGTCGGTGAGTTATTTTTTTCTTTTAAAAGCGCCGCCAAGGCGGAGCACGAGGTAAGACAGACCTCTCTAGCTAGAGATTAAAATAAAAATATATGATAGGAATTATGAACATTTTTATAAAAACTATCCCGCTCTAAGAATGTGTCATATCGCGGAGGAGTTGTACATACATAAATTAGACAAAGAAAAACACAAATGCTGCACGCTGCTACCGATCTCCTGATTCGTTTCCCTTTGTCATCTCTTACGACACCCACGTGATGATATGGGGTAGTGGATATTCTTACACCGCTACTACACGGTAACTTTATTAATAAATTAAAATCTACCCAATTTGTTATTAAAATAAAAATAAATCGTTTCAATATTATACCTTAGTAAAAAAATTGTACCTTTGTGTTTCTAAACTAATACAAACAAGTCGTATAAAAGCTACCTATTTTCAGGCTCTATGCTGCATAGATAAGAAAGGGGTTCTGTCATGGCCAAATCCAACAGCAGAAAAGGTATTCTTCCTTCGCAACTCCAGTCCCACATCGCCCAATTCAAGTAAGACCAGTCTCGTGGGTTCTATGGGCCGCAACAGTCAAACAACGATGGAGACGGGTGACAACAAACCTAAGCCCGACTCTTCAACTATTGTTGAGGTATTTACATATCATTTGTATATATAAACTGTTTTTTTTTTATAAAACTGAAGTGACAGTAAGTGCCTACTGCAGTCCATGGACACCTGCAGCCGACTTCAAACAAAGTAAGCTATAGATGCGTTGTTACCTAGAGGACTAAGATGAAGAGCTTGATAGCTTGCAGTTATACTGGCTCTCTATACTGTTCTGATCAGAAACCAGCAGTGCAAGAACTGCTATTTGGTTATTTGGTGTCAGAAACAGATAACTCCTCAACTGTTGCGGTCTGCGCGTGCCTTCTCCCCGCCATTGGCCCACTGGCCACGATACTGCTCTGGGTGGGAACAGATACATTCTTTCGCAGATTTTTCGATGATTTTGTATGAATAGTTATTAACATATATATATATATATATATATATATATATATATATATATATATATAAATTTGGATTCTCCATAAAATTCACCAGGAGAATTGAAGATGCGTTGCCGGCCTTTTAAAAAGGAGTAGGCTCTTTTCTTGAAGGTCCCTAAGTCGTATCGCTCTGAAAAAATTGCTGGTGGTAATCGATTCCACAAGGGAGTTGTGCGAGGAAGAATCTTCTTCCCTAGAGATTATGTAAATATTTTAAAGACTTTTACATACATGTTGTTATAATTGATGAAAATTAAGAGGGAAGAAAGGACGAGAGGTAAGGCGATCATCCCGAATCGGGACTGACGCTAGACACGCTCTTTTATGCCGCGTCCCGAATGCCGATGCGCACTAGCTGAGGGGTTAAAAATGTGGTACCTACATAGACTTCTAGGTAACTGCAACTGTTATACATTATATTTATATACTTCAACAAAAGCAAAAAAAAAATCTTTTAAAAGGATTGATTTTGTATGTTGATTTACGAAATCTATAATAATCAATGTTGGCAATTCATACTTAGAATATTATAAATAAAATCAATGTAATTAGATAATAGCGAGCTACCTCTTAATTCTTGGTAACATGTTCGATCTCTAAAATTTATAGTGAGCACAACCCCTGAGCTACCGCGGCTCTGTAACCAAAGCACGAACTAAAGGGTACTAAAGGGAAAAATATGATGGTGTTGAAGGTACTAGACCTGACGCACGACCAGAACGCGCCGTTCCGCGTGGAGTTCGACGAGCAGCGCTGGCGGCTGCACCTGGCGCGCCTCAAGCCGCTCGGGCTGGCGGCGCTGCTCAACACGTGCGCGCCCGCGCCCCGCCACACCTACGCGCACTTCTGCGCGCACCTCACCTGCGAGGCGCAGTACAGGTACAGTGCACTGGGGGCTTACTCTGCTGCATACCAAACAACCGTTACCCTTACAGCCAATTAAAACTATATCGCTGAACATAACCCTCCCCATAGATAGCCGCAATGGGTGCATATGTGTCATGGCTCATGGCGCTCTCCGCTCTCCTGGTTTGTTTCCCATTGTCGCCTCTTAAGACATCAAAGGATCGATATAAGCACAGATTAAATAATGTTACTACGCAACTTTACTCCCATACAAAAGCGAAAATACCTACGCTAGAATAGCCTACAAAATTTTAATAATAATCCTAGACGCTAACTGCAACCAGAAATATACCTTCTGCACGTGTACCGTGATTTGAGGACGCTTTGCCCACCGCGCGACCTTCGTATGGCTGCGTCATTGAGAGAACGCGCAAAGTTTGTACAACGATGATAAAATAAATAAAAGGCAATAAATAATGAAATAATTATTTTATTTGTTTGATAATTTCTATGTTATTAAAGATACTCTAGGGAGTGATTCAAGGGCGCACGTCGTTAATTGCTTAAAACTTTTAAGCATCTTATTCACGAAGTGATTAAAATTAATTCGCGGTTCTTTCGATCCAATTTTTGGTAAGTATTGTATTACGTTACTTAACAGATATTCACTATATTTAGTTTAGTTTTGTTTATTTTTCTTGTATTTTCTCCTTACTATGGGGGGAGAGGGGGGGAGCTTAAATTTAAATTTTTAGTTTAGCAGTGTCATAGATTAAATTGGTGTGACTCCTATAAATTAAAACTATCATTTTCTATGTGTTATAATAAATTTGTATAATAATAAAATTGATTGAAACTTGACTCTCAAGGCAACAGTATTACGTAAAATAGACCTTAAATTACCTAATCGCCAATTAATTTCATAAAACACGATAAATAATGAAATCGTGAATTTTACTAAATGGATCAGATATTATGATAATTTTATTCATTATGATTAATTTTATTATATCTTAATTGTTTATTTTAATAGTTAAAATTAAATTATAAAACTACAATTAAAATTAATTAAATTATAACTTTAAAACTTTAAAGCGTTCGACAATCCTCTGATACTTGTACTCCCGGGAATACGCTAGCCGGTAAGACCGAGCCCTGATAAATATAAGACAGTGGATATTCTTACACCGCCACTACACGGTCACGGTCATAGCAAACGAAACATTAATTATTTACGCGATATCTGTGCAAGAGTGCAATGGATTCCATCACGCCTATTGGGTAATGAGGGGGCAGATAGATTAGCGAATTCTGCTTGTATAAATGGTGTAGAGTATAATATTAACCCTTTGTTACGGCCCCCAGCTGTCCCGGCAAAAGTCGACTGAACCCATAGTAGCCTCCTCGACGAGCAGCCGAGGGTTCGGGCCCAATGGCCAATGGATAGTTCTAAAATTAATGGCAAATAAGCAAGCACAACTTACCGATTTCCGGAGGTAGGGTTGACCACAGGGTACCAGTCAGGTGGTAAGTGATGGGCATGTAAGTAGTGTGTAGTAGTGTGTACAATGTAACCTGACTTAACCGATGAAATCGGACCGCAGATCCACAGATACTGCCCCCCTCCAAATGTGCGATCCCTCCAAGGGCCGCTCACCAATTGAAACCTTCCGCCTTTATTTCACTATATTAGTTCATCAACTTAATTGTACATTTAATTAACTGCAAATCCAACTAAATCCGCGTTAATCGAAATCAAACCAGTGACACACGACACAAGTAAAGAACAGTCGGTCAAAGTTTAACGTTCCATGTTCACACAAAAGCCACTCGTCGACTCAAATTAATGTAAATCAAAGTTAAATTAATAACTCAAACTCAAGGATAAGGCTCATTATCACTTATACGAACAAAATAGACAACACACAAAAAAGGCACTTAACGCGACGTTACAATTCAATATTAACTTCCAAAAGCAATTAACCGGCCGACGCGCGACATTATCTTTTCCATACTTTAAGACAAGCCTCGTTATCACGAAACGTACAAATTAAGGACAACTCCATAGGAGGCACGCGCCCGGCCACCGCGCAACAATTCTTTTCTAGACTTTAACAATACCGTCCGTCGCGCAACAATTATTTTTCTAGAATTCTACTCGCCCCGGTGTACGCGCACAATTAATCTATATCCAACATGAAGCGATCTCCTCTCGGGTTACACATTCTTAGCGTTTCAAAACTCAAAAAAGCACGAAAAGACAATCAATAAGAGGCGTTTGTCACGCGGCCGACCGCTTCGCACGTAACCGTCATACTGAAAAGGGCGCGGTCGCGCAATGCGACGCGCGCGCGCAACTGTCCCAGGCGGTGACCTCTAAATTCCATCGGAGGACACGCCGAGGCGAGCGTCTTGGAATGAAAATTTTTCATATGTTAATATTTTGGCCTAAACACCCTTGTTACTCAGAATTACTGCCAAAATTGAAAAATTCATGTCATATCAAATGGAAAGAATTTTTCAATGAACGCTCTAGAACGAAATGTATTTGGTACAAAACGATACAGAGTGAGCCGCCAACATATATTTGGCATTCTTTGCCACTTTAAGCAAAGAATGCCAAATATATATTGTTGTTTTACTTCTGACGACTAAGATAAAAAGATTCACACATAATACTGGCTCTTTTAACCTCCAAACACAGTAGCTGACTCATTGCCGTATGGTAGTAGAAATAGATTATAGGGTGGTATCAATAGCAACCCATACGAACTTCTATGATAAAAAGGAACCATAAATTGTAGTAAGAGAATTTGTTGTTCATCTTGTACCATAAAAAGACTTAACGCCTACAAACACAAAAAACTTTACCGCGTGCGACGCAATTGTCTCTGTTAAACGTATATACGTTCGTACGTTACGTATGTTCTTCCAAGACATCAGTCCATATGAGTTTTCTGCTGGACATTGACCATTCCTATGGTAGGATGGATTTGCCATAACCGTCATACTTATGACCGCACTATCAGACGTCACGTGCTTTTGAAACAAGTCCCGGATATCGATCTGGATATATTTCGTCTGAAGTAAACCGCTACCTTTCGGAGGCCAAGTGTTCTTTCTGGCATTTTCCCACTATCGCTTCTTACGAACTGATGGAATAAAACGGGGTGACAGTTATCTTATCGCTACAATCTTAAAGTTGCTGATTCAGTAATACTTTTTATGTTCCATGTTCAGCGAGGACTTAGTGCCGGTAACAAACAGACGCTGCTTATGCGAGCTGGCCAAACAAATTGGCTTCACGGACTCTGTGGCTGAAACTTATACCATTCAGGATTGTCTTGCTGTCTTCAGACACCTGGTAAGTATTTGTCCGGCTCAAAAGACCAAAGACTTAATTTTATTAAATACATAATATTTTTTAAGAAAGTTGGTTATTATTATCAATTACTGACAGTCTAAACTAGGGTCTATTTTTGATTATATGTAACATTTATATTAGCAATTTCATAAAGAAAGTTTTTCATATTCGTCACAACAGCAAGCTGACACGATAAGACGCGAAACTCGGTTCGCTAGATCACTGCACCTTACTACGAGAGTGAAGGTCCCCTTGCCGCATATGTTGGCTGTCATCGTGAAGGACCAAGCCAACCAACTCCAGATGTTAACACAGGTGGGAATGCATTCATTGTATAATTTAAATTTATAAGCAGAGTCACATGTACTTAGATTTAGTATACATTCTTTCTCAAAACTAAGGCATTGGTGTTCCGTCGATATCAAACACCAAATTCCTAATGTTTTCACAATCTCCCATTAAATTCAGTAAAATAAAAAAAAAATCCAATAAAAGTCAACAAAAGTAAAACATCGCACAGCCATCTTGTTGCTTTTCTAGATGATATTTTTTTTTTATAGGATAAGGGTGACAAACGAGCACATAGTCCACCTGATGGTAAGTGGTTGCTGTGGCCCATAGACATCTATATCTATCTTCGATTACGAATCAAAATAAAGATGCGTTGTCACTCGTAACATCAATCATCATCATCATCATTACAGCCCTTCACAAGTCCACTGCTGAACATAGGCCTCCCTCAAAAAATGCCACAAAGCACGGTCCTGAGCCACCTGCATCCATCGACTTCCTGCATGTCTTACCAGGTCGTCACTCCATCTCGTGGGGGGACGCCCTAAATTTCGCCTACCGGTACGAGGCCGCCACTCGAGAACCTTTCTTCCCCATCGGTTGTCGGTTCTTCGAGCTATATGGCCGGCCCACTGCCACTTCAGCTTACTAATCCGTTGGGCTATGTCGGTTACTCTGGTTCTACTGCGGATATCCTCATTCCTAAGTTTATCACGCAGAGAAACTCCGAGCATAGCCCTCTCCATAGCTCGCTGAGCGACCTTGAGCTTTCTCATACGGCCAGCAGTGAAGGACCACGTCTCAGTTCCGTAAGTCATCACTGGCAACACGCACTGGTTGTACAATTTGGTTTTAAGGTTTTGAGGTATGTCTGACGAGAAGATGTGTCGTAGCTTCCCGAACGCAGCCCAGCCGAGTTGAATCCGTCGATTGACCTCTCGGTCGAAGTTGGACTTACCTAGTCGGACTATTTGTCCCAGGTAAACATACTCGTCAACAACTTCGAGCTTAGTGCTCCCAACAACTACCGGCATAGGTGTGACATGGACATTAAACATGATCTTTGTTTTGTCCATGTTCATCTTAAGACCTATCCGTTGGGAAACACTATTGAGGTCATTGAGCATAGTGCTTAGGTCCTCCAGCGATTCTGCCATAAGGACTATATCGTCGGCAAATCGAAGGTGAGTGATGTACTCGCCATTGATGTTGATACCGTATCCTTTCCAGTCCAGAAGCTTGAAAACGTCTTCCAATGCAGCGGTGAAGAGTTTCGGGTATATGACGTCACCCTGTCTTACACCTCTCTGCAATTGGATAGGTTTCGTAATCTGGTTCTGTACTCGGATAGCCATCGTAGCCCTATTGTACAAGCACTTCGATATACCGACAGTCAACTTGGCACCGCTGAAGGGACTGCAGCACCGCCCAAATTTCGACGGTATCAAAGGCTTTCTCATAGTCCACGTACGCCGGACATAGTGGCAAATTGTACTCTTCGGACTTCTGTACAATTTGCCGAAGGGTATGTATGTGGTCTATGGTGCTAAAGCCCTTTCGGAAACCGGCTTGTTCGGGAGGCGGGAAGTCGTCAAGTCTGCGCGCGAGACGATTCGTAATGACTCTCGAAAACAGCACGTAGACGCGGCTCAGAAGGGAAATCGGTCTGTAGTTCTTCAAGAGAGCGTTGTCACCTTTCTTGAAGAACAAGACCACCGCACTTCTGCTCCACGCCTCCGGTGTAATGCCACCATGGAGGACGGAATTAAAGAGCTTCTGAAGGACTTCAAGTACCGGTTTTCCACCCGCTTTCAGAAGCTTCGCTGTAATTCCATCCTCGCCTGGGGCCTTACCGTTTTTAAGGTGCTGGAGAGCCATTCTAATCTCGCTCAGACTGACGTCCGGGATATCTTCGGAATAGTGTCGGATGAGACTCGCTCTTGGATCGTTACTCACACTTGCGTGTGGCTCCAACGATGACGTGTACAACTGCCCATAGAACCTCTCAATCTCACTCAAAATCTCAGGTGTCCCGGAAACGATGCTGCCACATTCTGTCTTCAGCTTTGACAGTTGGCTCTTTCTGGCAGACAGATCTCTGGCAAAGACTTTGGAGCCTTGGTTCCGCTCGTGACAACTAAGATGGAATGCCTCGTTTCCAGTAAAAGGTTCTCTACACTCACCATACGAAACACAGCAGCGTTAAGCTGCTATTTTACCCTGATATTCTGTGAGAGCGTGATCCTTCCCCGGTCGAGCCGACTCATTCGTGCTACAACCATAATATAGCTGCTGCATGGCTCTACCACGCAAAAAATATTCAGTAAAACTTATTCAGTAAATATATTCAGTAAAATCATAGTTTTCCTGTCCAATTTATTCTTTTAACGCTTTACAGACAGCTTTTCTTTGCATGTTTCTTTGTCTTATGATACACTATCGCCACTCTATAAAGAAAAAGAAGCAGAACAATTAATTTCATAATTTTTCCAAGCTTTTAAGATTTCTTGTGTGAGTTGGAAGCACAATGGACTCTGACTTCTGACATTTGTAATGTATGTTACAAGTCTTCATGCGCGTTGACATCATTATGAATTTAGAGTTTTGTATTTATGCTCAATTTCAATTTGATGAATTACAAAAATAGCGCAAAACAGAGTTCGACACTAATGGCATTTTTTTGCATAAGAGGGGGCCAACGAGCATTCGGCTCACCTGATGGTAAATGACGACCGCCGCATAAACAACTGTAACTTCAAAGGGATTACAGGTGCTTTGTGGGCCTTTTAAAAAGGAGTAAGCTCTTTTCTTGAAGGTCCCTAGGTCGTATCGGTCCCAAAAAAATCGCCAATAGTATCCGTGGACTATGTGCCCTTTACAACATTCAAAGTCCCTTATGGTGATAGGTTGCAAACATATGTTTCCTCACCCCTTACCTTGATGTGGAATACGTACCTTAGCTCGGCAAAGCGACAAGCTAAAATACAGCCCAGCCTACATTTTATTTAGAAATCGCGGTTTCTTATTTAGAAGAGGTCACTATGGTGCTTGAGGTCTAAATAATATTTATTGAAAGTCACCCTTTCTTTTTTAATTTACCACTGGTTCGAAAAATACCTCTGTCCTGGAAAGAACCAGCAAGAAACCCAGGGGGACTTTAAAAAAATCATTCCCAGAGTTTATATACAAAGTTTCTTTAATAAAGTTTTTGAACTTTGAGGAAGTCAAATTATACACATATTTTCAGGGATTTTGTAGTAAAAGCGTATATATATCGCCCCAAGAATGGATTACTGAATCGATGGAGTTGAATAACTGGTACTACTAGCTTGTGTCTGTTCCTAGTATTTACAGAATGTGTCAAATAAAACACGCTAAAAATATTTAAACCAGTAAAATTGGTTTCATTAATTTAGTGCACTTTACAACGTACTTGTTATAGCTAAGTTAAAAATGAATAAGGGCAAGAATTCAGTGTTGCCACTGCAAAAAATTATATTTTATTGCTATATATGTATAAATAAAATTTTTCCTTATTCAAGTTATAAACACGCGGACAGCCGTTAGGTATAATATACAATATTAATAATATCTAGGGCACAGCGGACATAATCCTCGATTCATGCGTGGACTATTGGAATGGGCGGGACCTCACCCCGATATCGCCGTCAGATCGCAAAAAAATAATTGACTTCTACCAGAGAAACTCCCTCACCGCCTACTGCACGGCTTTCGCATACAAGTTAGTATATTATGTCTTAAAACGTATTTTTATTTATTCTTGTTTATATATTCGTTATCACTAATATACATAAATCAAAATAGTTCTATGAGAAATACTGTTTTTTTTTAAATATTTTGTGGTTTTTAAAAAACATAAAAATTTTCTGCAAGTCCTTGGAAGTTTAAGTCTGAGGACTAAAATGGAATGCCCCGTTACAAGAAAAAAGGGTTCTTCGGTTTATGCCACACATCAAACGAAACACTACTATATAATAGATAAATATGTTGAGGACAATGTTATGTGGAGATAACTGTATGTAAGGCTATATATTGTTAAAATTGCCATTAAAAATATTATGTCCTTTGCACAATCATATATTAAATCAGAGATAGTCAACAATTTATTTTGCTTGACAGACCTTTAACCCGTGGCATATGCGCGTCCCTCTCACGCATGTACTTAGAACTGCCGGCTGATAGTCGACAGTTGTACGTGCCGCATTCCTCGCTGTGGGCAGATGCGCCTGCGCTGCATTTTCACTCTACGGGTCAGTATGAATTAGCTAATTAAAAATAAAGATTTATTTAACATTAACACATTGTAATAGAATAAACAAGTTTCCATAACTTTTAAGATAAAAATTAAATTCTAACATTATAAATAACAGAAAACTTTAGAATAATTATAAAAGTTGGTTTGGAGATATACGTCAGTTACTTGGAAAATTGTTATCATCAGTGGTTACAAATTTTGTAACCCGTGAAATGTTACCGAATAACATAAACATAATTATAACTTTTAACAAAAAGTAAATACCGCCTTTAAATTGCTAAAAAAGAAGTTATTTATTTAATGGTGAAATATTTTCTTCAAATTTATATGGGACCAACCGTGAAGTATAAACTATTTAATAAAAAAAGAACCTTAATAAATAAAAATAATTAATATTATAATAATTAATTGACTTAACGGTCAGCAACCGTAGAGTCTACATTACCTGAGGATGCCTCGTGTAGAGGCGAAAAACGTGTCGTATTGTCGTAGTGTAGTGGTATTGGGAGTAGCGGTGCTGGGATTAGTGGTGACGGGGATAGTGCACGCAATTGAGGGAGGGTGGGAGGTGCTCTTCTTACTAGGTAAGACACATCATTTTATTTTATAGCGCGGATGATTGCGAAGTAAAAAAAAAAATATTTAAAATCTTTAACAAAAAGAACCGTAAAATTTTGTTCACAATTTGCGAAGATATCGCGTAACATACATACAAAAAAAAACATGCACTCGAATTGAGAACCTCGTCCTTTTTGAAGTAGGTTAATAAAACTACATTAATAAATGAAAGAAACACACGAGATCCCCAGTTTATGAATAAAACAACAAATATAATTTACGTCGAAATTTTTTCTTTTGAAGAGACTTGCCTTGCATTACAAGTTATAAATCTATACAAATAAATAAAATTGAAGTTTCTGTTTGTAATGTCAAAATTACAGGTTTTTACTAAATGCATATGAAAATATATACGATGCTTATAAAAAAAATACATATTTTTAATTTTTGTTTGTCTGTTTATTCCGGCTAATCACCGTAACGGCTGAACCTTTATTTTGACGGGACTTTCACTAGCAGATAGCTGATGTCATAAGGAGTAACATAGGCTACTTTTATTTTAGAAAAACAATTAGGTTTCCGCGAGAAAAAACCCAAATAACACGCGGGCGAAGTCGCGGGGAAGAGCTAGTGGCAAATAAAAATGCAGACTTCAAATAAAAACTCTTTAATGAAATGGGATTACATATAAGTAATGCAAAAGTTTTGAACTAGTATAGGAAAATCAAAACGAAGTTGATTGTTTCAGATTCACTATTGTTCAATGAAATAACGGATGACGACGTCAACGATGCTGACGGATACTTTGACATGCAATGCAATCAGGTATGTTGCAGAGGTCTTCTTCGCAATCGATTGTTAAATGTCCCGTAAAAATAAAATACAATAATTATATAAGCATGCCCTTCGTCTGACATGCCTCACTACATTGAGTTATATGTACTACGTACTAGAGAAGCCATTCCGAACATTGACTATGTTCAACTGAACTGTAGTGCAATCCATACAAACTAAATATTGCGTAAATTGAAGATTTGTGAATTCCATGAAATAATTATTATTACATTTTATTTAGTAATATGTTTGTTTAGATTAAATTAAGATATTTTATATTAAATTCTTATATTTATTTTATATTAATATCTTATTTTATATCAAATTAAAGTCTTCGCGCATGCGCGACTACTACTCCCGCGCATGCGCGAAGACATAGAGTAGGACACAATTTTTGTTTGAAATGACTTCTCTAGTACGTAGTACATATAACTCAATGCCTCACTATTATAGCTAAGTAAAAATTGAAGTGGCGTGAAATACTGTGTCAATGGCAGTGTTAGAATATCCACTGGCCCATATCGTCCCGTGGGTGTCGTAAGAGGCGACAGAGGATTAGAAACCAAGATATGGACAGCAGCGTCTTCCCGATAACAAATATAAAATTAAAAAAAATGCGATTGCCAACTTTTTTGTCTCGCTTTTCTTTGTTACTACTTTTTATTCAAAAGGACACGAGGGAAGGTAACGGATACTTGCCATAGTTGCCACGGTTGACAGGCGGGTTGTCATCAACACAAAGTCAATGTAGTAGACCTACGCTGCATCTATGTTATGGCTGCGATATTAATGGGTCGATTCGGCCGGGGAAGGACCACGCTATCTCAAAGTACCAGCATAAATTAGCAGCTTAATGCTGCTTGTTTTCGAATTGTGCTTGTAGAGAACCAAAGACCATTTTTATTGGAAACGAAGCATTCTATCTTAATCATCAGGGGTGACAACACATCTACATTTTGATCCTCAATCGAATACAGATGTAGATGTATATGGGCTACACCATCCACTTACCATCTAGTCGACGAAACAGTTTCTCATTTGTCACCCCTATTCTATAAAAAAAAGTCGAATGAATGTATATGTAATTGTATTGTTATTGCTTAATATTATCGCATATATATATATATATATTATCACGTGGGTGTCGCGTCGGCGTCTTCCTAATAACGACTAAAAATTAAAAAAACTGCGGTTGCCAAACTTGAAAACTATGGCAAATATCTCCGCTGTGAGGCAATCTATTGTGAATTCGGGAGTTCAGCAGTGGACTTAAATAGGTTTTAACGGTAACTATAGGAATCTTAAGATAATGAAAAAAAATTTTTAAAGCCGTAAAAAGCGTAAAAAGGTTTGGTAAGTTGACTTTACCCCTCGGGGGTGACAACGTATCTTCATTTTGCGTGTAAAGAACCAAAAAGCTGCAGGGCCAGCATGGGGAGGAGATAATTTAATCCCCGGGGAAAGGAGACAATGTTTATCCCCTCGCTTAGTTTTCAGTTACCTTTCGAGCATGGGCACACCGGTGGATATAATATCCACAGTAGATAAAATGAGAGATAGACTTGGACTTAGATAGATTTTTTTATATAAATATTAACTAAAACCCACGTCCAATGAATTAGGATAAAATTGTCCCTTTCAAATGGCAAAAAAGCAAAATTTTTATCCATGCTACGGACGGGGGGTATATGTCTACTCGTTATGTCAAACGGAGATATATTTCTCCCCGTTTCCGTGCTTTGGCATAAGGACAAGATAATTTTATCTCTTGTCAGTGGATATAACCGGGGGATAAATTTTTGTTCCCAGCCCATGCTAGCTGTGCTGGACTGTGTACTCCTGTCACCCTTATTCTATAAATAATAGTCGACTCGACAGCCACGAAATAAGACGGGATAATGAATTCTCTGACAACATAATACCAACTGGCAGGTGTTCATCGGTATGGTGACGATGCAGTACCAGGCGCAGAGCGACATGGTGGAGCTGATCGAGCGCCTGGAGCGCGCGTGCATCCGCTTCGTGCACTTCAGCAAGGAGAACGAGCTGCGCTCGCGCGTCTTCAGCGAGAAGATGGGCCTCGAGTCCGGCTGGAACTGCCACATCTCGCTCATGAGCGACGTCGCTGCCAGGTAGGCAAGGAAAGAAAAAATACATGAAACATCTTTATTTGAAACTACGTAAAAAATAATTGCACCAGATGAATAATATAATATTATACTTTTTTTATTATTCTTTTAAAAAACGTGACCCTCATTAGAAATTTCTCCTGTATCGTGGGGGCAGTTTGTACATAAATTGCATGAGGACAACTACAATCACTTGAATCATACAAATACTTGTTCCACGGGGATTCGAACCCGCGGCTCTTAGCGCCGTAATTCATTGCTAAGCCACTGCGCCACGGAGAATCCTCAACATTAACATTTATGCAGTAACAAATAGGCGTTCGACTCAGTATTGTGCCGCGGTGTAATAACCACAGCGCTGATATTCTGCCGATGCACTTTTCAAATATTTCCATCATTTTTAAATCTACCTGATCACGGTTGTCAAGAATTATCACGACATATTATAGTGCATAAAAATGTGCTTGTCCTATATATACTGTGCGATAACCACAGAGGTACGAAATAATACAATACGCAGATCAGAACATTTCTAATACAAATAACCTATAAACCAACTTGTGTTGCTCACAACTTAATGTTTGGGTCTGATTGGAGCGACCTTTGAATTAACGATTCGATCGAGTACGCGAAGGACTGTTGGTTCAGGCACACCCGCAGTTGTGAACTACGAGGTATCAGGTACAAGTACCAGGAATGCATAGCTCCTGCTCTACTCAAACAGTTCTTTACTTATAATGTAAAAAAATTGATCGATTATCATCGCTATGAATCACACATCCATAATATCCTTTAGATGATAAATGGGGACATTTTGTTTTGTTTTTATTGTTTCATTTGACTGATATCATACGATTCGAACCTTAAGCATTTCCTTACTTTAACATCAAAACTCTTTTTTTCATAATATGGTGAATTATACAAAAATTTTATGCTTATCAGGGTATTTTACTAATATAAGTAATCAGACCCACGGGACGAGAATGATGATCCGCCGCAATCACACATAAACATTTTATCATTTCAACTTGTTTGGCTTAAAACGTCACCGCTTGAATTCGTGTAACATTCGTCATTAATGATCGTTTGTGAATTTTCATTTCATTTGGGTATGGCTTAACAAACCATTCATATATTAAAAACTGTACAAGACTTGTTAACATTGGAAACACAAATACCTAAAACGAAATTATGAATACACTAAAAATAAACTGTACATTTGTAAACTGTGTTCCTGGACCATTTCTTATTTTATCAATTTTTTTTTCTTTTCATAGATAACCCTGTTCTATTGAAAACGACTTAGCGTTTTATCGATGTTGTGAAGCTTTTATATCTTTCTATTTACCCTAATACTTTGCCTTTAAAAACTTGAAATTCGAATACATTTTGATATTTAAAATATACTCTTTAAATTGTTTTAAAATATTATACTCAATAAAACTTTTGAAGTTGTTCATGAACATGCTTACCATGATGTCTTCATAATGCTAGTCACATGAAGTAGCGCTTTTCGCCAATCTCAACTTATTCATATACTCAAACTACTGGGTTTATTTATTTATTACGCGTTATGAGTATGATGTACTTACTGCCTGTCAAGTTGAAACGTCAATTACATCAATACATTTAATCTGTGGTGGGGGCTATGCTAGTGTTACCATGTTTAGGCAATTGCACTGTTCTCGTGCATTGACATAAGAAGTTTTTGACAGCAAGGGGGTCTCGCCGCTGTCGTCGCAAACCTTGCCAGCGGGCAAGGAGCGCTCTAACACCGCCTCGCAACTCGCTAGGGCCATCGGCACTTGCGATGCCACGCTCGGCTTCTATAGGTTTGTCTCTTTAACGCTCTGTCGCGCTGTTATTCTACGTCACACCTTCACGTATAATAAATTATTATTTATAATCAAAACTTTTTGAGAATAATAAACGGCTTAGTAGAACGGACACAACCCTTAAATCAAATAAATTATTGAAATCCAAAGTTCGTACTACAGATTCAAATATTTGTTCTCATTGAAAATCGCAAATCGTTAAATATCGCAAAGCTGCCTTCAGAAAATATTCAACAAAGCTCTGAAGAGGTGTTAAAAAAGAGTAAAATTTTCATAATAGGAGGACAACAATGCGTGGGTCTGGCATCAAGACTGATTTATTCTAGAACAAACACGAAATTTGAAGATTTTGACATTTTCTCTTGGACAAAACCTTATGCCAAAACAGAAGAAATCCTTAAAGGTTGTTATAACATTGAAGATTCTAACACTAACTATTTTATTTTGTGTGTTGGCGAAAATGACACGAACGTTACAAAGATATTCTTTGAAACAGCTGCAGTAATAAAAATACTAAAAAACTCAAATTTTATTATACTTAATACTAATTACAATAAATATTTAAATGAATATAAACTAAATAATATGTTAAAAAACTTGTGCTATAACATGCCAAATTGTAATTTTATTGAATGCACCAACAGGTCTAGGACGGAATATCACGCAAATATTTGTGCAAAGATTAATCTAATGTTAGATTCTAAATATTACGAAAAGCATTTTATTAAAAATATAAAAACTATTATTAAAAATCGCAGTAATGTATCTGATAAGATACACATTATGGGAAAATCCCAAGAAATAATTAAGTTATCTTACGAAAGTAAAACTGCTGAACCTAAAATTGGCACCATACCATATTATTTCAAAAAGGTGAATAAATTAAATAAGACATTAACTGTTGAAAATAGCACAAACCAAAATATGTCCACGACTCCATTTTTTCGCACACAATAACAACCAAAAACATGAAATTACTTCCATATTACATCAAAACATAGCAGGTTTGCTTAACAAAACTGATTCGATAGAACTATGTATTGATGAGCTAATAAATGAGGGGCAATCAATAAGCTTTTTATGTTTTAGTGAAACATTTGTTAAAAAGGGAGATGAGAGTAACATTAAGTTTAAACATTTTAAATTAGCTTCACTATATTGTAGAACAAAAGAAAAACGTGGGGGAGTATGTATCCTTATTAGAAAGTCAATAGAATTTAAAGTTATACAATTGTGCCAAGAATTATCTGCAGACAAAGTTTTCGAGTGTTGCGGTATAGAGGTACCAAGTTACAACTGTATAATTTTTTGTGTATATAGAACTCCTAATTCGCCAGTATCAATATTTTTCAACAAATTAGATCTTATTTTTCATAAACTAGCATTGAAGCTAGACAAAAAGAAAGTCATTTTATGTGGTGACTTTAATATTGACACGCTTAAAAATAATAACGTCACTGATGACTTAAAAAATTTATTATACAACTACAACCTTAAAATACATAATGATAAACCTACGAGACATCATACATGTATTGATCATATAGCTAGCAATTTCAAAGAGTCGGATGTTTCTAGTACCCTGTACAATTTTCATTTATCAGATCATAACACCTGTCAATCTCTAAGATTTCCAATTAAACTGCTACCTAAAATTAAATACTGGTATACTACCAAAAGAAATTACTCTAAGGAAAATATTGATAAGTTTAGTAAATGTCTCCGTAATATATCGTGGGAAAAAGAAACTACAGATGACACTTTTAATAATATTTTTAATAAATTTCATGATTTAATTTGTTTATTATATGACCTCTGCTTTCCATTACAAAAATATAAAATCAAAACAGACAATCTCGCTCCAAAGTGGATCACAAAAGGTATAAGAGTTGCGAGTAAAACTAAAAGAAAACTAAAACATAAATATTACGAACACAAAAGTTTAGAAAACAAATTAATTTATGACAAATATTCAAAATTATTAAAAAGATGCGTAACATGGTCAAAAAAAAATTTAAACATGCAACACCTGTTACATTCAAAAAGTAAAAGTAAAGCTACCTGGGAAATTATTAAAAATTATGAATATAATGATATACGATATAATAATATTGACTGGATTAATTGTAAAGGAACTAAAATAGATCATCCTTTCGACATTGCCAGTAAATTTAATGAGTATTTTATTAATGCAGCTCTTCGTGACTCTTCTTCTTTAAATAATAAAACTAAAAGGAATATGTATGAAAATGTTCAATCATCGATCTTTTTAAAACCTTGCACATTAAATGAAATCATACTTATAATAAACTCTCTTAATAATACTAAATCTGTTGGTTATGATTCTCTTACTACACACATACTGAAATCATGTGTAAAGGAACTTGCTCCAATTCTAACATATTTAATAAACCTTTCTTTCATACATGGAAGATTTCCAGATAAATTAAAAAAATCTATAGTCAAACCCTTATTTAAAAAAGATGACCGTCATGAGATTCATAACTACAGGCCGATTACGTTAGTACCCATTCTATCCAAAGTATTTGAAAAAGCCATGCATAGTCGAATTACTAGTTTTGTAACCAAATATAATATACTCAGAAACGAACAAAATGGCTTTCAAAAGCAAAAATCTACTACACTTGCTACTTTTTCACTGATACGTCGAATAACTGAATATATTAATAATAGAGTACCAATAGTAGCCATCTTTATTGATATGTCTAAAGCCTTTGACTGTGTAGAACATAGCACGTTGTTGTACAAATGTGAAAAACTAGGAATCAGAGGACCGGCTTTGGAATGGATCGAAAGCTATTTGACAAATCGGCAACAATGTGTTGAAGTACCACGTATTAATAATAATCTAGAGTTAACATATTACAGATCTCCTTATATACAAAATGACTATGGGGTACCTCAAGGGAGTGTTTTAGGGCCTTTATTGTTCATTCTATATATAAATGACTTACCGAGTATAACAAAGCATCAGTCCATACTATTTGCTGATGACATATCAATTGTTATACCCCACACTAATAATTCACAGATATATGAACAAGAGATAAATTCCACTATAAAATCAGTTATATCATGGCTAGAAGATAATAATTTACAAGTCAACACTAACAAAACTAAATATATTCAATTTGGAAATTATAAAACAAAACCACAAAAATTAGACTTAACATATAAGGGTGAAAGATTGGTAGAGGTAGAAGATACACAATTCCTAGGTGTTGCTATTGACCAGCATGTCAACTGGAAATTACACATTAATAAGGTATGCAAAAAAATTAATCAATTTGTTTATGCACTACGTAGACTTCAAAATGTAGCAGGTCCACAAGCAGCGCGTGTTGCTTACTACGGGTACGTTGAATCCGTCTTAAGATATGGATTAATCTTGTGGGGCAACTCAACAGACGCAAACAGAGCCTTTCTAAGCCAGAAGAAATGTATTCGTGCACTGTGTAACGTAGGCCCTCTACAGAGCTGTAGACCACTGTTTAAGGAAAAAAATATTCTCACTTTAACAGGGTTATATATATTAGAAATCTGCGTTTTTGTAAAAAATAATACAAATCAATTTGTTACCGTGCAGGAAAATAATAAATTTGCAAAAAGAGATCCGACACGTCTACTGATGCCACCTTGTAGAACTGCATTATTCCACAGGAATTGTCTCGTAATGTGTATCAAGATATATAATAAAGTTCCTAAAAATATTCGTGAACAGCCATTAACGCGAATGAAAAAAAGTTTAAAACAGTGGCTAATAAATACTGCCTTTTATAACATCAAAGAATTCTTTAACTATAAATTTTGATTTTGCTTTTGATTTCTTTTTTGTTGATTTTGTTTAGCTAAGTAAGTTACTATATATATAGATCCAGGATTTTGCGTGATACTTCTCAATTGAATGAAATGTTATTTTTCGAATTTTGTTATGTTCTTCTAAAAAAAAAAAAAAATGTAATCATTACAAAGTGGTAGTTACATACTTGAATATTATGTGTATATTTCTAATGTTAGTTCATTTGTTCTAAACACATTTATATTTTTAAAATTTTTTTTTTTTTCGCATGCCACGAATGGCAAAATATGTGGAAACAAATATTGACTGTATCCATCCGTCTGTACCCATGTTTTTAGCGAAATAAATGATTTGATTTGATTTGATTTGATTTGATTTTTAAAATAAACAGAACTATGCATATAGCATATTTGAAAAACTGAACACCTAATAGGTATCGACTATATTCAAATTTATAAAGTTCATATAAAATATTACGACTATTTAATAGGCTTATACAAGTACAGAAAGTAACAGGGTATTTTGCACCATGTAAAAATATTAAAAAATACGTATTTATGACAGGTTTTGTAAAAAGTAAACAAGAAATGTTGATTTCTATTTTCATAAAAATGCATTATAAATTTTATAATTCAATTTTAAGAATATTTTTTTTAATCTGTGCCTCAAACGTTCAAACCGCTATTCGCCATATTAGATTCCGTCGTGATGTCACTTCTATAGTAAACAAGCTAACGTGCTGTGTGTTATTTCGTAATTTTTCAAGTTATCATCACGATTGTTGACTTTTATTCCGTATTTTATTGAAATGACATCATGGAAGACGGATTCTTAATAGCAGAAAGTACCTACTATCTACCAAAAATAAATATATTGATGGTGGCAAAAATTCTTGCATGCAATCCCGATTTTTGTTCTGCTGAATTAAGGAATGTTAAAACGTCAGTGTACTTTTACTTATCCACTCAACCGTCCACGGTGACTACAGTCCCCAAAAACCATTATTGCCTCATCTGTCTAGGCACCAAACGACATCTTTCGGTTTAAACGCGTACAGCGCAAAAGATACAGTAATAGTGCTATATGAAATTTGTCGTCTATGAAAGTGAATTTTATCTATATAATAGTAACAAAATATTTAGAAAAATAAAAATGTAAAATTAAATTTCGCCATTTCTGTTTGTGGAATGTTAACGTGTGAGAAATTCTATCAAAAAAACTGATAACTTTTCTGTTTTATACGTTATTTTTAATGTTATTGTACATCAAACTAATTGTGAAGATATTTTTGACAATTCCTCAATTCAAATTTATAAACGAAATATCTGTTGAGATGTGTCTAGAAATTATTAAAACCTATTTTTTTTTCATTTATTTATTTATTTATTCAAATTTATATTGGGTAAACATTATATACTTATGTATATTGAGTATATAAGATGTTATTGATATTGGTATCATTTTAAAGGGAATATCATGTACTATTATAATATAAAATAATTGTCTCCAGTAAGTACTACACTTTTCTTTTAAAACTCGAAATAAAAAATAAATAGGATTTTTTTTGATATTCCCATTTTTAAGCTTTATTTTCAGGCTTTATTTTTAATTTGACTAATTTTATTTTAACAAAATAAAATTTTGAATTCTTTGAGTCTTTTGAGAATATTTTTTATTTGAATGTAGCTATAGCAGTTTTTCAGTAGTAAAAGTTTTTGTTAAGACTGTCTCGCGCGGTCGTAAAAAATAGTGACATTTAATTCGCGGACAGGTCAGGCGAGAATCACTCGCGCGGGGCGGACGATTGAGTGGTTATACAGTAATACAATACCAGGTCAGAGTATCTTTAAATACATAGTTATGTTTATCTATGATTACGATCTCACGCCTAATCTATTACAAAATTTGACTTGCAATATGTATCATGATATTTGTTTTGTATAAAGTATAAACGACAGGTAAATAGAAGTCATACTTACATCAAAATCATGTTCACAGAAGTATAGATTTTGTAGACAATGTCTTCGGGCCTTTTCTTGCCAGTTTTAACCAAGTATTTCTTATATTTAAATCAGGTGACACTTGAATCCATAACTTCCACGGCGTTCTTATGCTCTTTTTTTGCATTTAGGCACAACACACCAATGATTAATATGATAACTCGTTACTAAACATCTAAAAATGTCTTATTCCTTTGCAAAATCGTTTTATTTACTAGAGCAGTGACGTCACGAACTGAACAGCATCGTGGCTAGCGTTTTCGCTCGAAATTTTAAAATTATATAATAAAACTAATTTTTATGGCACTATTCGGTTTAAAAAAATATAAAAACTATAGTGGTTCATTATCACTCTAGGATTTATTTAAAATACTATTTTAAATGGGTGTAATACCCTATTGACAAAGGCTTTATTTTCTAAGATCCTAAACTTTTTTTTTCTTTTCTCTTTAGTAATCCGTAGTACAGTAGTGATATTATTGCACTTGTCTACTAATCTTATTAACATAAGTGTAAAGTGTGACGTAGGATTTTACTTTTTAATAGCTTTAAACCTGAAAATTTTTGGTCATTAACCTTCATTATTCTCACCAAAGTAACAAACAAAGTTTAATGATCAAATTTATTTTACCTTATGTTATACTTTTATTAAAATTACATATTTATAGTATTTCAGTTTTAGTTATTGGCTGTGAAGTATTATTTTTGGCTACTATCTATCCTTTAACTAGATATTTAAGCACTACACAACACAATTAAACAAACACATTTAAATTTTTAACGCGGAGAGCACTGTATTGCTTTATTTATTGTGTCAAATACTAATTCACATTAAAGTTCACATTAAGCTAGATTTGCACATTTATGTTAACACAAATCACGCTATAGTTTCACGTAACTAACATCATCACTTATATCTAGTTGTATATGTATGAGGTTAAGCGATTGATATAGATTAAGTTTGTATTTATTGAATAAAACTATGTTTACGGATTTTATCGCCTTTAATTTACTTATTTTAATTCCCGACATTTCAGGTGCTTTACAGCAACCCATGGTCACGGGGGTGTCTGAGATGTTTGACGTCCCGATGTCATAGTTAGCCCGGCTACCTACAGTTTTTGAATATTAATTTTTGGTTCGATCTACGCAGAATGAGCTTACAGTCTTGCAGTCGTAGGGTTTGGATTTAATTTTATTAATTATAGGATTCCAAACAGATGGCAGCACAAATTCAAAACGTAAAGCACCCGAAACGTCAGGAATTAAAATAAGTAAATTAAACGCAATAAAATCCGTAAACATAGTTTTATTCAATGTGTAGTATACGCGTAAATATAAGAAATCATTAAGTTTGTACTTAGTTTTAATTTTTTTATTTAAAAGGATACTAGCGATGCTATTAACATTACTAGTTTTCCTTTGACCTTAATTAATTGATTGACATTACCAATCAAGCTTAAATACTGGTGTTAGAAGTAGTTCTCGACAGTGGGCGGATTCGAACTCGAGACCTTATAGTCTGTTCGCTTAGATACGGTCGCTTTTGTGACGCGCCGCCATAGCACGTGCCGCATCTTGTCAAAAGCGCCACAGGAAAATTTGGCATTTTAAAACGAAGCGCCGTAGTGAAATATTATTTGCCTTACCTCACTTGTGTTTATTATTTATATTCGTATTTTATTGCATTAGAATAATATAGTATTCTATTTTATTTTTAGAATAGAAAAACATTTATTTAACAAACACAACAAAATAAAAGCAAAGCACCGACATTATCTTAGTGAACAGACTATATACATACCTCATACCGAACGCGAATGCGTACGATTCGAGTTTCTTTTTTTTGGTGCGGTTAATTTCAGGTCTGTACCCGGTAGTAAATTATTAGTATATTAAATAAGTTAACTTTTTTTAAATTAAGGTCAACTTAATTACAATTGACGTCCTGGGTTTTTGACTTCGCCGATATAACAGTTCAGATTTGAACGGGGGTGCTTACTTAAGCGTGACTATTAATGATAATCATCCCTACAACAGTAGAAGTCTATGTACAACAGTGGACCAGGGCAATGAATTCGAAAAAGAAGGTACACCGCATTGAGTTATATGCGCTACGTACTAGAGAAGCCATTCTAAACAAAAAATGTGCACTACTCTATGTCTTCGCGCATGCGCGGGAGATAGTAGAGTCGCGCTCGCGCATACGCAGTCGCGCCACCACAGACTAACTAGTAGATTGAAACCACACTAAATAACACGCTGTACGGATTGCAGTACAGTTCAGTTGAACATAGTGTATGTTCGGAATGCGAAATCTAGTACGTAGTACATATATATCGATGGTACACCGATAAAAATAGTATACTAGTAACCTTACAAACATAGATACACATTAAATTTAATTTTACTATTAAATATTATAACCAATTATAGCTTACTATATTAAAAACATCTCAGCCATTAATCACTAGATACGAATCTCACAATAGAATATCGTAACTAACAGCTTACTCACCAACTACCACATTATATTAAAATGTAGCAGTATACATCATATTAACCTATTAAGGTTGTGTTTGTGTTAGTAAGTTATTAGATGATTCCTTACACTGCAGCAACAACATGACGTCATCAAAGTCGCTGTCCATGTCCGCTCCTGGCGCTATTAACGTAGAACACACCACTGTTAAGTTTGACAACGAGATAAAGAAAGCTCGGAATTCAATCACTACACACAGCGGATTGAAGGTAAGAAGAACTTATTGGTCCTTTATGAAGGCAGACTTTGTATGTAATTTATTATTTGCCAAAATTGATTTTCTTAATCTTTGCAATAAAAAACAAGTAATTCATTATTAGCACTCTGCTATAAAATATGTATAGTTTCCCTTTCATCCCCATCAAAATAAATTAAATAATAGTTCCAATTGTCTTATTTGCAAATGATTTGAAAATACACAAAGTGGTGTTGCTTGAAAAGATCCAAATTTTTATGCGGTTTTTACACTGTCATTCTAAACTGAACCTGAACCACCAATCATATACCAACATTAAGACTGCATGAACTTAGTTCATAGAAGTCAATACGAACTATTTTTTTAAATATGATAATAAATTATTTGTACCGACTTATTTAAAAAAAATTAACAACTTATATTTTTACCCAAATTTACTTAGGTTCGAACCTAGAACCTGGCATAGTCATCAGGCATGCTGAAAAGTAAACTCGGTCAATATTATCACAGCTTAAAGACCTTACAGTTGGGAAACGAAAGTACTTGTGCAGAGCAACGGTGGGGGGCCTTGCGAGGCAGAGGGCACGCCGACCTTGTGATAGCGCACTTTACTGAGTCTGATAGACAATACATGCGGTTGGCGCGAGTGTGTTTTACAGTACTTATTTAACTAATTTTAAGTGCAGTTTTCGAAAAATTACTGTTTATAATGGTGAATTACTGTTACAGTTATAAGAGTTACTTAGTAAAATTGAATTCAAATGACGGCCATGCTTATGTTTCCGTAATTTATTTTAATAAAATTGTTTATCTGAATGTGAAAACACTACGTAATTTAATTTAACAACCGAAAACTGAAAACATTTATAAAAAGAAAGTGTCACGAAAATATTTGGCTTTGCAACACTCGTAAATGTGTGTTTCTCTTCTTTTTCGTAGTAATAAAAAATTATCTTGTAATAAAACACACGCACACACACACACACACACACACACACACACACACACACACACACACACACACACACACTCGCGCCTGTCACCCAGAGGGATAGGCAGAGACTACGGACTTCCATTTGGCGCGATTCTAACACACCTCTCTCGCCTCCTTTACACCCATATATCTACGCATACATGCTCGTCGGTTAAGGGTACTCCTAATCTGGCCCATTTCCAATGTATCGCCGATTTGGTCGATAAATCTTCGTCTAGGGCGTCCCTTCCCGACTCTGCCGTTCACTTCTGAAACATAAATTTGCTTTGTCACTCTTTCCTCGTTCATTCCGAACCGAAGCATTCCTATCTTAATCCTTGTCACAACGTCATCTTGCAAACCACACTTATAACTATGTACATAATGTTATTAAATGATGATGAGTATTATAGTATCCAAAATTATATTATTTTTATTTTCGTGACAACCCCTAACATACACGCTGGCCGCGTCAATAGTCAGTATGACTACTGACGCGACTAATGTCAAGCGATGCCTGACATTAACCGCCCATTCTGCTGACATTTCGGCGTTTCACAACTGTAAAGTCTAAACTTTGCTACCACTATCTTTTTAAAAGTGTATTCATATATGCAAGGGCCTATTAACATACAAATTCATATCGATATAAAAAAGACGCGTGCGTTTACGAGAAGTCAGCGTTAATTGGTCTCTGCGTAAACTCTATACAAACTATACACACATACATCTGATTACTGTTATTTTATATTAATGTAGTATCATTACTTCTCGTTTAGTTCTCAAATAAATACGTGTAAAGACACGCGAATACTCGCGCTACTTCTCTTCGCTTTGTTTGTGAAAACATTGACGCTTCGCTTCGACTCGACCCAGAGTAAATATGAACACTAACAATGAATATTGAATACAGCGCAGCAGTATAGCGGCGTCGCAGCGGTCGACCGACTCGCTGCTGGGCGACGAGTGCGAGGGGTACGAGGGCGGCGAAGGCGCCGAGTCTCCGGCCGACGCGTGCCGCTCGCTGTCCTGCCTCACTGACTCCACGGATCACTCTGTACCGGTCAACTTCGACATGAGCAATCGCGTGAGTGCGATGTATGATGGACTTACAGTATTTTTAGTAAATAGGCCAGTTTTAAGCCGGTCACTAACATAATCGCGACTAGACCTACACTTACCGATCAATACTCTACCGCGGCTATACCACGTTAAACGAAAAACAATGGCTCCATTGCATATTAAAAACCTTACATGTTCTTGAAAATATTTTATTGCTCAGACATGTAGATGACCTCACGATATTTTCCTTCACAGCCGAACTCTAAATCAGCACTCATAATTGCAATTAACAATTTTATTGGTACCGCTGGGAATCGAACATGAGTTGCTCGTGTACAGTGAAATATATAACGAACGCTAAGGACAGAGATACCACGGCTCTTTTATAATATATCTCTAAAGCACAAAGGAAAAACTTTCAAATCCTAAGTGTCACTCTAACTCATGCTTTAATACGTGAATTATTGTGGAACATTTTAAAGTTACTGTGTTAACCCGTTACCAAAAATGTGATTGTATGATAAAACCATTATGTTTTGAAACATGGCAAATGTCAAATGATAAGATAATACAGGTAATCGTAACTTTAGGCGAAGCTGCCCCGCGGCATAGAGAACATCCGGCCGCACATCGAGCAGGTGGACAACGTGCCGCTGCTGGTGTCGCTGTTCACCGACTGCACGCCCAGCTCCGTGCGCCAAATGATACAGATCATGCAGGTCACCGTCCGCTTATAATGCCATAAATATTTTATACGTTAATATAATATCGAAGTATTTGCATTTGTCACTACTCAGCTAGTCACTATAGCTCGAAGAACCGACAACGGATGGGGATCGATCCCCTACTAGATGGAGTGACGACCTGGTAAGGGTTGCAGGACCGTTCATTGAGGAATTACTTAAGGGAGGCCTATGTTCAATAGTATATTTGTGAAGGGCTGTAACGAAGCGGCCCCACAGGAAGTGGACCTGGTCGAGCCCCGACGGTTCGACAAAAAATGAGATTGACTTCATTATAATGACCAGACGACAACTGTTCAGTGATGTCTCCGTGATCGCGAGAGTGAGAACTGGTAGCGACCACCGAATGGTTAGAGGCACACTGAACCTAAACGTTAAGTTGGAGAGGTCTCGTCTAATGAAGTCAACGCTCCGTCCCCCTCGTGCTCTGTTCCAAAGTCCCGAAACCTTTCAGCTCGAGTTACAAAATCGTTTTCAGTGCCTAGAAGACTGCAATGAAGTGGACGATATGAATGACAAGCTCGTGGAAACTGTCCATGCGGTCGGAGCTAAGTTCTGCAAGACCCGCCGCAGAAGAACACAAAAACTCTCCGATCACACTCTTAATCTCATGGCTGTTAGACGGGAGATGAAGCTACATTCTTCAACAGACTTGACAGCATACAGGCATCTGAACAGACAGATCTCCAAATGCATGCGGCGGGACTTACGCAACTTCAATACAGCTCGTATTGAAGAAGCGATCGAGCGGAACCAAGGCTCCAAAGTCTTTGCCAGAGATCTGTCTGTCAGAAAGAGCCAACTGTCAAAGCTGAAGACAGAATGTGGCAGCATCGTTTCCGGGACACCTGAGATTTTGAGTGAGATTGAGAAGTTCTATGGGCAGTTGTACACGTCATCGTTGGAGCCACACGCAATTGTGAGTAACGATCCAAGAGCGAGTCTCATCCGACACTATTGCGAAGATATCCCGGACGTCAGTCTGAGCGAGATTAGAATTGCTCTCCAGCACCTTAAAAACGGCAAGGCCCCAGGCGAGGATGGAATTACAGCGGAGCTTCTGAAAGCGGGTGGAAGACCGGTACTTGAAGTCCTTCAGAAGCTCTTTAATTCCGTCCTCCATGGTGGCATTACACCGGAGGCGTGGAGCAGAAGTGCGGTGGTCTTGTTCTTCAAGAAAGGAAACAACGCTCTCTTGAAGAACTACAGACCGATTTCCCTTCTGAGCCGCGTCTACGTGCTATTTTCGAGAGTCATTACTAATCGTCTCGCGCGCAGACTTGACGACTTCCAGCCTCCCGAACAAGCCGGTTTCCGAAAGGGCTTTAGCACCATAGACCACATACATACCCTTCGGCAAATTGTACAGAAGTCCGAAGAGTACAATTTGCCACTATATCTGGCGTATGTGGACTATGAGAAAGCCTTTGATTCCGTCGAAATTTGGGCGGTGCTGCAGTCCCTTCAGCAGTGCCAAGTTGACTGTCGGTATATCGAAGTGTTGAAGTGCTTGTACAGTAGGGCTACGATGGCTATCCGAGTACAGAACCAGAGTACGAAACCTATCCAATTGCAGAGAGGTGTAAGACAGGGTGACGTCATATCCCTGAAACTCTTCACCGCTCCATTGGAAGACGCTTTCAAGCTTCTGGACTGGAAAGGATACGGTATCAACATCAATGGCGAGTACATCACTCACCTTCGATTTGCCGACGATATAGTCCTTATGGCAGAATCGCTGGAGGACCTAAGCACTATGCTCTATGACCTCAATAGTGTTTCCCAACGGATAGGTCTTAAGATGAACATGAACAAAACAAAGATCATGTTTAATGTCCATGTCACACCTACACCGGTAGTTGTTGGGAACACTAAGCTCGAAGTTGTTGACGAGTATGTTTACCTGGGACAAATAGTCTGACTAGGTAAGTCCAACTTCGACCGAGAGGTCAATCGATGGATTCAACTCGGCTGGGCAGCGTTCGGGAAGCTACGACACATTTTCTCGTCAGACCTACCTCAAAACCTTAAAACGAAATTGTACAACCAGTGCGTGTTGCCAGTGATGACTTACGGAACTAAGACGTGGTCCTTCACAGCTGGCCGTATGAGGAAGCTCAAGGTCGCTCAGCGAGCTATGGAGAGGGCTATGCTCGGAGTTTCTCTGCGTGATAAACTTAGAAATGAGGATATCCGCAGTAGAATTAGAGTAACCGACATAGCCCAACGGATTAGTAAGCTGAAGTGGCAGTGGGCCGGCCATATAGCTCGAAGAACCGACAACCGATGGGGAAGAAAGGTTCTCGAGTGGCAGCCTCGTACCGGTAGGCGAAGTGTAGGGCGAGCCCCCACGAGATGGAGTGACGACCTGGTAAGACATGCAGGAAGTCGATGGATGCAGGTGGCTCAGGACCGTGCTTTGTGGCATTCCGTGGGGGAGGCCTATGTTCAGCAGTCGACTTATGAAAGGCTGTAATGATGTAACGATGATCATAATTGTAAAATAAAATTTTGAATTAGGCAAAAATCATAGGTTATTAGTATTGTACTCAATAGTGTGCTTTTTTGTTACCCCACCCCACGGCTTATTGCTTACTCTATCGTTACAGACTATCAAAAGTCCACTTCTGAACATAGGCCTCGCCCGTAGGTTGTCTCATATGGAAGATACTTCTTGTCATAGTTGCCATACTGGACAGGTGGGTTGGCAACCGTCGTGGTTTGTTACTTTAATAATAATTATTATTATTATCTTTATTCAGGCAAATTACACCTATATCCAGTTAATAATTATCTTTATTCATATTACACCCATATCCAGTAAAATCAATGAATTTAAGATCAATCTCCAAAATTTTAGCAATAAATAAATCAATGTCAATACAAAATACTAATTTTAAAATAATAAATCCAGTAAATGTAAATAGGCAATAATGTCAGTGTATAAAGTAATATAATGAAATAAAATAAAATAATAATTAATAAGTAAATATCAGAATTACACTTATCAGTCAGGAGATGAGCGAGATATATAATTAAAACTTTCTCTGAGGCACCTTTTTTTTATAGGACAGGTTGACAAACAAGCACACAGTCCACCTGATGGTAAGTGGTTGCTGTGGCCCATAGACATCTACCAGATGCGTTGGCAGCCGTGATGATTAAGATGGAATGTCTCTTTTCCAGTAAAAAAGGTATCCGCTTCTCTACACTCACCATACGAAACAGCAGTGTTAACTGTTCTGCGATAAATGAATTTAAAATCAATATCCACAATTTTAGCAATAAAATAGTCAATGTCAATACAATATAACGATTTTATTTTTTAATTAATAAATTTTTGATGACAATATAACTTGAGTTATTATCAAGAAGATGCTGATGCCCATCTATGAATAACCACTACCTACATCTATCATAAGGGTAGTGGTTATTCCCAAATCGCCAGTACACGGTTAACACCGTCGCAACGCGGTGTATATTGCTTACTCTAGTGAATTATATATTATTAAATTCATCCTTTATTCTGTAGGATTACGGGGAAGTGGTATGTGTTATGGGCTCTGCAGCAAACTGCCTCAACATGGAGATATTCATGCAAGCTGATGCCAGGTAAGTACATTGTATTTGTAGTGTACTCACTGTATGCCATTTTTTAGTTTATGATAACATATATTAAAAATGTTGCCGAATACGCACAAACTAATTATCAATAATACTTCAATTTTTAAATCCATGGTAGTTAAGTAAAAAAATATTGTAATGAAGTTTTTTTAAAACGCAATTAATTTTACAGATTTTGGCAAGTCTAAACAAAAACGACAGTAATGGTTACTAGTACAGACTGCAAAATTAAACAGTCGTGGCTTTAAATCCATCTTGGAACTACTGTCGTACACCAATGTGTAGCACAAGCATTTTAAGCTTATTTAGATTAGCTAGCACGAGCTAATGGTGTTCCTAGTATTCTTTATGTTATAAATCCAGTATTATTGATATACACTAAAATACTTAATCCTTCTTCATCCGCTCATAAAATTTCACTACCGGACATGGGCGTTTTTTTTTTTTAGGATAAGGGTAACAAATGGGCACACAGTCCACCTGATATTAAGTGGTTGATGTGGTCCATAGACACATCAACATCTATCCTCGACTATGAATCAAAATGCAGATACGTTGTCACCCCTGAGGACTAAGATGGAATGCCTTGTTTCCAGTAAAAGGGGTCTCCGGTTCTTTACACTCACCATACAAAACAGCAGCGTTATGCTGCTATTTTACGCTGGTATTCTGTGTCATTCGCACTACAACTGCACTACTAATACAGCTGCAGAAAGACTACCAGTTCTTCAGTTGTAGAGCCTAAATAATGAACATAATTCCGTGTGGTGGCGACGTTATGTCAGCTACTCATACATTGATGTCATTGTAGCCAGTGGTAGAGGCAATCTATGATCTAGTCTACCTACATCATAGATCGTATTCTACATACACTTAAAACCAATACAGGGCCTGGTAGCGATGGCATACCTCCCATATTTATACATAAATGTGCAAAACACTTGGCCAAGCCTCTCTCAATAATCTTTAATATGTATGTTAACACCTATGGAACATTTCCTAGTAAGTGGAAAGAAGCTCTAATAATACCTATACATAAGAGTGGATTAAAAAACCAGAATTGAGCACTACCGCCCAATCTCCATATTAAACACATTTGGAAAGATTTTTGAAAAACTTATATTTATACACATTAGTCCCATAATCTTAAAATCAATACCAACTGAACAACATGGTTTTATAAATAAAAGATCAATCTTAACAAATTTAGCTATTTTTACCAATTATATATATATATATATATATATATATATATATATATATATATATATGAGCATTGACGACAGGCAGCAGGTTGATGTAATATACACGGACTTTGAAAAAGCATTTGACCGAGTTGATCATGCCATCCTTTTACGTAAACTTTACAGTTTGGGTGTTCATGGTGATTTGCACAGGTGGGTAACTTCATACATAAGTAACAGAAGGCAAGCAGTGTTACTGGGTAGTGCTCGTCTTGATTTTATTTCGGTAACATCTGGTGTCCCACAAGGCTCAATACTAGGACCTTTGTTCTATAACGCCTATTTATTTGATATCGGTGACTGCTTCTATCACTCAAACTATTAAATGTTCGCAGATGACAAAATTTATCTAAAAATAAAAACAATTGATGACTGTGTTCTGATTCAAAACGATTTAAAAAACCTAGAAATTTATTATAGAAAAAATAGAATTACTATCAATAATGAAAAATGTGTAAAAATAACCTTCATTCGTAAGAAACAGCTCGTAGATTACAAGTATTCAATTAACAATAACTCCACAAAGAGTGTATCATCATTAGAGATCTTGGTATCAGGCTGGACTCAAAATTAACGCTCAATGAGCATTTAGACAATATTGTTGACAAAGCCTACAAGCAAATTGGATTCATAAAGCGCGTCTGCAACGATTTTAGCAGTATTCATTGCACTAAAGCTCTATATTTTTAAGGAGTATTCTGGAATACGCTAATACAATCTGGTCTCCAAAATATGCTAAGCATAAGCATCGAATAAAATCAATTCAAAAACTGTTCATTAAGTTTATCTTATCAAAAGATCACAATAGTTTTGCGATATACGAAAATGCTTGTAAATTTTACCGCTTAGATACCTTGGAAACTAGAAGACTTCAACACGGTATGTTCTTACTACACGGTTTATAGTCTGGTAATATAGATTGTCCAGACCTGTTATCTAAAATATCGATACTAGTACCTAAATATCGAACTAGACATACACCATTATTCCACGTACCACGAACAAACACAAATTACGCAAAAAATTCTACTCTATGTCTATGTTGTTCAAAATTATAATAAGTGTTACGCTGACTTGGATATTTTCAACCTATCCAAGAGTCGTATCAAACGTGCTGTTGTAAACAAAAATAGGGCATAATCACACACACACACACACACACACACACATACACACAAACAAACACACACAAACACACACACACACACACACACACACACACACACATACACACACATATACACAGACACACGCATGCACACTTACTCAAGCACACACGCACGCTTAATTATTAGTTGATAAAAATTGTGTAATCTCTATTGGCCTTACTGTATGAAAATATGTATTGTAAATATGATGAAAACGCTGTATGATTACCTAAATAAATAAATATACAGGTATTTGAATGCAGCAAACTATATTGTTTCATGTTTTATTTTATTGCAATAAATTTCAAATTATTTCAAATTGTTTTATGGCACTTTTTGCAGCGTAGCGGTGGAGCCCCTGTATCCGGTGCTGTGTCAGAAAATGCCTCCTTACCAGATTCCTCAGAGCTGCATCGGGCCCATACAACTGGCTAGGGCACTCAATTCTGTGCCTTGTTCCGTCTCGGTAAGATATATTATTATAAATAATTGTTAAATATCTAATATACTCATTTATCACCACAATAATATAATATTAGTTAGGCGTTTGCAAGTTCTGAGTCAGTATAGTTTAGGGGGAAGGGGGATATATAGACATAACGAATGATTTGTGATTAGAGCCACATGATTTTTGCTAGTGTAAATCGTTTATCCAGTGAGCTTTCTAATATGAATGTATTTAAAACTTTTCCAGTAGTTTTGTCGAAATAAATAACGCCCTATTGACACTTCTACTTGTTGGTTCTTCGAGCTACGTAATTTAGTCCACAAGTTAAAGAAAACTAAAAGAGCCTACGCTCGTATTAAGTCAAGGAAACAGTTATCTTCTTCGCTCGCAAAGTGAATTTGAACTTCTCCATACTAACAACAAAGAAAACTTGGAATCGACTGACCTAAATTAAAATAATTGGATGATGTTGGCGTAAGCGAATCGGTCACTACATTTTACTGGTTTCATTGGAGTTGATTATTAGCTACTACTCGTGACAATCTAAGAAGCCCGATTTGACGAGAAAAAAAATCGGTTGCTTTCAAAACCGATTCTCGAGACATCGATTATTTAGAGTTTGTAATGGACAATGTATCTACATCGTTTAAAAATGATTCTCGAGGCATATCGTTTTAATACATGTACGAGTTTGTAATATTTTACAGTTATTACATAAATCTAAACTAAGTTTAAATTTGGGCAGGGTTTCAAAGCCAAGACGTAATCTAAAATCCGACATACGTTGTATATTATGTAGGAACGCCACACGATATGCACCCGTACGAAGCCGAGGCGGGTCGCTAGTCAAGAATCAAGTTAACAATAAATAAGTGTGGTTGGGTCAGGTAAATAAATAAATTCACTGAATTCGTAACATTTTTATTCTCAATTCTTATCTTAATGCCAACAAACAATTTTTTATAAAACCTTTCCGGCATATCCAGCATGACAAATAATGATGCGTCCACCCTTTCCCATTAGAACTTTTGAGCTGGATGCTTGCGTATCATACGTCCAAAATTGTGGCACAGTATGATTAGCATTGAGTCATGTCTCATCGATAAATATGTCCTTGTCCCAGTTGGTAGTAACTTCTCTTAAGAAGGATACTCTGTAGTATTATGTCATACCTTTCCATCAATATTTTCCGTTTGTCGGTTTTTTTTGTATGAAAACCCAGTATTTTTTAGAATTGTTTTTATACATGTTACACTGGCATCATATAAGGTTGCAGATTTAAGGGACACAAGTAATTTACTTACGGTGGGGTATTCTTGTCTTGTGTAGTAGCTGTAAACATAACAGCATCAGCATCAAAATTATAGGTACCTGTCACAGGTTTTGTTTTTTTTTTTCGCTTTTTGGGTGTGTGCAGTACATTATCTTCACAGCCAAAAGGCCCGTACTTTTCCTTTATAAAATTTTCGGACAGTTTTTATGCCAATTCTATGCGCTTGTGCCACTCGTTCTTGTACTTGGGTAACTTCTAAAAGAGGCCCTCTATTTGCTGACTCCCGTTCAAAGTACTCGTGCAACTTCAAAACCAAGTCACGAGACTGGCTGTTAAGAGTACGTCCTCTTTTATACATGTTGTCTAGTTCACACGATAACACCAAATTCAAGTAATGCGTAATCAAAGTCCGGAATTAGCAAGCCAAGGTCAACGAATATAGCAAAACAGTGCAAGAGTGATAGGCAAGTCAGAAAATATAATAATAACCAATAACACAAAAACTTTCAAGATAGCGAGAGACCGCGCGAAGCATTGACGAATCAAAGACGTAGAGAGAAAAAAGGGAGGTTAAAATACATTTTTTCAAAATCAAACTATTTCCAATATTAACATTTTAAATATCAAAATAACTGGTGCTTAGGCCAAATCTTAACATTTAAAACTGGCATTCAAAGCGCTCGCCTCGGCGCGTCATCCGATGGTATTTAGGTGACGTAAAAAAGACGAAGTGACCGCGTGGGCCGGCGACGAGTGTCTTGCCCGCCGCGGCCGTGTCGTCGACACAGTCTGCAATTTACCCGCGTGACGACCGCCTCTTATTGCGTTGTCTTTTTTGTGCGTTTACGTGACAACGAGGCTCTTCTTGAGTTTTGATTGATTAACTTAACTTCGATTGCCATTAATTGCGTGGACGAGTTGTTTGTGTGGCATTTTAATATCGTACGAAGACATTTTCCTTTGTCGGTAGAACGCTAAAAATTTGCGATCCGAGAGGAGATCGCGTTCGTCTTCTATTATATTATGTGTTATTGAAATGTTATTGTGTATATTAATGATGTGCTAAGTGACGTCAGACTTGAGTTTACATAAAGGTGAACGCCCTACCAAGTGATCGCACATCTTTGGGGGCAGCGCAGCGCATGTGGGTCTGCTGTCCGATTACATCGGTGACGTCAGACTACATTTACACACTTTCTCACACCACTTACACTACCATCACTTAACCCCTGACTGTACCGTGTGGTCGACTCTACCTCCGGAACTCGGTAAGTTTGTGTTTGCTTATCAGTCATTACATAATAATTATCCATAGGGCATTTGGGCCCGATCCCTTTGGTTGCTCGTCGAGTGGGCTACTCATGGGCCCTAGCCCAGTCGAATTTTGTCAGAGCAACTGAGGGCCGTAACAGCTGGAAATATACGTGTTCAGATTTTATTTTTATATGTTTAAACTTTAAACATTAAATAATACGTTTCTCTCTTTTCTAAATGTAAAAGTTTCGATTTTTCAGAACATCGATTTCATTTAGTCAAAAAATGGTTTATAACGGTCACAACACTACGGCATCGAACCCAAAGATATAACAGACATGTCATTATAATAACGTCCTGTGGCAATATTAATCAACGATTAATTCGTGTTTTTGAGAGCATTTTTCGAATATAAAGTGAAACTTGGTGTTTACGTATAATACTCATTGTCATAGTGTATGGATAACATAGTAATTATTTAGGATTGTGAATTTGATGTTTCGATTTCTTACATCGACTTTCATACAAAGTTATCGCGGCATGTATAATGAGAAACGTCAAATTAGGCTTTTTAGATTGTCGCGAGTATAGTTTCTTTAATTAAAAGACATTATGTTCAGCCTTACTATTCCTTTTCTTTTTAACGGATTTTAAATCGCTTTTATATGTCAGGTTTGGGGACTATGGAATGGGGAAAAAATTTTTCGCGGCGTAGTGGTCCTATTTTAAATCACCTAGATTTAAAATAGGATCACTACGCCGCGAAAAATTTTTTTACTAGTATTTTGTTTTAATACATAAGCATAAGATACTACGGTAGTTCAAGTAATGTCTCCTCCATTTTGGAATACAAGTCCAGCACTGGACTGGAACGATTCGGTCGATTGAGCGGCGTCGCGTAAAAGTATCGATAATTGCAATAGTTTTAAACGATCCGACTTGAGGAATCAAGCAGTTCGTTTAACGAATCAAAACTTAATCGATCGGGTCACTAAAAATGAATGATTAAAACACGACTATTTTAGATCATATTTCAACGTTTTGGTTGTGTTTCACGCTGCTTGGTATAAAGCTGTTGAACAAGTGGCAAAGTCAGCCACTGAACAATTATAGCATTACTAAGGTATGTATAATACATAACGTGTTATCTTTTGTTTAAAATGCATTTGTAAGAAAACAGTATAACAATTAAACGAGGAATTCTTACATGTACACACTTACAAAAATATAAAAAAGTTAATGTTCATAAATTGTTGAAGTTAGAGTGAATAAAAGCAACAAAAGTCATTAGTACAAAATAACATTCATAAACGTTACTTCCATTTTAGAAATACGTTCGTATCTCTACGAGGCGTTTTACATTCATAAATTGCACATACACAACCTGAACCGAAACTATTGATTTTAGGCCACACAAAATAGTTGTTCTTCTTTTAGTTTATGGCATTCTCGAAGTAACGAATTTTGCCAATTTCAAATCTTCTTTCTTTCTTTGGTAATAGATACGTACGATTGTATTTTTGCCAGTATCCAGTCATAAGAAATTATCCTTTGTAGTACACTTTTTTGCAATATGTTGACACGTCAAATTTTGAAGTTTCTGGGAGATATTGACGGCAGATTGAGCCAGCAAACAGTTGATGGCGATAGTACGAGTATCTCAAAGCACCTAAGCAGACACATTATCTTGAGGTTCACATTACCATCGGAACACTTGTTTCACCGTTTCCGTTAGTTCATATGATCATAGTAACATATCAAACCATTATTTAAACAATAATTCAGGAACAGCAATGGCGGCGGTCAAGTTCCCACCAAAACTCAAAATAGTTGTTGTAAAATGATTTAAAATATCTGTGTTAAAGATCAAAATATCGGGGCAATTTTGACCATTGTTATTAACGTGGATATGTCTTGGTAGTTCCGGAGTTCAGGAATATTTTTTCGCTGACTAAATTGTATGTAACATTATTTATATTTTATAGAATTCAAATATTGTTTCTACGTATGAACATTGTATATAAACATGTATTTTCATATTGTGATTGATGGTAAAAAATCAGATTTTGTTTAAATAAAATTACCGATAATCGCTTGCTGTATATGCATTACGATATATTATATATATATATATATATATATATATATATATATATATATATATATATATATATATATATATATTAGTTGTATGAATAAATATAATTTATGTAAATTTAACGTGCTGGATGGACCTGGTAACAACTACAGTAGCTTGAGAAAGTTAAACGGAGCATGCACAACCAACCACCAAGCATGGCTGTCACAGGATTTTTACAAATAGTACCTAAGGATAAGTCAGTTACCGTTACAGCTTACCGAAATTCTACTACTGCTGCACTGTACTGTGCTGCTTATTTTTTAGTTATTATTAGGAACACGATGTTGCATATCTCCTAGTTTGTTTCTCTTTGTCGTCTCTTACGACACCCACGGGATATAGGGTAGCCATTTAAAAGTGAGGTATAATATTTGACAGTTGTCATAGCGGGAAAGTTAATTTGTTCGGAAAATGTAAAGGTTAATGTTTCTTTCTGTACTATTGCCTATATTTTATATCAATAAGAATAAAAATAAATAAACGAAACCACAGATGTTCATAAAAGTTGATAAATAAAAAAAAAGTTAAAAATATGCAAAAAAGTTTCACTGACTCATTGTTTTATGTTATACAAAGTGACGATGAAGTTATCACGTTAAATGAAAAGACGTATTCTATACAAAGTTCTTTAAACATACACAACTAAAAAAATATATAACAATTAACATTCTGGGCGCGGTAGCCTTTTTTTTTGTTTTAATATTAAACAACATCATTTAAATGCATCAGATATCACCTGATAAATACTAGAAGTTCAAAGACCCATGGCCCGTGAAGGCCAAGAGACCTATATTGTATTATAGTGCAACGTTGCCAATTTTAAATAATCAAATAAAGTAATAAATTAAGCAAAAAATGTACTTATATGTAACAAAATAAGGCATAATTCTTATGCGCGATGCGACAAGAATTGGGACGGGGTGTTGGGAGGGTGGGATGTGGTCGATTGGCGCGTGCGACGATAAAGTAAGACAGTAAGTCACTTAGTCCGACGCCGGCGTCCTTGGGAACGGTTCATTAATCGCTTGACCTAATTTTAGTTTTTCGCGTACACGTCCTTTTAATTTAAAGTTTTTTTTTGTGGAAATTTTCATAAGTTTCTTGATTTGTTTGTGATAGGACACGTTAATACTATAATAATAATTGTGTTGAGGAGGTGGTGTGACTATTTGTGCGAAATTTGACGCTTTCTTTTACTGTCTTGTATTTTTTATTTGTGATAGGACTCGTTAATAATAGATAAGTGATATTTAATAACTTAGTGGTGTGTCAGCCCGTGCGCAATTGGACGCTTTTATTTTTTTAAACGTATAACTTTTTTTATTTTAAAATGCCTCGTATCAATTTTACGTCATTGGAATACACCGATATGGTTTTAATTTATGGAGAATGCCACCAAAACGCGTCCCTGGCATTACGAACATACCGAGAGAGGTATAATACCACACGTGTATGTCCTACAGACTCACGGATTTTTATACGGGCAGTCCAAAGATTACGTGACGGCGAAAATTTGATTCCACGTCAGGTTGAAATTCCTCCGCGAGTCGCCGTGGCTCAGGAAGAACGAATATTAAATTATTTCGCTCGTAATCCAACATCAAGTCTCCGTAGAGCAGCTCGCCAATTCTGTGTACACCACAAGTCTGTTCACAGAATATTAAAAAAAACAAGCAACGGCCGTTCAAATACGTAAAGGTACAGGCTTTATTAGATAGAGATAAGCCAGTTAGGGAAGCCTACTGTGAATGGCTCCTGAGCAAAGTAGCTAATGACTCTAACTTTTTAGCAAACGTAATGTGGACTGACGAGAGCACATTCACGCGTAACGGAATATGGAATCGGCAGAACTTACGATACTGGAGTCAAGAAAATCCGCAACTGTGTCGAGAGTCTATGCACCAATATAGATTTGCCGTTAATGTTTGGGCTGGAATACACGGAGATCAAATAATTGGTCCCGTGTTTATCGAAGGCAACCTTAATGGGCCTAAATTTTTGGAACTGCTTGACGACACAGTGGCGGATTACGTTGATGGACTATCGTTGGGGGCCAATAGCCGGTTATGGTACCAGCTTGATGGAGCACCTGCTCATTCAGTGGTGGCTGCCAGGCAGCGCCTCACTGAGATGTTCGGAGAGAACTGGATTGGCAGATACGGACCTTCTCGGTGGCCAGCACGGTCTCCGGATCTAACACCGTTAGATTTCTTTTTATGGGGTTACATAAAAAATGAGATGTACTCTACTGAAGTAACGACTGTCGAGGACTTAAAAATAAGAATAATGCGGGCTTTCGACAAAATAAAAAATTTTGCAGCCAATGGTGCCCTCTTTCGAAAAGTCCGAAATAATATCATGCGACGATGTCAATTATGCATTCGGGTACACGGCGGACATTTTGAAAATTTAAAAATTTGATTTGTTTCATAAACTTGAGTGATTTCAAGGTTAAAGTGATTATTTGGATAAAAAAATACCATGAAATTTGTGATTTGTTGATAACATCGGATTAGCATCGCCCTACGCGTGCCTAATTACCTATGTATGGGCAAGTCCTAGGACCTAGGTATTATAATATAATTACCTATATCGATGTCGCATGAGCAATGAACCGCTGGCCGCGACGTTGCCGCTTCTACAAGTCATTTCAGGTCAGTTAAGTAATATTATCAAGGATGATTTATTTTATGTGATTTTTTACCCTATTTATTTTGTTTGAAAGATGCATTTTTTATTAGTTTTTATTATTGTTTATTTTATTATTTTAACAGACATATATCAACTTGTATTAACTGTTGTGCTATTTAACGTGATAACCTGGGCGCCACCCAGTATAATACTCCAGAAACTGATAAAGATAAAGCTGATAAAGACATTGTGTAACAAAAAAACTTTACCTCAGTGTCATCTAGCGATATCTGGTGAGCAGAAAATTACTAGCCCACATTGCTGTGTTCAAGTGAAAATAGCTTGAAGTGTAGAAGTCGAGATTAAGAGTGAAGCTGACCACCAAGATACTTTGTTAATGAAAGATGACACAAAAAATTTTATAGTCTTTCCAGACGATCTACATGCACCTGATATGATGAGTTCCAAACAGGGCTGCAGTACACTTGAAGGCTACGCACGTAGGAATGAAAAAAAAATAGGTTCTTTAAAGAACGGACACATGTTACTCGTTTGGTCCGCTCCGCTCAACTCTTTCGGTGGAAACACTATTTTGTAAAATTCAATTGCGAAATGAAAGGACTCATTAATGTACTCCGGTTCGAGTCCGCAGCTCATTTTTACTCTTTTCGCCCTCGTTGTCATTTACACTCGACTCTTTGTTGGTGGAAACACTTGTATGCAGTTTTGTATTGCGAGGCAAAAGGAGTAAGTAATGGGTCCGTTCCGCTCGCGGTGGAAATCGGGCTTTAGTTTTTTTAAGTGTGTTACCTCATAACTTTTTACTGGGTAAACTGATTTTTTTTATTTGAAAGCTGGTACTTCACATGTGGTGCCATATAAATTTGATCAAGATCTGACCAATAGTTTTTGAGTTATTCTTAATAATTTATATTGAAATTGGTTGTACAAAATTTTTAATTATTGGCTATATAGTCAATGTGATCTTTAAACTTAGTGTCATCAATAACACCCATGTCACGCATACTACAGACTTCTATTGTTTAAGTATTCTTGATATGGCGTATCCACACTTTTGATAGCAGTTGCCCCCGCGATTCCAATGTAATAGATTATTATTAAACTGAATATATAATATATATAAACAAACTATGTATACCATAAAATAATTTTGTAAACCAACACATGTTGGTGCAGATGACGCGGGACGCGGACGTGTCGCTGTTTGCGCTGATCACTATGTCGCGCCACTTCATGATGTGCTTGTGGAACACCACACAGTTTTGGATGTGTAGCGTATGCTTTTTATCGCTGCTGCAGGTATGCTGCCTACTTCGTGCTTTACTTTTCAATTATTTTGATATTTAGAATAAGTATGAAGAATAATATAATGATTAACTATTTGCCAAAGATATATTAAACTAATATTTTGGCCGACGTCAAAAATGAAGGAAGTTCTCAATTCAACTGTATGTTTTTTTTTATGTATGTCACGCGATATCTTAACCAATTGTGAACCGACGATACATAAGGCAATAAAACAGGATATAGGCAAGGCACCTACCTGCCAAGCGTAACAACTATTGCAAATATTCCCTCTATGAGGCAATCTGTACGGGCTGTAATAAATGAATGAATTAATGAAATAAAAAAATTGATCGATTTACTATATCATCATCATCATCACCATTACAGCCCATCGCAAGTCTACTGCTGAACATAGGCCACCCCAAGGAATCCCACGAAGCATGGTACATGCTTTGTGGGATTTTATATGGCCGGCCCATTGCCACTTCAGCTTACTAATCCGTTGGGCTATGTCGGTCACTCTGGTTCTACTGGGGATATCCTCATTTCCAAGTTTATCACGCAGAGAAACCCTGAGCATAGCCCTCTCCATAGCTCGCTGAACGATCTTGAGCTTCTTCATACGGCCAGAGTGAAGGACCACGTCTCAGTTCCATAGGTCATCACTGGCAACACGCACTGGTTGTAAAGTCTAGTTTTCAAGTTTTGAGGTATACTTGATGAGAAGATGTGCCGTAATTTCCCGAACGCTGCCCAGCTGAGTAGAATCCGTCGATTGACCTCTCGGTCGAAGTTGGACTTACCTAGTCATTTGTCCCAGGTAAACATACTCGTCAACAACTTCGAGCTTAATGCTCCCAATAACTACCGGCGTAGGTGTGACATGGACTTTATACATGATCTTCGTTTTGTCCATGTTCATCTTAAGACCTATCCGTTGGGAGACACTATTGAAGTCATTGAGCATAGTGCTTAGGTCGTCCAGCGATTCTGCCATAAGGACTATATCGTCGGCAAATCGAAGTTGAGTGATGTACTCGCCATTGATGTTAATACCGTATCCTTTCCAGTCCAGTCCACATACGCCAGAAATAGTGGCGAATTGGAGTTTTGGGGAGAACTTGACCGGCGCTGGATTGTGGCTCCTGTATTATTGTTTAAATAATAGTTTGAAATGGAATTTGATATGTAAAAGTGGTGCGATTTTGTGTATTAAATGTCTCCACATGTGAACTATTAGTAGAAACGCTGAAACAAGTGCTCTGATGGTGATGTGATTCTCAAGATAAGGTATCTGTCTGCTTAGGCGCCTTGAGATACCATCGCCAGCTGTCTCCTGGCTCAAGTTGCCGCCAAAATCTCCCAAGGACTGCGCATTGTGACGCATCAACATATTATGAAGCAGTGTACTATAATGGATAATTATACATTGTAACTTCAGGCTCAGAAGGGCTAGAACCCAGAGCCGTAAAGCCGGTTATAAAAAAAGTGGCAAATTGTACTCTTCGGACTTCTGTACAATTTGCCGAAGGGTATGTATGTAGTCTATGGTGCTAAAGCCTTTTCGGCAACCGGCTTGTTCGGGAGGCTGGAAGTCGTCGAGTCTGCATGTGAGACGATTCGTAATGACTCTCGAAAACAGCACGTAGACGCGGCTCAGAAGGGAAATCGGTCTGTAGTTCTTCAAGAGAGCATTGTCGCCTTTCTTAAAGAACAAGACCACCGAACTTCTACTCCACGCCCCCGGTGTAGTGCCACCATGGAGGATAGAATTAAAGTGCTTCTGAAGGACTACAAGTACCGGTTTTCCACCCGCTTTCAGAAGCTACCCTGTAATTCCATCCTCGCCTGTGGCTTTGCCGTTTTTAAGGTGCTGGAAGGCCATTCTAATCTCGCTCAAACTAACGTCCGGAATAGTGTCGGATAAGACTTGATCTTGGATCGTTACTCACACTTGCGTGTGGCTCAAACGATGATGTGTAGTGCTGCCCATAAAACCTCTCAATCTCATTCAAAATCTCAGGTGTCCCGGAAACGACGGTACCACACTCGGTCTTCAGCTACGGTAGTTGGCTCTTTCTAGCAGACATATCTCTAGCAAAGATTTTGGAGCCCTGGTTCCGCTCGATCGCTTCTTCAATATAAGCAGTATTAAAGTCGCGTGAGTCCCGCCGCTCGCATTTGGAGATCTGTCTGTTCTGCAGCTTCATTTCCCGTCTAACAGCCATGAGATTAAGAGTGTGATCGGAGAGTTTTTGTCGTCTTCTGCGGCAGGTCTTGCAAAACTTATCTCAGATTTACTATTTATAATTAAATAAGAGAGAAAATTTTCCTATAAAATGCAGGTTTTATGTTCCAATTTAGAAGCCCTTGATCACAGAACACTAATACCCTTAGGCCATCGATGACTTAAAATTTATTTTGTAATATGTTTATAGTTAATAGTAATCTGGTTTTATAATATATAATATGCTACAAGAGTGTCGGATAATGTGGTAGTGCAACTTCGGGGTCGACTACGTTGCCGACAACATCTTCTTCTTCTACCTAGCGTTTATCCCGGTTGCTCATCCCGCCCAGCGCGGGAGAACCCAGGGTCCGCTTTCCGACACTTCCTCCTCCACTTTGCCCGGTCTTCGGCGTCCCTCACAACTAGCCCATTGGCGCGCATGTCATCCTGCACGACATCAAGCCAGCGTTTCTTGGGCCGTCCTCTACTCCTGGCACCAGGTAAGGTCATTTCCAGGCATTTGTTTCCCACGTAGCTTGCTGGTCGTCGTAAGACGTGGCCGTACCAGCGGAGGCGACTTTCCTGCAGCTTGTCAGCAATGTCACGGACATGGAGGCTGCCGCGGATGTATGTATTCCGTACACGGTCTTTCCGTGTGACGCCACACATCCACCGCAGCATGTTCATCTCCGTGACATGCAACAACTGCCGGTGTCGCTCCAGCACCGGCCACGCCTCACTGCCGTACGTAAGGACAGGCCTTATGATGGTCTTATAGACCTGTCCCTTCAGCTTGACCGGCATTTTGGGGTCACAAATGACACCCGTCACCTCGCGCCATTTCGCCCAAGCCGCTGATATACGGGCCTTGATGTCGCGATCGATGTCACCGGACGCATCAAGCACAGATCCGAGGTACCTGAAGTTGTCCGTGCGCTCGACGGTGTCGTCGCCTATACGGAGAGACGTCAGATCTGTGCTGTTGCAGGCCATATACTCCGTCTTCGCCACGTTTAGCTTCAGCCCGCCGTTCTCAAGCGCCTCCCTCCATGCGTGCACGCGTCTGGTGAGCCGTCCTTTGTCCTCATCTACCAGTGCGATATCATCAGCGTACATAAGCAGCCAAGGCTGCGGTAGTTTCTGTACGCTGGCTGACAGTTCGTCTAATATCACACTGAAGAGATAGGGGCTTAAGACGGAGCCCTGATGCACGCCTATGGTTATGGGGAAGGGGGTGGTATCACCAACAGCGGTCCTGACTATTGAATCGGAGTTGCGGTACATGTCACGTACGATTTCCACGTAGGTCTCTGGTACCAACTTCGACCGCAACGCCCACCAGATCATCTCCCTAGGAACACAGTCAAAGGCCTTCTGCAGGTCTAGGAATAAAAAATGCAGAGGCATATTCTTTTCCCTGTGCTTCTTCATGAGGATCCTTAGGGCGAATATAGGGTCCATGGTACCGCGTCCTGGTTGGAAACCGTACTGGAAGTCCGACACTGTACACTCCTGTCGGATCCTGGCGTCAATAATGCGCTCGAAGAGCTTCATGGTGTGTGACATCACCTTTATACCGCGGTAATTACCGCAATCCTGAACGGACCCTTTACCCTTGTGGACCGGCGTTATTAAGACAACATCGTCATACTGTTTATGTTCACTTAGGCACGTAACTCACGTGATTTTGACGACATCGTTAACTTTAAAAACTATAAAATATGTTTATTGAATGTGTTTTTGATATTTTGCCCATCCTTCAAAATTTACTTGTAATTGGTCCGCAATATGAATCGAAATTTTAGTTTGATAGTTCTATTGTTATTGTGATTGCATGATACAATTATTGGACTGTAGTAATTGGGTAGTTGAAAACATAATTTAAAACACAAAAAGCAAAATAATGCACACAGTTTTTAGCTAAAGTGATGTAAAATGTAATCCAAAACAAATATAGCTGTTCGAAAGAAAATCGTGTAATTTACTTTATGATACTGGTAAAAAGGCAGAGGTTCAAAACATTTGGCTCTTCTGAATCAAATCATTCATTCATTATCAAATATTATTTCAGAGTTTAATAACGATGAACAGTGGCCTAAGGGAACTCATCGCCCCTTTCTTTCTCTTAGTGTCGTAATAACCGACTACGGAATGTGTAAGAAAGATCTTATGACATCCCGCTAAACATCATGAATTCGCTGTACGGAAGAGGTGTGATACAGGTGGGGTCGCTGTGGTCGATGCTGCCAATGGCATTGAGCGCGGGCGGCGCAGCGTGGGGAAGCGCGGTGACGGCGGCGCTTGCGACCGCGCTCGCCTTCGCGCCCGCGCGCGCCGCCGTCATGCAGCGCGCCGCCACGCGCCCGCACGCGCACTTGCACCGCGCCGTACGTACGCACGCACACACATACACACGCACACACCTGCACCGTGCCATACGTACACATGACGTCATGCAGCGCGCCGCCACGCGCCCGCACGCGCACCTGCACCGCGCCGTACGTACGCACGCACACACATACACACACACACACACACATCTGCACCGTGCCATACGTACACATGACGTCATGCAGCGCGCCGCCACGCGCCCGCACGCTCACCTGCACCGCGCCGTACGTACGCACGCACACACATACACACGCACACACCTGCACCGTGCCATACGTACACATGACGTCATGCAGCGCGCCGCCACGCGCCCGCACGCGCACCTGCACCGCGCCGTACGTACGCACGCACACACATACACACGCACACACCTGCACCGTGCCATACGTACACATGACGTCATGCAGCGCGTCGCCACGCGCCCGCACGCGCACCTGCACCGCGCCGTACGTACGCACGCACACACATACACACGCACACACCTGCACCGTGCCATACGTACACATGACGTCATGCAGCGCGCCGCCACGCGCCCGCACGCGCACCTGCACCGCGCCGTACGTACGCACGCACACACATACACACACACACACATCTGCACCGTGCCATACGTACACATGACGTCATGCAGCGCGCCGCCACGCGCCCGCACGCGCACCTGCACCGCGCCGTACGTACGCACGCACACACATACACACACACACACATCTGCACCGTGCCATACGTACACATGACGTCATGCAGCGCGCCGCCACGCGCCCGCACGCGCACCTGCACCGCGCCGTACGTACGCACGCACACACATACACACACACACACATCTGCACCGTGCCATACGTACACATGACGTCATGCAGCGCGCCGCCACGCGCCCGCACGCGCACCTGCACCGCGCCGTACGTACGCACGCACACACATACACACACACACACATCTGCACCGTGCCATACGTACACATGACGTCATGCAGCGCGCCGCCACGCGCCCGCACGCGCACCTGCACCGCGCCGTACGTACGCACGCACACACATACACACGCACACACCTGCACCGTGCCATACGTACACATGACGTCATGCAGCGCGCCGCCACGCGCCCGCACGCGCACCTGCACCGCGCCGTACGTACGCACGCACACACATACACACACACACACACACATCTGCACCGTGCCATACGTACACATGACGTCATGCAGCGCGCCGCCACGCGCCCGCACGCTCACCTGCACCGCGCCGTACGTACGCACGCACACACATACACACGCACACACCTGCACCGTGCCATACGTACACATGACGTCATGCAGCGCGCCGCCACGCGCCCGCACGCGCACCTGCACCGCGCCGTACGTACGCACGCACACACATACACACGCACACACCTGCACCGTGCCATACGTACACATGACGTCATGCAGCGCGTCGCCACGCGCCCGCACGCGCACCTGCACCGCGCCGTACGTACGCACGCACACACATACACACGCACACACCTGCACCGTGCCATACGTACACATGACGTCATGCAGCGCGCCGCCACGCGCCCGCACGCGCACCTGCACCGCGCCGTACGTACGCACGCACACACATACACACACACACACACATCTGCACCGTGCCATACGTACACATGACGTCATGCAGCGCGCCGCCACGCGCCCGCACGCGCACCTGCACCGCGCCGTACGTACGCACGCACACACATACACACACACACACATCTGCACCGTGCCATACGTACACATGACGTCATGCAGCGCGCCGCCACGCGCCCGCACGCGCACCTGCACCGCGCCGTACGTACGCACGCACACACATACACACACACACACACATCTGCACCGTGCCATACGTACACATGACGTCATGCAGCGCGCCGCCACGCGCCCGCACGCGCACCTGCACCGCGCCGTACGTACGCACGCACACACATACACACACACACACATCTGCACTGTGCCATACGTACACATGACGTCATGCAGCGCGCCGCCACGCGCCCGCACGCGCAGCTGCACCGCGCCGTACGTACGCACGCACACACATACACACACACACACACACACATCTGCACCGTGCCATACGTACACATGACGTCATGCAGCGCGCCGCCACGCGCCCGCACGCGCACCTGCACCGCGCCGTACGTACGCACGCACACACATACACACGCACACACCTGCACCGTGCCATACGTACACATGACGTCATGCAGCGCGCCGCCACGCGCCCGCACGCGCACCTGCACCGGGCCGTACGTACGCACGCACACACATACACACGCACACACACATCTGCACCGTGCCATACGTACACATGACGTCATGCAGCGCGTCGCCACGCGCCCGCACGCGCACCTGCACCGCGCCGTACGTACGCACGCACACACATACACACGCACACACCTGCACCGTGCCATACGTACACATGACGTCATGCAGCGCGCCGCCACGCGCCCGCACGCGCACCTGCACCGCGCCGTACGTACGCACGCACACACATACACACACACACACACATCTGCACCGTGCCATACGTACACATGACGTCATGCAGCGCGCCGCCACGCGCCCGCACGCGCACCTGCACCGCGCCGTACGTACGCACGCACACACATACACACACACACACATCTGCACCGTGCCATACGTACACATGACGTCATGCAGCGCGCCGCCACGCGCCCGCACGCGCACCTGCACCGCGCCGTACGTACGCACGCACACACATACACACGCACACACCTGCACCGTGCCATACGTACACATGACGTCATGCAGCGCGCCGCCACGCGCCCGCACGCGCACCTGCACCGCGCCGTACGTACGCACGCACACACATACACACGCACACACCTGCACCGTGCCATACGTACACATGACGTCATGCAGCGCGCCGCCACGCGCCCGCACGCGTACCTGCACCGCGCCGTACGTACGCACGCACACACATACATCCCTGCCACTGGTGCTGAGCCTTTATCCTCTGTATCCGTTGTATCATGTTTTGCATGTCACACACAACTTCAGTGAAAAAGCAGTATAAAAATTATTTATGATACTACATCCCATTTGCCATTTGCAATACTCCTAAATAATATGTAAAAATCTGTTCATTCATTTTGACTATGAGGTCTCATAACAAGCATTGATTTATTTGCTCATTGGTCAGTGCAGAACCGACACTTTCACAACTCTTATGCCACCCTTCGTCATCGGTCTATAATTTGAGGTATAACTTAAAATCTTACATTTAATGTGGACATAAAACAAAAAATATTTGTATGTGTATAGATGGCGCTTTTCGTCTTTTGGTGCTACGCTTGCAAGTTCCTGCCCTCAGCCATATTTATACTCGCCTTGTACGGATTCACTCTACGCAGTTTCTGTGAACAAATAGCACAGGTATGGATAAAACATAACCAATTTACAACCTAATTAGGTATATATTTCTTATTCTTTATACCGTATCAGTCCACTGCTGCATATAGTCGTCTCCTACATAATTTAGTCTTTAATGTTATTTTACAAAATAATATTGTTACGAGCTTGGAGTTCGAGACAATTAAAAACTGCCGAGTTAATTACCAAAATTGACACTTTAATTACAGAACACTAATTACTACTTAAAACCACACTAATAACGAAACACAATTGTACTACTGATCATTTTAGTTCGCAGTTGTATCGCTTAGAAGTATTCGCTTGTATCGCCAACTCAACACTGACGCCGGTTCGCGGTCTATACCAGCCTTATATAGGGCCTCAGATAGTTTCAGAATCTTCTACTGTAGAAACATCTAGAATGTTCGAGTACATACCGGTCCCGATTGACTAGGTGTCGATAGTTGTAGAAAGTTCTTCCATGGAAGTTTCTAGAAGGATCTTCTAGAAATTTTATATTTAAGTCCTAAGTTCTAATATTAGCATTAGAACTTAGGACTCTCCTAGTTCTGCTACTCGATACTAGAAGCCGCTAGTGGTAACTAGTGTCGCCATGTACCAAGCATTAATGGTGGCGCGCAACAATATATTTAAAACTTCACCATTAGCGAATACAATACTTGCGACGAAAATCGGTGCGACCCAGGAGGGCCACACTACAAACTTCCCATTACGAAGTGACAATAAATAAGAAACCTGGAAAATGAAATAGTAAGTTACAATTATCATTAAATATAACATATTAAAAACAATGCTCTAACCATATTCAGAACCTGCATGGGTTAATAGTGCAGACTATTTCTAAAATGTTATTTTTCAATTTCCTCATTTAATTCATTCATAACTAAAACTGGCCGTATGAGGAAGCTCAAGCTCGCTCAGCGAGCTATGGAGAGGGTTATGCTCGGGATTAGTGTTACTCAAAATGAGTGTTGGTGTTGCAGTCTTGGGCTTGTTCTGGCATTTTTCCAAGACCAAAACCAAGACCGCCTAATTTTAGCAAGACCAAGACCAATACTGACCCTGCAAGATTTGAGCAAGAGCAAGACTAAGTCTGCGAGACTGCGTCTTGCTGTTAGGACTGAGTGTCGTTTCAGGAAGTATAGGAGTTCGGGTATACTCTTAGGGACTCTATGAGACGCAAAAAAATTTTTGCAAAATTGGACTTACGCCCATTACGAACAATACCATAAACATACATACTGAATGAAAATATCCATTAAAAGAAAAAAGAGTGCATCCCTAGTTTTGACCATCGGCACTTTGATAGTGCGCAGCGTCTTGTTGTCGGCATCATCAAAGGTCGTATACTGACCTGTCAAAGAAATTTTACAGCTATTCGGAAGTACAAGGTCAAGATACACGCACCGGCGGCTTCTATTGATATCGCATACAATCGTTGCCGCCGTGCCGCACGTACAACATTTGATACTGTTTGATCGCCGCCACAGTGTACATGTTCAAAAGAATAAAATAAGTTTCACAAATAGTTTTAATCAAGTTTAAGATCTATGTACTGTTTAGGAGCCGATTATATCTGAGAGAACTGTTTAAAGATATTGATATCTTGACTGTTGCATCACAATATATTTTTGCAAATATCATGTATGTATGACAAAACGCAAAAAATAAATCAAGTAAAGAAAATCAATTTTGGGTATCTTAACCAAGAAGATCTGAGTTTGAAGTATGCATCAATGGTTAAGGCATCGGCAAGTCTTTGTCTCCTAAATTTGGTCTCATGACATTAGCTACAAAAACTGGTTTATTAATAAATTTTTAAGATAATACTAAATGATGTTAATCTGTCGTACTAATCCACTTAAATAAACACGGTCGCCATCGTTGTTTGGTCCTAGTTTGTCTTGATCCCCGAAGTGCTTAGAGCAAATGAGAGTAGATTTCGAAGGCACCCAGTGAGTCTTTTCTCAGCAATAGTATTATTACTACCCACTTCTTACGGTGTGCTGCATCTTTAGGTACCCTGCAAAATTATTAATATAAAATACTAAATAAAATATAATTAATAGATCATTCATGAATATTCTGAAAGAAGAATAATTAATTCCTTTGTACAAAGGTTGAAACATAGTTTTTATTACAATTTCCAAAATATTTAAAATCAGGGCTAACAATTTAAATTATATAGTCGTAGTAGTGTAATGTAGCAAAATTGCAAAGGCAGAAAAGTGGCAACATTGAACCTAAATCGCAATATTCGATGTTTTTTTTTGTGTTTTTTACGTTAATATGCAAACATAAACTAAAACTTACGTGGAGAAAGTGATTCCGCTTGATTAATTATGTTTTTGTGACCGTGAATCGCATTCTTTCACTACGCATTTACCCATTTTTTGTCGTGAATCGTTCGGCTCAACTCGGCCATAACTGTGGCCATATGTGAAGTGGCAACGCTTTGGCGCGGCAATCACTTATCTAGTGTAACATATAAATCAATGAAAAAAAGACTGACCATTCATCAATTTATGGGTAAAAAAATATTTACAGTTGAATATCTATCTTTTTTACCGCTTGAATCTGGAAAACTTGCAAAAGTTTCGGAGAAGTCACCATTTTTATTTTGGTAAAATAATGGCCCTTTTCGAATCCAAATATCGCGTAATTCTTCTGTTAAAATTTCATCACAATACGTACCAGGATCAGGAGATACATTTTTCACTATCTATACATATAATAAAACTGTAAATAGCAGATGTCTGTACATTTTATATTTTTGTAATAAAAGTGATTGAGGGGTACTAAAAATAAGTAATTAAATACATTTCTACCATTTTTAGAATTTTCTGTCTGTCTGTTTGTTTGTTAACGTATCACGTATAGTACTAATTTATATCATAAGAATTGTTAAGGAAATTATAAAGTGTATCTTCGTGTTACATTTAGTCTTTATTTCATTAAAATCAGTTCATTCCATCAAAAGTTATGATAAATATTCTGAAGTATGGGTAGGGAAGTATAGGTACGAATTTGCTCAACGGTGGCTTTGTTTGAGTCATCAAGTGCATTTTAAACTAATATCATATCATAAATCATAGTTAAATTATGTAAAATAATGATATAATTATGTATATCTAAAACGCAGTAAACAAAAGTATTAAAGAACGTATTAAATATATTATACAAAAATATATTAACCTTATTAACTAAATCTGAAGCACAATAGTTAACCCATTTCTTCGATAGATGGTGGTGTTGTGAAAATGTAATGCAATTGCAATGTGGTTTTTTTCCTGTAAATGAGTTTTCATATTTACTGCTAATCTTTATTATATTACTCGCTGCCCTACTGCGTGTTGACAAACTCAATTTATTCTTTACCGCCGAGTACTCTATGTGGTAAATCAAATTTTAAAAGAGCTATTAACAATTGCATTGGTTTTGGCGAGAGTCAAACTTTTTTTTTTTGCTTACTGTGCAGGCACTGATTTATAAGTTCTCTTGCGTTTTATACAATGTATCAATCGCGTCAATTAATCTCTTTTATTATAGAATTGATGTTAGCAGCGCCATCTCTCTTTAAATATATACATATAATAAAAATGATGATAACATGTTGTGTCTCTTTCTGTACATTGTATATATATTTTGGTGGCTAAAATCATTATAGGGAACTGAAAATAATTAAATAAGAACATTTTATAATTTTTAGAATTGTCTGTCTGTCTATTTGTCTGTTATTATATGAACGCATCACGTCTAAAGTAAACATCTTTTATTTTCAAAGAAATCGTTAAGAAAATCATAAAGCGTATCTTCGAGTTACATTTAATCTTTGTTTTATTAAAATTGGTTAATTCTATCGAAAGTAATGATTATTATTTTGAAATGTAGGTTCGAATTTGTTCAATGGCACCATAAAATCTCAGAAAAAAGATTTGTGTGTAAAAAAAACCTTCCATAATAATTAATATATTTATACTTAAAACACAAAAAGAGATTTAAAAAGGATGTTTTCTCACACAAAGGGCGTAATAGATGGAGTTGTACAAATTACAAACTTTTCTGAATTGCTGTGTTGAGATTTTTCGCCGATGAATCGTATTGAGACTTACTGAAGAAATTTGTATCCATCGAAGCCATACAACGGAACCCGACCAAAAATAAAAATTTTGCAACGAAATGTCGTGGTATTGTATTTATAATATACGCAAAATCAGTACTGCCATTTTAGCGCTTTGGGAACTAGATTAAGCGCTTTTTTGGTATGTATAGCGCGCATTTCGAAATTTTAGTACCTAGCTTAATCCAGCGCTTTTTGGTGTATTTAGCACACATTTCAATATTTTAGCGACTAGCGGGTTATTAACTCTTTTATAGCAGCACTGTTAGTCCACATTACCGATAATAATAATAATGACCTTTATTATTTTTTCCCACAAATACTTAGTACATTGCAGTTTATCTTTTTCAAACATATTTTTTCCACAAAACAAAGAGCATGGGAGACGAGTCCAAACTAGGATACCCTGTGCTATGGATCTCCTGGCTTTCCCTTTAGGATGATCAACTTGATTTTTTTACCGACGACTATAAGCGGGGAAATCCCCTTTATTAAAGTTTTCGTTCATGGTTTTGGCAACGCATTTATTTTGCTTTATTCAGTTTCAGTCAGTTGCTTAGAGCACAGCTAAGTTAAAAGTTACTTAGAAGTTATAACACAAAGAAACTGTGTAGCAACCGCAATCAGATGCTGACATCTGAAACTAAGTTGCGAAATACATTGCACTTTAAAACAATTAATGACATTTTAATTGTTCGTACAGTTGACAACTACTGTTGACAGCAATTGCCATAATTACGAGTATAAGTCGATGTCCTGCGAAGTATTGATACATCAAAAAAATATTGCCAGAAAAAACTTAATGTTGTTTTCTTTATTATGATTATATAAAAAAACACAAACTTTGTTTGTAGTTAATTTAGCGCGAAATCTAGGGCTTTTTTAAAGCGCTGTTTTCATGAAATCTAGCGCTTTTTATGTTGTCCTAGAGCTGAATGAGTTTTTTTTATCCGACAGCACTGCCCAAAAACCCTCTATTAAGAAGTAACTTTCCTTTCAGTTTTAAGCGCGTTCAGTTCCCAGTTACAGTGAGCGTGTGTTATGCGATGACCGTAAATAAAGCGCAAGGTCAAACTTTACACGTTGTAGGAGTGTACCTCAGTACTGACTGTTTTGCACATGGCCAACTCTATGTTGCTTTTTCCCGCGTTAGTAGCCTCCGTAACCTTTTTGTGTACACCCCGGCTAAGCCTACTTTTAACGTCGTTTACACAGAAGCTCTATCATAAACGACTTAGAACTTTGATGATAATGATTTATTTAGTTACCACTTATTGATACAGTAATGAAATAAATCGTTTAATATTCTCTTACCTAAACGACAAATTCTTTATGTAAAACCTGTATACGCGAGCTACGCCGCGGGCACAGCTAGTCTTAAATAATTTCTATGAAACAAAACAAAATCACGTCACAAACTTCACCGTACAAGTTTGACCTTTCGGGAAATCCCCCAACCAAACACAATGTCGACTTCTATGTTATGCTTAGTAAACTATTTAGTAATCTGTGGTTATGCATTGTATAGACTGCAAACTCGAATTTGCAATGTAGGTACTTTTTAGATTACTTTTATAATTATTAAAATATTCACTGTTTAGTAAAAGATTTAAAAAAAAAAACTGTTCTGGTGTCCGATTAAAATTCGCTAAGCTACTACCTATATTCATGTCTTCTCCTATCATCAATTTAACCAGCAACATTTATTTAGCTGTAATTATATAAATAAATAGATTGCCGAAAATTAAAAAAATCCAGGCTATGAGTAAGGCGATTGTACATCTCAAGAAAAACGCTTAGATGGCGGCGAAACGCGGAACTACATATTTTCTACCTAAAAAATCTGTCAATGCCACTTTTTCTGTTAAACTTGGCAATGTGTGGCTTGTCACTGCTCAGGGTTTCCAGAATGTCACTAACAACGACCTCATTTACTCTATAAATTTTTGTTTCGGGTTATATTTTCCAAAAATAGAAAAATGATTGTATTAGTGTTAGCGAATATATCGGCCTTTCGGGGGGCCCCGGGGCCCCCAGGGCACGGGCCCCGTGTGCCCTTATGGTAAAGACGGTACTGGGTAAGTGGATGCTGTAACCCATAGACATCTACATTCATTCTCGATTAAGAATTAAAGTGCAGATGCGATGTCACCCCTGAGGTCTAAGATGGAATGCCTCGTTTCCAATAGAAAGGTTTCTAGTTTTCTACACTCACTATATGAAACACAGCGGCATTAGGCTTCTACGAGGGTGACAATGAAAGTTCTTAGAAAATCAAAAACTGAACAAACTAGCAAGTTATTAGTTTTATCATATCTTTTCAAAATAGTGTCCATTTACATCAATACATCGCTGCATCCGATGTAACCACTGAGAAAAGCACTTTGCCCACTCGTCCTTAGGGGTCTCTTCGACGGCTTTTTGATACCCAGCCACTGCTTCCTCGGCGTCCATAAAACGTTTTCCTCGAAGTTTTTCCTTTATTTTCGGAAATAAATGAAAATGGCAAGGTCGGGGCTATAGAACGGGTGACCCAGTAATTCCACGTCGACTGATGTCGCGAAGTAGTCAATTGTTTGCTTGGCGGTGTACGACTAAGCGTTGTCGTGGTGAAGGAGGATCCTACTGCTAGATCGTTTTTCCCGAACTTTTTCCAAAACAAGTGGCAAACAATTGTTACTGTACCAGACGGCAGGAGCTGTTTTTCGATCCTCTAAAACAATTGTTGGGTAATGACCTGTCCTGCTGAAGAACGAGGCCACCACCTTTTTTTCCACGCTTCGACCTCTCTTCACTTTAGTTGGCAACTCCTCGAAAGGAAACGGATCATAACAATAAATCCAGCTTTCGTCACCCGTAAGTATGTCGAACACAGCATTTGAGTCACCTCCGTTAAATCTTTGAACCATTTCACGACACCAATCTACACGACGGAGTTTTTGGACCTCTGTCAAATTATGAGGTATACACCGGGCACAAAGCTTGTTCGAATCTGCTGATATGTCACTCTTTTGTCAGTCTCTATCATTCGCCGCATAACACTGATGTTGTCTTCAGTCGTCGCCGTAGAAGGCCGTCCCTCACGCAGATCATCGATGAGATTGCGACCACGTTTAAACTCACTAAACCAATCATAAACAGTGGCACGAAATGGGGCTTCATTGTGAAAGGCCAATCGAAGTCTATCATAACTTTCTTGTTGACTTAAATGACATCGAAAGTCATAAAAAATCATTGTTTGAAAATTTTCTTGCTTTAAATTCATGCTGACGTGACACAGACAATTTTCAATTTGCCGCCAAATCGTAAACAAATGACAAAAATAATAAAATAAATACACAATAATATTGGCAAACAGTTCTATTTTCAAAATTTGAACTTATTTTTTTATTATATCGTTTACAAGTGACCAGTTCTAAAAACGTTCAGTGTCGCCGTCGTATTACACGCTGGTATTCTGTGAGAGCGTGGTCCTTACCCGGTGGAGCCGATCCATTCGTGCTACAATTATAATATAGCTGCAGCATGTCTCTACCATCTATTAAAATAACTTCCTAAAAATACTTTATCATCCTGTGGAACGCATGTGCTTAATACTAAGCCTCCATTTTTCAAAACATGAGCTCTCTTCTTTGTTCTAGTAATGTCGTAGTTGAACATGGGTTTCTTCGATGGTAGGGAGATTTTGCCATAGTCATTACGCGTGGCAGGTGGACTGGCGGTCGCACTACCAAATATCTCTCATCTTTGACGCTGCTTCCCGTCGGCGGTTAGCTATGTGTGACAAACAAATACACAGTTGACTTGAGTTAATAGGTGCTTTGGCCCATAGGCTCCTTTTTATGGAATTAAGGTGGCAAACGAGCACACAGTCCACCTCATGGTAAGCTGTGGCCCATAGACATCTACATTTATCCTCAATTAAGAATCAAAATGCAGATGCGTTGTCACCCCTGAGGACTGAGATTGAATGCCTCGTTTGCAGTACAATGAGTCTCCGGTTCTCTATACTGACCATGTGAAACACAGCAGCATTAAGTTGCTATTTTACGCTGGTATTCTGTGAGAGTGTGGTCCTACCCCGTTCGAGGCGACCCATTCGTGCTGCAAACACAATATAGCTGCAGCATGGCTCTACCCCATGAGGACTAAGACAGAATGATAACGGTAACCGTACGGAAACCAGCGGCATTAAGCTGATATTTTAGACTGGTATTCTGTGAGAGTTTAGTCCTTCCACGGTCGAGCGGACCCATTCGTCCTTCAACCTTAATATAGTTATAGCATGGCTCTACTACTACTACTGACCACGTACAAATTGTCCGTGTCTGGATGTCTGCTTCTCGCCCCTTGCCATACAAAACACAGCGGCATTTCAGCTTAACGTATATTTCAGGCAACGGGTACAACATCTTGCTGGCTGGTGTATCCGATAAACGCGGGCAACTTCTCCGCCTCGCACGACCTCTCGCTGCGCAGCTGGCACGGCTGGGGCGACGACTTCTACGACGGCTTCTACCTCGCGCAGCACATCACATTGGCCCTTGTCACACTGCATTTAAGTGAGTGAAGTCCTTTTTATTATTTTATAATAATGCACAATCTACAAACTAGTGCCGTGTAGTGGTTGTGTATGAATAGTCTTCTGTCCAACACTGGGAGCGCTGGCCACGAAGAAGAATAGAAGCGCGAACAGAAAAAAAAATAACAAAATTTTTTGGAAAAAAAATTTTTGGAATGTAACATTATTTATTTCCACACAATTTGAGCTTATTAAACATACTTACCGTGTAGTGGCGGTGTTAGAATATCCACTACCACGACAAAGGGAAACAAAACAGGAGATGGGCAGCAACGTCTTTCTAATAACAACCAAAATTTAAAAAATCTGCGGTTACCAAGCATGGCAACTATGACAAATATCTCCCCTATGATGCAATTTGTGTGGGACGCCTATGTTCAGCTGTCGACTTTAAGCACCTGCAATGGTAACTGTAATATATCCTATGATTTAATTGTAACATATTATAGATCGCGGCACGTAAGTTGAACTAAAATGGCGGTCGTTTGCGCAGGTACAATTATGGACAAAAATGTTAGACACATGCTCCACGGTTGCCTGAAAAATTCAAAAATCTTAAAAAAAAAACCGTGATTTCGTCGTATTTAAATATATTTTTTAATAAGTGTGAAAATGAAGTAAAGTAATTTAGTTAACCAAAAAATGAAGTTTCATAAAAATAATTTCGATTTTCTTTCAAATAATTGTATTTCTTATTACATAATTTATTTGTAATTGTTAGGTATTATTAAATAGAATAGTTAAAGGTATACTAATAAAAATTTAATAAATCAAAAAGCTAATCTGTTTATCTACATGTTCAATCACTTTCACTCATTGGCATGAGACCTTCTATATAATTTCCTAGTGGTATACCAGAACTTGGGCCAGGAGTTGCGATTTCGTCTTCAATGTCAGTTGAGGAATCCAATTCAGAATCACTGCTGTCAGAATCTCCAACCCGTATTATAAATTCTTCCGACATTTTATCGATGACATGGTCGCTTTTGACATAAGCTTTTTCGATTGTCTTAACTTCGTCGCATAGCTTTTTCCAATCACATGGTCCCATTGCATTTACCTTTTCGTTCACTAACTCTATAACACGGGGCACATTCCATCGTACATTTTTGCTACTTACATAACCCTTTATAGCTGCCCATGCTATTTCTATAGGATTCAGATCTGGGTGGTAGGGAGGCAGGCGAAGTACGTCATCACCATGTTCTTTAAAAATCTTGTCTATACTAAATGTTTTGAAGCGATCTTTGTTATTTTTTGTTAATTGGTATAATTGAGGCTTCAACATTTCAGACGTAAATGTTGTTCCTTTTTCTGAAAGCCAAGCCTGCATATCAGCTTTCCTTGAATTCGCGTTTGGTGCTAAGTCATATTCCTTATTATGGTATGATGCATTGTCTGCAACTATAATTGAATTTGGGGGAAGATTCGGTATCAATTGAGTTCGAATCCACTTCACATAATTCTCAAAATTTATATCGTCGTGATAGACCCCGGACTTCATACCAGACTTGAACGTTAACAAGGCGTTAGGCACAAAACCAGTCTCCGATCCGGCATGTACTATCACAACACGTTGCCCTTTTGATAAGGGGTTTTTTTATTCCTTTACTTAACCCATCTGTCCAACCTTTCGGTGTGGTGTGAGTAGCGTGAACATATGACTCATCTGTGTATACAATTGGTCTGTTTTGTTGTCGATACTGTCTTAATTTTTCTAAGTAATTTATTCTTAACAATCTGATGGCTGATGTTTCTATTAATACTTTCCTATTATTCTCGGTGGCTTTCCATTTAAATCCAAGTTTCTTAATAATGCGACGAAGACTTTTTTCAGAACATTCAAATTTTATATCGGCACGTAATTTTGTACGAAGTTTACCAAGGCTAAAAGTATGAAAGCAGGTAAGGCAGCCGGTTATGATAGAGTATCTCTCGAAATGCTAAGGGCTGGAGAAGGAGTGGTGGCAGACCTGCTGTACACCTTGTTTAATTTATGTTGGGAACTTAAGCGGGTACCGGGAGACTGATGCAAAGCCGTGATAGTCCCAATATATAAGGGAAAAGGATCACAGCAGGACTGTAAAAACTACCGTGGTATCAGCCTTCTTAGCATTGTAGGAAAACTGTATGCTAAGGTACTAATTGAAAGAGTTATGAAAGAAACTGACGGAAAAATTTGGGATGTGCAAGCGGGATTTAGAAAGGGAATGGGATGTACGGATCAGGTCTTTTCCATGCGCATGATCGCCGAGAAGTGTTTGGCCAAAAACCAAAAAGTTTTTTGTGCGTTCATGGACTTGGAGAAGGCTTATGACAGAGTGGACAGGGATGTGTTATGGCAAACACTGAACTCATTTGGGTTGAGCGCTGGTCTGATACAGGCATTGAAGTCTCTATATAGGGACTCTAGTGCTTGTGTCAGGATCAACGGGGCCTACTCGGACTGGTTTGACATCCATAAAGGCGTTAGACAGGGCTGTGTGGCTTCCCCGTTGTTGTTCAACCTATTTATGGACAGTTGTTTGGAAAATTTGAAAGTAGAAGAATGCGGGTTAAGAATGGGTGAGTTAACCGTCAAATGGCTTTTGTACGCCGATGATCAAGTCATACTTGCGTCGTCGGCAGTCGAGTTGCAAATGATGGTTACATTAATGAACAGGACATTAAAAGAAAAGGGAATGAAAGTGAACGCAAGTAAGACGAAAGTTATGGTTTTTGAAAGAGAAGAAAGTAAAACGATATGTGAAATAAGAATAGAAGGGGAGTTGGTAGAGCAAGTAGATGAGTTTGTATATTTGGGATGTGTGTTTAGCAGGGAAGGTAGATATGATAAGGATATAGAACGATGAGTGAATGCAGGAAATAGAGTGAATGGGGCTCTACACTCTATTGTGAAATGTCAGAATGTGTCCAAAAAGGCACGTATGGCAATTCACAATTCTGTGTTAGTACCTACTTTAATGTATGGTAGCGAAAGTTGGGTGTTGCAGAAGAAGCATGAGAGTAGAATAAATGCTGTAGAAATGCGGTCATTAAGGAGTATGTTAGGGATGAAGCTGAATGACAGAGTGAGAAATTGTTTAATAAGAGAAGAGTGTGGTTTGCAAGATGATGTTGTGACCAGGATTAAGAAAGGAATGCTTCGGTGGTTTGGCCATGTAGAAAGAATGAATGAGGAAAGAGTGACAAAGCAAATTTATGTTGCAGAGGTCAACGGCATAGTCGGGAAGGGTCGCCCTAGGCGAAAGTTTATCGACCAAATTGGCGATATATTAAAAATGGGCCAAATCAAGAGTACCTTTAACCGACGAGCATGTATGCGTAGGTGTATGGATGTGGAGGAAGCGAGAGAGGTGTGTCAGGATCGTGCCAAATGGAAGTCCATAATCTCTGCCTACCCCTCTGGGTGACAGGCGTGAGTGTTTATGTATGTATGTATTTACCAAGGGCCGGTAATTCGTTTTCAGTTAAATGAAAATTGTGAATACATCGTTTTATTACCCCCTTATCAAAATTGTCTATGCCTGTGACTGGCTTTATTCCTTGCCTCTTTTTACCAGGGGTCCTAAAAGTAACTATAAACTCTGAACTTTTACTTTCTTTAACAATCCTTTCAACTGTGGTTACAGACTTTTTCGTAGCTTCCGCAGTTTTATTCAGGGAATCAGTTATATTATTTTCTTTTAAAAAATAATTATAAACATCAAATATCATTCTTCTCCCCTGTCTCCTTAAAGTTGGTTGTGGTCGAGTCATTTTTTTTAAATTAAATTCAAAGAGTTGAAAACTTCGTACGCGATTGTACTCCAGGGCCACGCGGTGAGTGCGCGGGTAGCGAGGGACAGAGTGCGACTGAGTGGAGCTGGAGTCTAGCGCCGCCACGTTGCTATGGTTACGCGCGGCCCCTCGCGGCGCACCTCATACCGCACTTCGATTGAGACCCGAACATGTTGTGTTACTGCGCATACAAGGTCATAGTTCAACTTACGTGCCGCGATTTATACCTACTTTGAAAAAAAATTGTCCCGGTGGATTTTTTTTAGGTTCTTCCCGGGACAAAGATTTGTTACGTGCCAAGGAAAAAATAACCTTCATTAAGTATTTATTTATAATCAATATTAACAAATATTCTATTCTATTCTTAAACAAGGCCATTCCATCGTAATCGTCTTAGGTTTATAGTTAACGTCAAAACTTTGTATATATTAGGTATTTATTAGGGTTCCGTACTTCAAAAGGAAACAACGGAACCTTATAGGATCACTTTGTTGTCCGTCTGTCTGTCTGTCAAGACCCTTTTTCTCAGGAACGCGTGGAGGTATCAAGCTGAAATTCATATCAAATAGTCAAGTCTACTGTCGCTTGAAGCTATGAAAAAATCAAAATTCTAAGCCAACGCAATCAAAAGATACAGTCGTTTATGCCGCATCTTCGACACTCGCAAGGGAATCAATACCTACAGGGTACTTCCCGTGAACTCAGAATCTTAAAATTTGGTACGAAGCAAATAAAGGGAAATTGCGAAAAGCATATATTTTTAGTTATATCATATAATAAACATATTTTTATTAATTTTAAACATATATACCTACGGATTTGTTCTGAACCCTCGGTGAGCGAGTCCGACTCGCACTTGACCGGTTTTTTTTAATGTAAAAGTGAATAAGTATAAACTGTTACGTGCGTATAATAAATAAATTTTAAAAAAGTACTCAGGGGTGATAACGTATCTGCAATTCGATCGAGAATAGATGGAGATATTTCTGGGCCACGTTACCACTTGACCGTGTTAGTCGCTCTTACTTCTATAAAATTCTACGATTTACCACGTGCTCAGCGGTAAAGGAAAAACATCGTGAGGAAACCTGCATGTCTAAGAAAAAAAAATATTTCGAAGACATGTAATGTTCTCCACCACGCATTGGGGCGCACGGCGCACACTTACTTACCCTAAAACCCTAGCAAAAATGAGATGAGGCCTGTGCCTAGCAGTGGGTCGTAACACTACAAGTACAACTTCTATAAAAAAATATAACTTTGTTATTTTTATAAGTGACAAACGGGCACAAACTTCGTGTTAAGTGAATGCTGTATCCTATAGACACCTAAAAATATTTTCGATAAAGATACAAAATGCTGATGCGTTGTCTCCTGAGGACTAAAGTGGAACACAACAGCATTAAGCTACTATTTAACGCTTATATTCTGTGCGAGCGTGGTCCTTACCCGGTTGAGCTGGATCAGTGCAGGGCTCTACTACAAATAAACAATGGCGGGAACGGAGGCCATAGAGTTAAATGATACAATCGGGAGTGCACTAGTCAAAAAAGAGTGAAAGTCTTGTTTTTACACTATCTTAACAACGGCCCCGCCGCACCGTATACCTCAATGGCGTAGCCGTAAATGTTGTTAATACTTTTAAATACCTCTGTCATAGGTAACGAGCGATTTAAGCAATAATTGCGTTATAGAGAGGGAGCATAGGGCGCTGACGGTACAGAGCTATATGTTCAAGCTCTTTTTAAAGAATCCTGCCAAATTTTTTACCTCGAGCGTCCTGTAGGATATATACAAGCGATGAGCTTACAGAGCCCTTTGCATATTATTATATTAACAATTATAACGTTGTTATATTACAACGCTTTTAGGCCGCTGTTGGGACTGGCATACAGTGCATCGAAAATGTTCGTGGATGCTCAGATTAATGGATTTCACGTTGTTAAATAGTTCAAGTTATAAAATATATAAGCAAAAGAAATCAGCCGGAAAGTTATAGTTTCTGCTAAACAAAAACAACAGCGATCTGAAAATGATTACAGCGAAACTAGATTGTCAAATATCAATTTCATGGCTTCTGGATAGAGCAAAAGGCTTGAAACAATAATGAAACCCAAATTATGTATAAATACTGATAAGGCAATATTCTCGTACCGGCGGATGAAGTGTCCCCCCATAAGATGGACTGACGACCTGGTAATACATGCAGGAAGTCGATGGACGCAGGTGGCTCAGGACCGTGCTTTGTGGAATTACCTTCACCATTAATAATACATACAATACCAATTTCCATGGTGATCGATCAAATAGATTTTGAGTTAAACGATTTCATATAAACAAACATCCTCTTATGTGTGTGTGTGTGTGTGTGTGTGCGTGTGTGTGTGTGTGTGTATATATATATATATATATATACATAAGGGGATGTTTTTTTAGGACAACGTCTGCCGAGTTCAGCTATTATCTATATAATTAAAAATCAATTGCCGCATGTATGAAAGATCATCACTTGAGAACGGCTCGACCAGTTATGATGAAAATATTTGTGCGTGTTTGAGCAAGTCCCTGGATGGTTTCGATTCAATTTAATCCGGTAGTGGGTAATCACCCGTGCGAAGCCGGGCGGTTTGCTAATATAGAATATAATATTCCACTATCGTTGCTTCTTTGCAGTTGTGATTTCGTTGTCGTTTGTGCAGCGACATTCCTCTATCTGGCAGGACAGGTTCTGGACGAACAAGGTGTGGCTGGCTACTGTCGCCGTTCTGTAAGTCTCTTAGCAAGTTTACTAACATTTGTACCAAAACATAAGGAAGTAATTATGTCAACTGAATATATACTTTATTTGATTAGAGAAAGTGTATTTTTTTTAATCGAAAAATGTAAGATAATTTAAAATTAAAAATTTTGTAGAACCGACTTCAATATAAATTATTAAGAATAACTCAAAAACTATTGGCCAGACCTTGATCAAATTTATATGGGACCACGTGTGGAGCACCAGCTTTCAAATAAAAAAAAGAATCATCGAAATCGGTTCACGTAGTAAAAAGTTATACGGTAACACACATAAAAAAACATACAGTCGAATTCGTATATCGAAAGTACCGGCTCATTTTTGAAGTCGGTAGAAAAAACTAGAAAATAACATCAGTATTTTAAGCTTTCAATTTCGAATAAACAATTTTTGAAGCAAGTAAGACTGTCAAATGGGCACACAAAAACGTGTTCCCGGTGCTCACCACTTACCGTACAGAACATAACAGCGTTAAGCTACTATTAAGCGACGGTACTCTGTGAGGATTGTTTTGTTGAGATTGGTGGCAATGGGCCGGACATATAACTCGAAGAACCGACAACCGATGGGGAAGCAAGGTTCTCGAATGGCAGCCTCGTAGGCGAAGTGTGGGACGGTCTCCCACTACATGGAGTGACTATCTGGTAAGACATGCAGGAAGTCGATGGATGCAGGTGGCTCAGGACCGTGCTTTGTGACATTCTTTGGGGGAGGCCTATATTCAGTAGTGGACTTGTGAAGGGCTGTAATGAAATGATGATGATGAGCCGACAATTCGTACTACATTCATAATCTTATTGCAGCGTAGCTTTTCAGATTGAATTTCAGTTACGGCGGCCATTCTCAATGGAGACTAGCCATATACGCAGGGCAGGTATAGTGCACCGGTGTGCAAACACAGCCTCTTGGCTTACCTCTTAACTCTTAACTTAACGATTGCAGAAAATGAACCTTGTGACACTCGCCGTACTTGGTACGGAGTTGTTCACATATATGCTATACAAGTTACTACATTACAGAGTCAGTAATTCCTAAATTCCTTCACAGGGCAATTTAAACGCTTTTACAACAAGTCCTAGAAAATATGCAGGCCTTATCCATCAAAAAGTTTAAAATATTTATTTAGCATAAATTGTTTAATAAGGATCATTATATACTAAACAGTACATGTTTGATAATAACTCCTGGAAATGAAGTTATCGCTACCATGCTGTTTCTGTTTTAATTATGATTAACTGTATTATTGTATAAATTATTTTTAATAAAAAGTCCCGCTGGCTTTATTGTTGGTTCTTCCCAAGACAGTTAGCCTTGAATCCAGTTTACATACATAAATTTCACAAGGACAAACATCCAGACCCGGAACAATTACTTGTAAGCCGTACAAATACTTGTTCCGTACGGGATTCGAAACCGCGGGCCTCAGCGCCTTAATTCATTGCAAAGCGACTGCGCCACGGAACCGTCAGTGATGTTTGCATGTTTCAGGATAGTGTTGCAGGGCAGCGTCAGCGGTATACTGGTGCGCTCCTCGTATAGTTCGTGCGCCCGTTGGGATGTTTGTTCGCTTCGCTTCGAAGTCGGCTGGCCTCTCTTGTGCACGTACATTTTGTCCCTGCTCATGGTTTTCGGGATCAACGAGCTCATCAAGTGGCAGGAGATCAAGTGAGTGCATTTTAAATATTTTTTAAAAACGTAATTTTTTTAAGTTGTACCGTGTAGTGGCGGTGTAAGAATATCCACTACCCCATATCCTCTCGTGGGTGTCGTAAGAGGCGACAGAGAGAAACTGAACCGGAGGATGGGCAGCAACATCTTATGGGCATCATCATCTAACAACAATTAAGTATTTATCAACTGCAGTTGCCAAACCGATTGCCAAGCGTGTCAACTGTCAAATATCCCCCCAATGAGGCAATCTATCTAAAAGTCTATGTTCAACTGTTGACTTCATAGGTGGTACTGGTTAAGTTTCTAGGTAGATGAATATGCTTTTCTGACGAGGTCTGTCCGTGTAGGCACCACTCTATTTGTTATTTTCTTAAAAAACGTTACCCCCACACTAGGATTTTCTCCTGTATCAGTTTACAAACATAAATTGCACAAGGACAAACATCCAGACCCGGAACGATTATTTGTTGGTCATACAAATACTTGTTCCGTGCGGGACTCGAACCCGCGGCCGAAGCCGTCGTGTGCTGCCAAGCAGCAGAGCTTGCACTGCTGACTTCTGTATGAAGCTAATAGAGAGCCAGTATAACTACAGGCCATGAAACATCCTAGTTCTCAAAGCTGTCATCACATTCTTTCTTTGCTTAAAGTTGGTTCCAGATGGCTGGTGGACTGTATAATACTGCCTAGATCTATTTTTTCTTCATCAGTTACCCATAAATGTTCACAGCTGATCATAGACCTCATTTGCCTTAATCACACTTGGCAGACAGATTGCTGGTCGCAGTTCCAGACCATTTATGTTGCCGCCTGTTCCTGGTCTGGGCATTTTACGTTAAGTTTTACGTCGCCTCTTACGAAACCCACGGGACGATTGGGGTGATGATCTGACGCCGCCCTCACACGGCACTCAGTACAGAACAGAAATCGCTTGGTGTCAATTTAAACAGTCAAAGTTGAAATCAGTCCACCTTTTTTTCTGCCGACTTCCAAAAAGGAGCCGGTACTCAATTCGACTGTATGTTTTTTTTTTTTTTCGTTTTTTTTTTTTTTTTATGTGTGTTACCTCAGAACTTTTTTCTGGGTGAACCGATTTCGATGATTCTTTTTTTATTTGAAAGCTGGTACTTCTCGTGTGGTCCCATATGAATTTGATCAAGGTCAGACCAATAGTTTTTAAGTTATTCTTAAATAACTTATATTGAAGTCGGCTGTACAAAATTTTTAATTTTAAATTATTTTTGGTCAGTGGCTACTGCAGCTAATAGGCAACAAACAAAGAAAGCCACAGTTGCGTTGACACGCGGCCACGATTGACAACCACAGAATGGGGCATGATTGTCACAATCATTGCGCGGCTGCCCACGCAATCTTGCATCCTACATATTTGTATTATCATCTGTCCGAGATGGACTTTGAAACAGTAGCAGCTGCCGCTATTTATTTCATTAGTTTATAATATAACTATTATTTAAATGTACACCATAAAAGAGTGGTGAAAAAAAAGGAAGTTGTTCTATTTAGGACTGATTGCAAAACAAATTTCAGCAACTTCGTATAATTGTTTTACCAATACCGAGCTCTACGTACCTTTATATTTTTAGTTCCCATGACACAAAGTGTCGCCATCTAGTGTCGAATATATTTAATTATATTTGAAAGCTGACACATTTTTCTAGAACTATTGTAATAAATTAGGCATAAAATTACTTACAAATGAAATGTGATGCCATCCATAGCATCAGAGCGTCTGTCTGAGTAGCTTTTACACGATAAAACACAAAACTTCATCCTTTTCTTCTTAATACTACGTAAATACACCGATTAGCAATTTTCGACACATAAGCGCACAGGACGAACGCTGACAGTATACTAACTAAAGCCACAGCCACTGAGATGACGTCAGGATCTAGTTAGAATCACAGTTGCTTACGCCGTTTCCTCTTTGTATTTGCTCCGTGGTTGTTACCCTTGAAGACTACGATGGAATGCCTTGTTTCCAGTAAAAAAGGTCTCCGGTTCTATACTTCCCATATCGCAGCAGCATAAAACTGCTATTTTACGCTTGTATTCTTTGAGAGCGTGGTACTTCCCCGGCCGCGCCGACCTATACGTGCTACAACCACAATATAGTTGCAGCCTGGCTCTACCACATCTAAAATCTACCCATAACCCCAAATGCAAAAGCAAATATGTATTAGTGTGTTAAAAAGGGTATTTTTTGTTTCCTATTTAACAGAGCTGATGTCCGCAATCAGCGGCGAGCGAGACTAGACTTCGGCACAAAACTTGGAATGAACTCGCCGTTTTAACGGACAAATCTAGTCAATTATATTAGTTACAATTAACGGTACTTCATATTGTAATGACATTGTTGAGTGATATAAAATTAATTTTAAGTGTAAATGGAGCATTGTACTTGATATGTACCTAGCCAATATTTTGTACTTAATTTATTTTGTGCAGTTTTTGATAATAGCAAGATTTACAATAAATGCCAATGAAACCAGATATAGCTTTTTATTATACCCGCGCAAAAAGTAATATATCGACCTATTTATTGGTATGAGCAGTAACAGTAACTAGATACGTAAAAACCAAATTTGCTTGACGTCAGTTCTTATCACAATCTGCTCATCTCTACAATAGACTGGACAAAGATTTAGATATATATCAGTTCAACACATACAAATGTAAACACATAGTTACAAAATATATTTAACCTCGTAAGGCCCATGGGGTCGTCCAAGGTACTAATTAATATATCCATTCAAGCCCAGCTCCAAAAAAATATAGATACTCGTAGCTACCCAAGGTGTCGTGTAGGGGACTTATTCAATTATGCGTCATAGTGATTTCTAATTTGGCGCCTTTGACAAGTGACTACTAAAAATTTCTGAACGAAAACTATGGCTGTCAACTAGTGATCGGAGATTGGCTGATTTTTTTTGTTTTCTATTGACACATTGTCTTTGAACTGGCACAATGGCAGCTCCATGAGGTCGAGGTTAGTTAAATCCACTTATATTAATGTAATCCTCTGTATTTCAGAAGAATTTTGGATTAAAACTGAGAAAACATTTATTACTAGTCTTTGCAAGTTATTTATTTGATATTTAAAGCAGTATTTGTAGTTAATCTGACTGTCCGAAAAAAATAGTCCCGCTAGTGCCACTCCGGGCCTCAAGTAGTATGGTCTATTTTAGCTGCATGTTTTTATGATCAGTATGTATTTATTAATTTGACTGAGTCAGAGCTGTATGTATACATTGGCATCTCGTTAGCTATGGGTGCTATTGGATTACCAAGACTGCGTATGTACTGGGAAAAAAAGTACAGAGATAGTAGCAAGCAGTATGTCCCGGAACCGTTTTTTTCTGTTAAGAAATTCGATCAAGTTTATTTTCGATGACGATATTGGACGTGAACAACGTGACAAAGATAAAGTTTGGAAAATACGACCACTGTTAGATACTATTCTAAAAACATGCAAATTACAACAAAAAGACCAAAATATGTGCATTGATGAGATCATTCCTTTTACAGGACAATGTGGCATAAAACAATTCGTACCAGGAAAGCCAAATCCTACTGGTCTGTTTTGGCAAATGCCAATGGATTAGTATGCAATTTTGATGTATATCAAGGAGTAAGAACATATCCTCGATATGATAATACTACCCTTGGTTTAGGGGAGAAAGCCGTGTTGAATTTAGTTGACGATTTTTTGTCTGCTGGTCACAAACTTTACTTCGACCGTTACTTTATGACCCCGAGGCTTGCACGAGAGCTGAAAGAAAGAGATATTCTATGTACCGGAACGATAATGAAAAATAGGATCCCAATTGCAGCTAGAGAGACGATTAAAGAAGATCGTGAAATGAAAAGAGAAGGTCGCGGTTCATGTCAAGTATTGGTGAACACTTCAGAAAATATGGCCATAACAAAATGGTACGATAATAAAGGAGTTACTATGTTATCAACGATGTACGCTAAAGACCCAACAGATACATGTGCCAGATGGCAAAAATCAGAGCGACGATATATTCAAATAGAAAGACCCAAGGTTGTTCAAGCCTATAACCACAACATGGGTGGTGTAGACCTTGCAGACCGAATGCTCTCGATGTGTCCATACCGTTATCGTACCAAAAAGTGCACACAACGGGTGTTTTCACATTTAATTGACCTGGCTGCTTCTAATGCTTGGATTCTATATAAAAAAGATAAACTCGCAGAGGCCATTCCTGTTAAAAAAATACAGCATCTTCGTGACTTCAAGCTGGAATTAGGAGAAAATTGGATTGAGAAATACACAGAAACGTCAGGATCTGAAACTCAAACAGAGACAAAGTCAGAAACAGATAAAGATGAAAAACCAAAAAAAAGAGAGGAAGACCTGCAACTGTGGACCTCCCTCCACCTGAAAAAAGGACCAGAAGAGCCCGACATATGCCGCAAATGATGGATACTCGAAACAAATGTAGACACTGCCATATAATGAAGACCACCGTAAAATGCACGAAGTGTAACATCTATTTATGTTTACGAAAAGAAAGAAATTGTTTCAAAGATTTCCACTCCTAATTTCTTTTTTAATTTTATACTTCTAAGATAAATTACATTTCATTTATAAAGACTTACTATTAATAAAGACTGATTATAATGTACCTTGTTTTGATTATTGTTTAAGTAAGCCTTAAATTTTTTGTTTAGATATTCTTTTATTAGATGTTGCTTAAGAACTTTCTATACTATACTATTATTAATGCCAATATGTCCTATTGTTTATTTAAGAGATAAAGAGATTGAAGTTTAAGTTGATATGAAGAGAGTTTAAAGATTTTTTGAATTAATGTTTTTAGGCTGATAGTTGATTGACTGCCTAGTGTTCAATTTTTTCCTAAAAAACTTTAAATAACTAAAATGAAAGATTTCTAATTCTTGTTTACTTTCAAAAGTTGAAGATACTTTTTAAAGTACATTACGTTTCACTTAAAAATAACATTTATTGTTTTATTTTGTTTAAGTAAAATCTTTATAAATAAAAAATATGCAAAAACATGCTTATTTCACTTATGCAAATTCTGGTACACGAAAAAAAATCCACACTACATTGCGACCCATGGTACCTTAGGTGGGACTTATTCAATTGAAACCAAACACATGTGCAGGGCTTCTAAATATCATAAATTATACACCCTTAAACATATATTGCTATAAAACTATCGTACTGTAAAAAAATTACAAATTTAGTGCTGGGCCTGAACCACTATAAAAAAAAAGTACCATAAAGGGGACCGTGGGCTGAAATGAGAAGCAGTTAATTTTCGCGCTGGGCCTTACGAGGATATACTAAAACATACGACATAGAATATTTATTGCAATATACTATTTAATTTATTTTTTATTTCTTATGTTGATATGTTGAGAAACCGGTATTGGTGAACGAGAACTGTGACATTTTATCACACACACACACACACACACGCGCGCCACGCACGCACGCACTCACTCACTCAATCACTCACGCACGCACGCACGCACGCACGCACGCACGCACACACACACACACACACACACACACACACACACACACACACACACACCGCGCGCGCGCGCGCGCGCGCAGGCTCGCACACATGCTTCTGTTAAAATTCAAAATTAATCCATTTCAGGTAATATGTAAATTTTATTAAAAATTGATTGTTGTTTTGCCTTATATTTCTTGCCTTATATTAAAATTAATTAATTGTTGTTTTGCCTTATATTTCACTCTAAACTGATGTTAATATCCCACCTGGTACAAGTATTATTATTACATAATAATTAAGTTGGTCCCAACCTCTGTTTACAATTATCAACCACTGTGTTGTGAAATAAAGATATTTTTGATTTTTTTTTTGATGAGGGAAAAGCTATAGGAAGTATACGCGTCGCATATCAATCGCTGCGTGCTATTGGTTCACTGGAAGAGAAGCATTTCATTCGCTCTCAAACTACGTTCGCCCACATTTTCAATTTATTTGCAAAATAGTTTTAAGTAAATAATTTAAATGTATATTTATTTTGTTAGGAAAACATAGAAATAAAAAAATTGTTAGTAAGCTAATTTTAAATGCTGATTTACCACAGTGCTGAAGGTAAACATTGTGAGGAACCAGCATTTCTGAGAAGTTACAAATATTTTAAAACTTTAGTGGTAGTAGAGTTATGATGGTGCCCAGCAGTAAGATGTATATTTACGCACACCAAATACTTCAAATAAAGCATTGCATTAATTAAAATACACAAAAAAAAATCACAGTAAATTATACTCATCACACAAGTAATGTGTGTATGTGCGTGTGTATTGCGTCGCGCTTGTGTGTGTGCGTGCGTACAATCATTGTTTTGACCTTACCAAAAAATAATAAAAAGTGACTCTAAATAGGGTGGTGTGTTTGGTACGACGCCTAGGAACATTAAATGAGATATGTTCAATCAATTCAATACAATCCAGCTGGCGACGCAGTATATTAAAGAAGAAGCTCATATCTAGCACTACTATCCGTTCTTCCAAGGCAAGCAGATGGCAGGTACGACAATTGATCAAGTAAGTGGAGGCTGCGTGACAAGTTCCTTGCAATATTTAATTGCGTAAGAATTTTGTTTTAAATTAGTCAATGCAAATTTTTGCTTGTAGCAGATATGTGACCTAAAACGACTTGCATATACAAAAATATTGCGTATATAAGCATATTTTTAAGCTAACAGGGAATTTAAACTGTTTGCACATACAAATAATTAAGCCAAGACTTCGCAAAGCTCTACCAGTAATTATATTGACGGGATCGGATATAAGCATTTTTCTTGTCAGGTATACTCCTAAATTACATATAAGATTGAACACTATTATATATATAATATGTAGTATTCAAAAATAAAGTTTCCTATTTCTAGCAAAATTGATGTACTGACATTTCCCCATACTAATGGTAATTCTATTACGCTCGTAATAAGAATAAAAAACACATAACACTCTCTACAACTATTCACAATGTGAAACAGATCTTTCATATATAAAGACTTTTTATCACTTGTGTATGAGGTGTTTAACGTTTTTAAGCATTCATCAATATCAAAAATATAAGCATTGTAAAGCAGAAGACCTACATGGGATCCTTGAGGAACTACAGATGTTTATTCAACCCATCTTAGCAGGTCCACATAATATCAAATTATCACATATTATATGTATATGTGTGAATGTAACTAGTGCTAGTTATTTATATTTCTATCTAAAAATTGAACTTGGCCAGCACATAATAAAACTATTGGAACTAAGTACTTTGTGTTACCTAATTATTAAAATTAGATACAAATAAAATAACTAATGTCTAAACAAATAGTTTATTTCGACTAAATTTGTGATGTATAATAATATAACATAATATTGCCAAGTCAGTGACACAGACACAACAGTCACTATTACAATATTTAGGCCATTTTAATACAAGTCCTCAATTTGAGACTAACATTTTTTTGTAATTATGATTAATATCCATTAACAACCATCTTCACCAGGTTACAATGATCAACATCGAAAAACAAGTCCAAAAAGTTTAACTTTAATGCAACAAGTTAAAAAAGTTATTACCTTTGTCTTGCTGTTTCTTACAGAAAAATAATTTACACTATGGCTCTATTGTGACAGCCAACTAGTGACATAAAAAGTGAAAATTTCACTTTTAGTTTTCTTTCAGGTTTTAAGATGTAGATTTAAACGGGTCATTAAAAAAATAGCAGCTTCTGTTTCAATGTGGCATCAATGAAATTTTTCAGCTCGAACACCACAAAAATCCTTAATAACTTTATAAATTAATGTGTTAATGCGTTCAATTATGTTCTCTCAATTATTAATCTAAATTATTGTTAGTTACTAAACACTTGTACTTATAGGTTAATTGAATGTTTCTTGCTAACACTCTTCACCAGGGCTGGGTAAATCAAGAATTTCCTGAACAAAGGAAGCTACATCTGTTTCCTTTTTACTATGTTCTAGACAAAATGGGTGTGATAACAGAGCATCATAATTAGGTCTTTGTTTATAGTCCTTTTTAAGACATTTTGTAACCAAATCCTCAAACTCCGATGTAAATACTCCACTTGGTAGCTTTGGAGGATCATCTTTAACAACTTGTTTCAATTGCTCAAATGGAGTACACCAAGTGTTGTAAGGAAATTTACCAGTAGCTAGTTCAATCATAGATATACCAAGTGACCAAACATCACTACGTATATCATATTGTCCTGGATTGCCACTTGGATCAATCCTTTCTGGTGCCATGTAAGGCTTACACCCTGCATCTATTGTTTTTGCTACAGAATCTACGAGGTAGCCGGAAATTCCAAAGTCACACATCTTTACTTCTCCTTTTCTGTTGATTAATATGTTTGAGGGTTTTACATCTCTATGTATAACCCTAAGTTCTGAATAAAGATAATGCAAAGCACTCACAACAGAAAATGCAATTTTACCAAGAATATTTTCTGGTAATGTTCTTTTGTTTGCATAAGCTTTTGCATAAAATTTGTCAAGGCTCATATCCATGACCTCCATGCAGATCCAAACATCTCCCTCTCGAAACATTGCACCATAAAAGTGCACTGTGTAAGGACAAGCACTAGCTCTCATGGAGACATCAAGATCCATCAATAAGCGTTTGAGCTCAGGTGACTGTGTATTAAATGTTGCTGTTATTCTCTGAAAATGAAATAGTAATAATTAATAGAATAGGAAAAAGTATTTGATATAATGATTTCTTATATTTACATCAATACTACACATTGGATAAAACTATTTTTACAGATTTTATCACATTTAATTTTCTCATTTTTAATTCCCGACATTTCACAGGGGGGACTGAGATGTTTGACGTCCCGATTTTGTAGTTAACATAGCTACCTTCAGTTTTTTTAATATTTTTGTTGGTCCGATCTACAGATATCGAGCATACAGTATCTTCAACTTTTGCAGTGGTATGCAAGCAACCCAAGGGTTTGGTTTAACTATGTTAATTATAGGATTCCAAGCAGATGGCAGCACCCAAACTCATCATCAATCATCTCTATTGAAATTAGGATGTTTTTTAATTTCTCAATAACCTCGTGTATTACCCTTGACAGGAATTAGTGTTCTTTTGCAAGGGTTTGTGGTCTATCAAATCTGATATAATGGCAGGGATGATTTTGAACATGTTCACAGACTGCAGACTTCCCAGAGAGTCAGTGCTTCACATCAGCTATATGTTCTTTCACATGGGTATTTTTGTAAATATAAAAAAGTGTCACCAGACCCCTGAAAATAGGGATATCAAGTGCAAATCGAGACACCTGGCCATACTAATTATAGCTTACTTTACACCTATTATTGTCTGTATATGTTGAAAAGAAAACAATGAAAGTAAATATGTATGTAAGTATTTAAATTAAATAATATGTTATTTTTACTTACTGCTTAACTTTAACAAGCAAGTCTTTTAAACTAAGACCTTTTTTAGAAAAATATTGAAAGTGCAAGTATTGGCAATATTGCTTATAACCTAAAGTAAATTTAAAAATACACACGAACCTTGACTGCCATTATGGTGTTGCTAGGTTTATGGTGCATCTTCTCCACAATGCCATAAGCCCCACGCCCTAGGTCACATATCTTTACTAAGTCATCTGCATGTACAGTAAATGTTTTATCATCTACAGTGATAGTTGTTTGTTTGTCAAGATTCCTTGGTGGTGTGCTGCAAAATTATTATTTTTTTAACAAAATATATAGTGAATATGCCATACAGTACTTCGGTAAGCAAAAAAACCAAAATCAACTTAAAATATTGGTACTTTTTTTAAAGGATAAGGGTGACAAACAAGCACACAGTTGTCTCGTTGGTATATAGATGCTGTGGTCCAGACATCTATGCTTGATTAAGAATCAATATCATATTAATGTTGATGATGTTTTGTCACTAAGGACTAAGATGAATGCCTTGTTTCCAGCACATGGATTTTCAGTTCTCTACTCTCACCATGCAAAAATAAAGCAGCTTAATTAGCTATTTTATGCCGAGTGCGTGGTCCTTTCCCGTTCGAGCCGACCAGCAATAGCATATAGTACAACAATAGCATAGCTCTAACCCACAAATTCAATCTAGTAGTTTCCAAAATATATTAAAAATAAATTTACGACGATTATTTAAATTTTGCGTACTGATATAAAAATACTTATTCCAAAAAGGCACAGAAGAACGAAAATTTAAGCGCTAGGTAGCCAACGAAACAGCAAAGATCTAATACATACACATCAACTTGTTCTTCAGGTGGCTTAAAACTAAAGCCTGGTGGTGGTGGTTTTCTTCTTCCAGACATTATCTATGCAGTTGTTAGTCAGATATTCTAGTTCTAGATAAATAATAGATACAAAATCACTTAATGTGAAAAATTTTCAACAATCTTGACAAAACGATAGTCCTAACAAGTTGTTTCAAAATCAACTAATTACGTTGAAAACACCACATCATAATAAAATATAACAAGTGTATTTACAAATTTTAATTTATACGTATGAATTACCGTATTTGTAACCTTTAACAATTAATATTACAATTTACAAATAAAAACTCTTTAGGCAGCTCGTTGCTTAAAGAAAATTGACATTTTATGCCGGTGTTACCTTATTAATATTACATAAGAATTACCATAGAGAAAGTAAATATTTTAAACTGCTGCGACAGGTTAGTATTGCCAGATACGGAGAATCAAAATCATCAAACAATGTACTCATTAAATATAGTAATAAAATTATCTCCGTTTATACTAGACTAGTATACAGTAATCTGTGGTTTATACTGCAATTCATCGAAAATATAGCTTTGTAGTTTGTGGTCTGTGAAGTAGCTTAACTGATGGCATATTTACGGGCATATATTTATTTAATTACACTTATACAAAAATTATTTATCATTTTGTTACAGGCGTTTCTAAGCGATTTTTACACAAACACGTCAAATAAGAGCAACACGCTAAAGAATAAAATTCTAAAATTTCTACCCCTGGCAAAAAAGGCAATTTCTTATATTTACGCGAACACTACACATTGAATAAAACTACTTTTACGGATTTTATCGCGTTTAATTAACATATTTTGCTTATTTTTTTAATTACTGACGTTTCGGGTGCTTTCCAGCACCCATGGTCACGGGCACTGACTTAGAAGTATAGGTATATATCTCTATGGTCACGGGGGACTGAGTTAATCCCGAGTACCTTCAGCTTTTTTAATTATTAATTTTGGTCCGATCTACGCAGAATGAACTTACTGTATCTTGAAGTCTTGCAGTGGTTTTGTTTAGGCCCAAAAATAGTCATTTGAGACGGCATCCAATCGCCTTCGACTTAGCGAATCGCCCGATAGTGTAGGCGTCACGCGCGTCGCGGAGAAGGGGCATCGGTATGTAGCTTCCCGTCGTTTGGCGCTCGTGGGCGAAAACAGTAGCTTGAGTACAGCGACGCCGTCGCAACGTAACGTATTTGTGGTGACCGTGGCAGCGATTTCGTGCGACCAGTTTTGGTTTTATGGTCTAGATTTTCAGTATTTGAGCGCGTTATTTCGCTACTTAATCGTGTTTCGTGAAGACCGTCTTGGATCAGGTTGTCTAAGTATTGCAGTGGGTCTACTTGGGTCGCGTGATCACTGCCTTAGAAGGTCGCGTTCGGTTCTCGAAATAATTTGTTACTGAGTGAACGGAAGTGAACTTTGATCAATCGTTCATTAGTCGTGCCGCGTGTTACGTTTTTGATTATAATTAACGGGATTTAGAGTTTTGAAGTTAGTTAAATGTACAATAAAGTTGCTAGACTGACATAGCGAATTGAAGAGAGAATCATTGTGAGGAACTACCGGTCGTAAAGGACGCGTGTGGAATTATAACGTCGATTTAAGTACCTCTCATTTATGCGTTGTTTTTTTTGTCTATTTTACGTGTCAACTAGGTTAACTTTTGAGTTTTGAGCGATTAACTAACGTCGTTACCATTAATTAACGTTAAGTTGTATAGTGGTTGCATGCATAAGTGCATTCTGACAATATTAATTCGCGTCGACGAGTTGCTTTGTTCCATTTGACTTAACTCGGAAATATTTTCCTGTGTCGGTTAAAACCGCTAAACTTTATGACCCGCGAAAACAAGCGTTCGTATTAGACTATAGATTTGTGCAAAGGGACGCTAGACTTTGAGTGACACCGAGTGACGCCGCTGGAGTGATACCACATAGGGAGGCGGTGCGGGAGTCAGGGTTGCTGCTGATTAAGAAGGGCTAATTCAGGTTAAACATATATACACTTCTCACACACTACTTACATTTACTACACCTAACGCCTGAACGAGCCTGGTGGTGCGTCTTCGCTTCTGAACCAGGTAAGTCGCATTAAGTACCTAATCCATATATATTAAATATCCATAGGCATTTGAGCCCCACAGTTAGTTGTCCGTCGAATCTACAGCTGTATGGGCCCCTGTATAGTCGACCTTAGTCTGGGCAACTAGGTGCGTGTACAGGTATGCTTGGGTTTAGTTTTAATTTAATTAATTACAGGATCCCAAACAGGTGGTAGTACCCAGCCTCCCTCTCTATTGAAATTAGGATGTTTTTTAATTTCAATTGCCTCACATATAATCCTTGGCAGGAATCGATGTACACATCGATCTGACATCGGGACGTCAATCACCTCAATCCCTCGTGACCATGGATGCTGGAAAACACCCGAAACGTCGGGAATTAATAAAAATAAGCAAAATAAGTTAATTAAACGCGATAAAATTCGTAAAAGAAGTTTTATTCAATTCTTATCATATTCAAATTACTGAGTATTTTAAAGAAACATATGGATTTCAAAGCTGAACGTGAAACTTTTCTAAAATTGTTTCACAAAATAGGATTTCGTTATAAGAAAATTATATAATAGAAAAGTGTTGTGTGAACGGGACGACGTGGTTGAATGAAGGGCAACCTACCTACAAAAAATTTAAAAAATAGTATGTTGAAAAAAGATGAGATTTATTTAGATGAAACTTACATACACTCGTCTCTTTCAACTGGGAAATGTTGGCAAGTTCCTAAAGATGATGGGGATTTGCAACCTGTTTCGAAAGTTAATACATAAAAATAGGTGGATCATAATCCATGCGGGTGAAGAAAAAGGTTTTGTGGAGAATTAAAAATGAATACAAACAAAAAGGCGCGTATTTAGGTGAACCCTTTATTAAAGAGTTACAGAGCGATAGTGAAAGCGGTTCCAGGGATGGAGGATGTGTAGTTATTGAAAACTGAAAATAATATGGGAGATAGAATTCCGCCATGCAGCACTCCAGAATCAAGACTTAACCACTGGGAAGTCTCCTACTTTTACATGGACTGATTTCTGGCGGTCGCGAAGATACGAGGAAAACCATTCCATGACCGAGGGAGCAGATTTAAGATTAGACAGGATACATAGGAGCATATCGTGGTCAACTGTGTTAAAAGCGTTGGAAAAGTCTACTAACACCATCACTGTTACTTTTTTGATATCCATTCCGAGTTTATATCCTCAGTAACTTTTAGCAGTGGTGGTGCTGTGACCGGAGCGAAAACGATGCTGATAAGCACTCGGTAGAGTATTTTTGGATATGAAATTGGAGATTTGTTTATATACAAAGGCCTCTAAAACTTTGGAAAGAAAAGGCAAGATAGATATGGGACGAAAATGGTTAGGGAGTAAGGGGTTTGAAACTTTAGGAAGGGGACGCACATAGCCATTTTTCCAAAGGGTTGGATATTAACCAGAGTCTATAGAAAAATTTATAATATCCGCTACAGCTGGTAGAATATACTCTAAGATGTTAACTATCATATTTCTACTGATTTTAATCACAACCAACGGCCCTGGATTTGATTTCCAGCACAGCCTTTCTAATCTCAACCTGATGATATTATATGTAATGAATATGTAGTCACGTATTTCCTCGGTAAATTTCTTAAATGGCAATTGTAAGCACTCCACTAGCGACACTGTCAACTGAACAGATAAGTTGGTGACACTGTAGCCCACAAACTAATAAGAAGTGCTAGCGTGGTGTAGCCACTACAGATCTAATTAAAGTAATATCACAAACTAATAAAGAAATGCGTACTACATATCCGCTAGGAGTGATAGTGTTCTGTGAACTACATGCCCTAAGCCCCTAAGAGTATGCCACTAAGAGTATGTAATCATAAGACTTATGCGGACGATACTGCTACTGTTTTTTACAGATAAATCATGGAATGAAGTCTAATCTACAATAAGGCAAAACTTGGGTTGACTGAAATTGGGAATTGGCTCGATATAAACGAAATAATGCTTAACGTATCTTAAGCAAATATACGCTTTTCTTTCAAGAAATTGACAGAACCTACAACACTAATCACCAAATGTAGGTATTTTGGTTTAATAATTGATGATCGTATGAAATGGACTGATCACATTGAATCTGTATGCGACAAGCTACGAGCAATCCTTGCAAAAATTTATCTCATCAAGAGTAAAGTACCTTACCAGATGTTACTGTTACTATATAATGCACTCGGCGAATCAATAGTCTCGTACGGGTTGTGCAGTTACGGACGCACTTATAAAATCCACCTTGAAAAAATATACGAGCTACAGTTGCGCATCCTTAAATGTATCACCTCTCTCAAAATAAAAGATAAATATAAAAAAAATCCTTATGGTCTTTTCCATCATTGCAAAATACTACCAGTACACGACAAAGTGAAATACCTATTGCTACTTGAAAATTATGGCAAGGAAGAATTAAAACTTAGCCGTATTTATACAAAACTCACTCGACAAGCCCTCAATCCATATATGATTATCCCAAAATACAAAAATATGTACGGAAAATTTAGATTACAATATCAAATTCCCGCTCTTTTGAACCAAATTCCCAAACCAATAAAAAATGAACTTACTGAAAAAATATTAAATATATGCTTAAACAGTATTTTATCGACAAATTGTCAACGATACCTAATAATAATTTAAACTAAAATATAAAATTATATCCACTAACACACATCATAATATTATAATATAAATAAATAAAATTTTACTAATAAATATATACATAGATACACACAATTATAACATTATCATCTCAATTACTAATTTTCGTTTAATACTAACCAAAATTTGCTTTGGTACACACCTAGTTAAAAAAAAAATCTTGCTATTTTTGTCACACCATTTAGGTATATACGTCATTAAATAAGTTGTCGCCACGCGAACCGATTGAATATGATCGAAGTTACGAATGGCGGTACATGGAAAAACTTTTGTAAGTTTATTT